GATATCCACACGCTGTATTAGTACGCGTTGGATTACTACGCATTGGATTACTACGCGTAGGATTACCACGCGTTGCATTACCACACGTTGCATTACTACGCGTTGGATTACCACGCGTTAGATAACTACGCGTTATCCAAAGCTGCCGCTCTCGCGTCTGTGCATGCGTAATCCTCGCGCTCTAATTGATCCGCGTTTTTCCTTAATAATTCAAAAACGAAGCTTCAAATCCCATTTTTGCAAAGGAAAATCTTATTCAGAATCACGTTAGCAACCCTCCATTCCAGGGACCTACTAATTGTGAGACACCCTGCGTAAAATGAACGATTTTCTAAATTAATTTAGTACCTTAAAATACAAGATAAAATTTTTCTTTCCAGCGGCTGAAGTTTCAGAAGAATCACGACAATTAAAAGCTCAAATGATGAAGCAGAGAGAAGAGGAAACTCAGAGAAAGATAAAATTGATTCAAGAAATTAAAACACTTCAATCGTTGCGGGCTTTGCCTTTCAAAGACTTCGACCCCACCGAGTCCAGCGGCCTGGGTCTCCTTTGTGAAATGTCCCTAATGGAGGTCTGAATGGAATCTTTCAAAGTTTGAAATCACACGAAGTTATCGACAAATAGACGATACGCCATTAAGATTATAAAATCAGTAACAATAAGTAATTCCATATCGCATTTCAGCTGAAAGAAAGGTTATTTTGGGTGAAGATAAAGTTGAACGAGGAGATTCAGAACCGGAAGTGCTCTATTCGTCGTCAACGCGATAAACAGAAAAACTTGATCGAAGATACTCGTAGGGCACTTGAAGAATATAAAGCAAACAAGTCAGTAGTTGTAAACAAATATTTTGTAGGAAGATATACTTTCATATATTACATAATTTCGTAGACATTGCATACATATATTGAATTTTATATCATGTATTAAACTTTAAAAATCAAATTGCAAAAGTATAATTATCTGTGTATGCATATCTATATAATTATACACGGAATATTTTTAAAAGAAATCAATCGAAAATATTATCGCCATGGAGTTTTTAGATAAGTCCATCAAAATGGCTGCTATCGTTCTCCCCTACGAAGCAAAATTTAATCTTCATCCAAAATTTTTATCTTAAAAAGAAGAATTTTGGTACTTTAAATAATTTAAATAATAATCCAAAAAAAAACATTATCGTCTCAATATCTAGTTTTAATTTAGTCTATTATTTAGTTAATGTAGTTTGTACATCAAAATGGCTGCTATAGTTCTTCCTCACGAAGCAAAAGTTCAATCTTCATCCAAAAATTTGTATCCTAAAATGAAGATATTTGGTATCTTAAATAATTAATACTTCTGTTATTTTTTAGGCAAGCCTCCTCTATTAAATCGGAACAGCAACCGAAGCACGTGAGTTCACCGGAAATAGAAGCGTTGCGGAAGAAGCTCGAGGAACGAAGAGCTTTAAGATCCCAAAAGACTTACAAGTGTTATTCGAATGTTAACAAGTAAAATTACGACATCGTGCTTATGTGTTTCTTGAGATTAAATAATGACATAATTATGCTGAATCACTGTTATGCACTGATTATGTACGTCTTGTAAATTATCACTGTTTTCAAGCATGACAAATCAATAAATACGTCTATTAAACTATCATTATGAATTGTACAGTCATGATCTTAAAGAATAATTAACGCATTTTGTTACAACTTGTAAGTTTTGTAACAAATTTATTACAGCTTTATGAAGATTTTTACTGTCAAAACTTTTATTCTTCTAGATTTATCTCTTTGTTGTAATTTTTATTATTTTGTAGGGAACGTTAAGAACAATTATTATTTAGAGAATTATGTGGAGAAGAATTTTGTAGAGAATTATGTAGAGAACAGTTATGTAGAAAATGACTTAAATTTGTAATTTGTTGCTTTATGTACTTTAAAATATCAGAGTTAAATTCTCTTATATAATCTCAAACTAAAAGATGTACAACCTTGTTCAGAAATTACATTTTGTAGAAGTGATTTATGATGAGTGTTTAGATATTTAACTGTGTGTCACAAAAGTGACGTATTTCAAAAGTGATTACTTTCAAAATTGTCAACAAAGTTTCTAGTTTTTAAGAAAATTATTCAGTCACAACTTACGACTCTTTAAACTTGTAATACACGTGTCAACAACAAGATTTGATTCCGCATTGTAATTAACCCACAAGCTAATTGTAATGCGATAGTTTCATGTCACCGAGTCTCATGAAATTCGTTATACGAAATAATCCAATAGTACACAGCTAATGTGCTAGTCATCGTTGACGGACAAGCTAAGACTAACAAGAGAAGACTAGCAGCTACCGTAAATAGAGGGGAGAAATAACATCCCAGTGGGGGGTCTACGGAATGTCCTGAATAAAAGACCGTACATCAAACAATTCGTTGCAGTTCGAAAACTATTTTACATTGAAATCGCGTGGACCTCACAAGACTACTTTGCATTCAAACTCGAATGATATCGGTGTAACTCTCTCTCCTCATCATGGTATCCGATAAAGAGAAAAACAATGTAAGATACTTCGTTTGATCAACGTAACTCCAATCAATGGATTTCGCTCGATCGTGCACGATATTTTCGATCTTTCACTCTTTGCGTTGTTGTTGACAGGCCGTGCTGCCGTTTAGGATCGAGAACAACATTATGAAGGGGAAAGTGGTGCCGTTCAAGAGTCAGTATACTAGCGTTGGAAAGTTGATGTACGACTCCATGAAGAATAACTTTAATCTTGTGGGACAGGTATGGTGAATTTTTGTCAAAAATTATTTTTGATATTTTGTATTTCATTTAATATTTTAATTTTTTTGGTGACTTCTGTCGAATGTAATTCTTGGAAAATATTGTCTGATGTATTATAATTTTAGAAAGATGTTAAGGGGCTGGGTAATGATTTTTAGAAAATTAAATTTGAGAACAATTCAACCCTATTGGTTCTTTGTTTGCAAGTAGTATTAGTTAGGTTTATTTTTAACTCTATGCTGAATAATATAATGCAAAAAACAATATATAGTGTTAAACGATCGAGGGTGACATTGTAAAGCAATAGCATAGTAACATGATAAATTAGCGGATTAGAAATATAGTTGTACAATTGATCAAAATAGTAAAGTACAACAGTAGAGTAGTAGTACAACATATTATATAAAAGTATTGTATATAACCATATATTATATAAAAGTTTAAAAAATAATTTTATTAAGTGACCAGGTCATACAATTAAAGAAACTAGATAAATTGTTGATTATTAAAACTAAATTTAATAACTAATAACTATTATACTGTAACACTACTATGTCATTATTTGATCATTTTACCATTTCACTTTTAATATTTTATCATTGAGTCGAATTTTTTCTGTGATTATGTGTATATCTTCACCTAATAAAATCATTTTGTAGATTCTTACATAATATATTTGGCAAATTTCTAAAATGAAATTGAAAACACGCGATAAATGTAAATCAGGATGTCAACAAGATTACTCGTATATTCAAGGTTTAATGAAGATAAATTTTCTCAGGTTTGCACGATTACCGATGTCGAGGACACTTTCGGAGAGATTCTAGATCGCTCAATAAAATGTGCTCTATGGATGAAGAAACAGGGAGTGGGAAACAACGATATTGTTGTTATTTCCTCGCATAATCATCGTGATAGTTTTATTCCTGGTATCGCTGCGTTATTTATTGGTGCCGTTTGCAACCCATGGCCCTCAGATATGAACACACGTAAGTTGTTAAACCTTACTGCGTATCTTATATACATCTTGAAAAGTTTTTAAGTTAAATTTGTTCGTTTAAGTTTGCTACTAAATTTGTGTTGTGAAATTGTAATTAAACAAGTTTATTTTATATTACTGTATTTAGGATATTGGGGATTTTGATTGGGGAAGGAAATTGGGGAACTTTGTAAAGTTTGCAAAGTTCACAAAGTTCATAAGGTTCATAAGGTTCATAAGGTTCATAAAGTTCATAAAGTTCATAAAGTTTATAAAGTTCACAAAGTTCACAAAGTTCACGAAGTTTACAAAGTTTACAAAGTTCACAAAATTCATAAAATCCACAAAGTTTATAAAGTTGACAAAATTCATAAAGTTTCTGAAGTTCATAAAATTCACAAAGTTCACAAAATTCATAAAATCCACAAAGTTCACAAAGTTCATAAAGTTTAGAAAGTTCACAAAGTTCATAAAATTCATAAAGTTCATAAAGGTCATCAGATTCATCAAATTCATCAAATTCATCAAATTCATCAAATTCATCAAATTCTTAAAGCTCATAAAATTCGTACAATTCACAAACTTCATAACATTCATAAATCTCCTAAAATTCATAAAGTACGAAAAATTACAAAATTTATAAATTCGTAAACTCTTGATTCCATCCTTAAAATATAAAAATTAAGAAACCTGAAAATCCGATTCAAAGTCTAAAAATCTTTCACCTCCCCTGTTCCGAACTCCCCTAAATTACCAAAGTCCAACGATACGCATCAAAAATAAAATCCGACTTAATTCCGTGCATTTTACCGTCTTTAAGACACGCACCGAGCACGTATCATTCACTTTACATAATACTCCTCAATTATCTCTGTTACGAAACTGCAATTGTAAAGCGATTAACCTAGCATTACTGCAATGTTACAGAGGTAGCACGTCATTTCATGTCGATGATGCAGCCGAAACTCATCTTCGCCTGCGAGAAATCAGTTCCTGTCATATTAGACGCTGCCAAAATCGAAGGTCACAACCCAAAAGTGGTGACATTCGGTGATTACCTTGGGACGACACCGTTCAGTGAGACCTTGAAGGGTCATACTAAACTTGCGATATCGAATTTTAAATGCAGCGATATAGATGATACTGAACAGAGTGCTGTGATTCTGTTCTCTTCCGGAACGACGGGTTTACCGAAAGGTGTACAGTTACCTCATCGGGCGCTGTTGAACATCATGGAAGTGGACGAAGGTCTTGCTGTCGCTTCACACGTGTTGATGTGGCTGACCTCTTTGTATTGGCTCACTGGTACTTTGCTAAGCATTAAACACATCGTTGGTGGGGCGAAGAAGGTCATTTCGCCAGAATTTGATGAGGAGACGGTTTGCAGGCATTTTGAGAAGTACAAGGTGCTTGTTTGGAGAAATAGGAAGAGTGAATGCTTGTAGAAATACTAATAAGTAGGACAAATTAGGAAGTAGCAAAATTTAGCTGATGTCAGTTTGGATAGATTGAAAATTAAGTCTAGTTATGTAAGAATTGTATCAGTTTTTAAAATGATTATGTTATGAACACTTTTCTCTATGTACACTGCTAGAGTCAGCATTGGTTTTAGAAACACACATATTCAATATAATAATTATTTGCAAAAAGGCAATAGAGTTGTAAGAATAGAGAGATATATAAATTTAAGGATATAGAAATTGAAGAATACAGTAATCTAGGTATAAAGAAATTTGAAAATTCTAAAACCGAAGAATTATTCTATATATCATGTTCCATAGACACATGAAATCTAGAACTATACACAGAGACATATGAGAACTTAAAGAAATGAGAATCTATGTACTCACAAATACACATGCAGTCATATAAACATAATACACATGTTTGACTTTAACAACAATAATGTTACAATTTAACACTGATACAATTTAACACTGATGCAATTTAACACTGTTACAATTTAACAACAATAATGTTATAATTTAACACAGTCACAATTCAACACAAATGCAATTCAGTAAACAGTGTCAGAAACGTGACCTACTGACACAAAGCTAAAAGTCAAAGATGTCAGAGTTCACTGTGAAGAAATGTGTTGATAACTTATCAATTTGGGTCAGTGCAGTACTGACGTACTTATGTATCACTTAGAGAGAATGTTTTTATACTATTTTTATCTAATCGGATTGTAATCCGTTGATTATTATTTTGTAGGTATCATGGACAATGTTGAGTACCAGCATGGCGAATAGACTTGCCCGGTTTAGTCGTTTGCATGAGTATGACCTTTCGTCCTTGAAAATTTTGTGCACGGGTGGTTCCGCTATGGGGAAGGAAGCTGAAATTTTGTTGAGAAAGGCTTTTCCTACTACTAAGGTTATACAGGGATATGGTAAATAAATAGTGGAGATTCTTGCACTCTTTATGGTCTTCCTCTGAGTTCTGATTTCTTTCAGATTTTTTATTGGTTCGGGAAATTTGAGAATTTAAAAGTTTGATTTGGGGATTTGTGAAATGGAGATTTGGAAATTTGAGGAATTAGAAATTTAGGGATTTAGAAATTTGGGGATTTAAAGATTTAAGGCATTAGGAATTTGTAAACTTAGAAATTTGGAGAGTTCGGGATTTAGGAATTTAAAAATTTTGGAAATTATCAAGTTCGGATTTAGACATTTGGAAAATTAGGGATTTGGGAATTTAGAAATTTGGAGAATTAGAAATTTGGGGATTTAGAAATTTGAGTAATTAGAAATTTGGAGATAAAGAAATTTGAGTAGTTAGGAACTTGAGATTTCAGAAATTTGGGATGTAAGAATTTGAGAAATTTGAGAATTTGAGAAGTTTAAGAGTTTGAAAAGTTGAACTTTCAAAACTTGAAAATTCAAAAAGTTTATGTTACCTTTCAGGTATGACAGAACTTGGCAATTTAATTTCTGCACAAGACGTAGATTCTACACCAGGCTCCTGCGGCTTAGCAACCATAAACACCGAAATAAAAATCATCGATCCTGAAACCGGGAAAACGTTAGGTCCGAATCAGAGCGGTGAGGTCTGCATTAAAAATCTATCAATGACGTCGGGGTATTACAAGAATCCAGAAGCTACCAAAAATGCGATAGACGAAGATGGTGAGTGTGAAATGAAGAGATTCTGAGAAATTTTTCAAGAAAATGTGCTAATAAAATTACTACTTTAATTACATAGACTAATGAAAGTAGCAATCATCAACTCTTGTATATCTTTTATACCTTGTTAACAAATATGTAGTTCAAATATACAGGGTGTCCCGTAACTACTGTTACTCCCTGAAAGGGGTGGTAGAGAACGTCATTCTGAACAAGATTTTCCTTTGCGAAAATGGGGTTTGAAGCTTCGTTTTTGAATTGTTAAGGAAAAACACGGACCAATCAGAGCGCGAGGATTACGTATGCGCAGACGCGAGAACGGCAGCTTCGGATAACGCGTAGTTATCCAACGCGTGGTAATCCAACGCGTAGTAATGCAATGCGTAGTAATCCAACGCGTACTAATACAACGTGTGGATATCCAACGCGTAGTAATCTAGCGCGTGCATATTCTACGCGTAGTAATCCAACGCGTAATAATGCAACGCGTGGTAATTCTAAGCGTAGGGACCTAATGCGTGGTAATCTAACGCGTAATAATCCAGCATGTGGATATCCAACGCGTAGTAATCCAACGGGTGGATATTCGACGCGTAGTAGTCCAACGTGTAATAATCCTCGCGCTCTGATTGGTCCGTGTTTTTCCTTAACAATTCAAAAACGAAGCTTCAAACCCCATTTTCGCAAAGGAAAATCTTGTTCAGAATGACGTCCTCTACCACCCCTTTAAAGGGAAATTTCATTCAGAATCACGTCCTCTACCACCCCTTTCAGGGAGTAACAGTAGTTACGAGACACCTTGTATCGGCTAATGAAACTACATGTTTGTTGACGAGATATAGAATGTTTTTGTATAACTTGATAAGTTGATAACTTGATGAGTTAATCATCTTTTTTTAGGATGGTTACACAGCGGAGATTTAGGCTGTTTCAACGAGAAAGGAGAGTTGTTTATCATTGACCGGTTAAAGGAATTGATTAAATTTCAAGGATATCACGTCATACCAACTGAAATTGAGAGTTTGTTGCAGTCACACCCTGCTGTTTTAGAAGTTGCAGTTGTTAGTATACCTCATCCTATTGATTGTGAACACCCTGTTGCTTTTGTCAGTAAAATACCAAACAAAGAGGTATGTTTATATATATTTTGATTAATATTAAAGATTGTTACAAGTTTTCCTGAAAATTATTAAAACTTTTATTATGTAAGCTGAAATTGTTACAATAAATTTCCTGAATAACTGCTAATATGATAATTAATTTGCAGGTGACAGAGGAAGAATTGAAAAAATTAGTAGCTAATAATTTAATGGATTACTGTAAACTACGCGGTGGAGTGAAATTTATGCCGTCTCTGCCGCACACTGCTTCAGGAAAAGTTGCGAGAAAAGAATTGAAAGCGATAGCAAAAACGATGGCAGTTAATTAATTAGATTGTACATTATGCATTATTTTTTATAGAAACGGTAATATTTTTATATGAATGAATATTACAGAATTAATTTCACTATTTACAAGCAATTTACATATTAATTTACATATTTACATATTATTTACAATCCTCACATTTTTCAGATGCCGAATTGCCTGAAGAAGAAGAACAGCATTATTGGCTCAAAAGTTACTTAAGTAGGATAAGAAGTTTATTTTTGTAATAAATTAAAGATAAGAAAAAAAGTATTAATCTGTATAACTTTTTTCGCGACTGCGGGCGAGTAGCGAATTTTATACACATGTAAAGTGTTTTCTGATAAGTATAAAAATATCAATTTCGGAGAGTACATATGTATTGGTTTATAAGAATAATATATTTATTTATTTTAAATTGAAAAACACGACTAGATAAGTTTTAATTCATATACATAAATGTATTTTTGATATTTAAAGGTGCTATATATGCTCTACTACCTGACAGAAATAGTTACTTTCGATGAAAGCATTAAATAATCAATTACTTGTAACAGGTTACACTTGGGAAATAATATAAAATTTTCAATTGTGTGATATTTGAAATAAAATCTATGGAAAATGTAATTGATTATTCAAACAACTCATCCACTTGCCCCATAAAATATGTGAAAATATGAACTTCGTCTTTGAACTGTAATGCGTCGCCAAGAAAGATATCAGAAAGAGGTGGATGAAGTAATTTTAAGAAAATTACCAAAATTGATTGGTAAATCAATTATTAAAATTACTAAAAATGGATTTCGTTACCCAAACAACTAATCCACTATAATATTTACTATAATATTTATATAAACATGTAAATATAAATATAAATGTAAATATTACAAACTTCATTTGTCTTAGAACTACAATGCATCACCAATACAAAGGGTATCAAGAAAAAGAAGATGAAATAGTTTTAATAAAATTACCAAAATTTATTGCAAATATGAGTATAATAATAAACCGGTGTACAATTTGGAAAACATTTGTATTTGAAAAATATTTTTGTTAGTTTATTCGTATCCACGTGCTTTGGATTCTTTGAACATGGCAACCAAAGAATCTAAAGTTTCTTCAGCAGTTGGTTTGATCTGGTTAGCAGGGAGAAGGAAACCGTAACGACCAGTGTCTCTCAGTTCATAAGTGTAGGTGATTGGTTTGTGGAAGGTTCCCTTTACCCAGTCAACTGTGCTTCCACTAGCAATGTCTGGAAAAAATTTAAGTATTACATAAAAATGTAGTAGATACTCTTTGTACTTAATATCAAAATTTTTGTGCAAATATTTAGTATTACTTTAAAGCTACTTTTGTGTAGAAATATGCTATATTATTCTATTATTAAGCAAATTGTACTATATGTTGAACATTTTTCAGGAATATCATGTCTATAGTTTGCAATTTGTATGTTCAATGCTAATATCTTTATAGTATGGCAATTAAACTTTCTTTCAATAAAATTTAATTATACTTTAAATGAGTTAAATATGTACTTACAGATAGTTTCAGCAATATTTCCAGTTTCGTATTTGGTTCCATAACGTTTGGCAAGAGCTTGAATTGTCTTTTGACCGATTGCAAGCTGGAATTGAGAAATAAAGAATTAATGTAGCAATCAGTTTGTTGCACTCCTGATAATAGAAGATATTTCCAATTATGATAAGATAGAACTGTATGCAGTTTATCGATAAGTAGTCTAAAAATCTGTATCTTTATTTAACTAAAAAAAATTGAAATCAGAACTGTTTGTTAATGTATTTCAAGTACTAGTAATACTGCTTTTCATTTATACCTCATCCTTGTAATTATCAAGATGATCTTTGGTGTGACCGTATGGGAACATCAAAAGCTGAGAGTAGCTGTGGAAAGCAACGTAGGCATAGAATTTGCCAGAAATTGATTTGATGTACTCTGACATGGTTTTGGTTTCAACATCGGAGAACGCAGCGCTTCCAGCGTAGGTCTCAGAGCATGGGTTGCTGCTGGAACCACCAGCTAAAAATTTAAAAAAAGATATTACATCAATTTTGAACATTTTAAAATTTAATAGTGGAATATTAAATTTGAGACTTACACATCCATTTGTATCCCCAGTTCCTGTTAGGGTCGGTTCCGTAGCACAGAACACCGTATGGTTTGCGGGTCTTTCTCCACAGGCGGTTCTGAAATTTAAGCAATTAAGATACATTACGTTTGCGCGCCAAGTTAAAGATCTGACGTAGAGGTTGCTGTTTTTAAACTGCTCCTGGTAGCCGGGTAACAGGGAAGTGGAAGAGGTATTCGGATATGTGATTTTTTTGTGCAGCGCCATCTAGCGTTTGGTGGTTTAGGCTACTCCTGGTAGCCGGGTAACAGGAAAGTAGAGGAGATAGCCGAATACTGTGCGACAAGGATAGCATGCTGTGCGACAAGGACAGACATAGTATCTCCATCCCCAAAATGGCGGCACTCCGCAAATTTCAAACAGTATTGAAAATAATTAATTTCTCATTAATTATGAATAATTTGTGAACTTTTATGATCGTTTCTTGTTACTACAGCAATCGATCGTTACTTTCACGTATAATTTTTCATTTTTAATATAGTTTGAAATTTACGTCATGACGTCATTTTGGAGAGGGCGTACCTATATCTGTCCTTGTCATACATCATCCTATCCTTGTCTCACAGTGTTCGAACACCTCCTCACTTTCCTGTTACCCAGCTATCAGGAGTAGTCCAAAAACACCAACCGTTAGATGGCGTTACATAAAAAATCCTATGCTCGTTCTTCAAATACCTCCTTTGATATTTTGTTATCCTGCTACTAGTGTCAGTCGAGAGCACTGTCCATTAGATGACATATTCGATTTTCTAACCTATTTAATTATTTACAATTGTATGAAAGATGAAGTTTCCCTTATTACAGTGCAATGTATGTATTTATATAAGCGCCTTTATGTATTTATGTTCATATGTATAAATACCATACAATTCTTTTTAAAAAATTGATTGAATAAATACATCAAAGACTACCAAAACATTTAGAGTGTAAGAAACTTTGTAGCCTTATATTTCAAAGAAATTAAATGGAAACCTTACATTTTAAATGAATTTACAATTAAAAGTTAGACAATGTCGACACATTTTAAGATCAATTACAGACTCACAGCAGAAATTTTTAATTTTCAAGCTGGCTAATACTGTTTAAATTTTTCATAGTACTTACAGTTGTGTGGGTGTACACGTATCCATCAGGGTTGAAGCTAGGGAAGATGTACCAGTCATGGGATTGAGCGAGTGCTTTGACATCAGCTGAGTTGCTGTGCAACAATTCGTTGATTATGTACAGAATGGTAGCTGGAGTGATCCATTCCCTAGCGTGAATACCACCTTCAATGAAGATACCAGGTTTGTTTGGACCAAAGGACAGTTTCACTCCCTTAATTTGACGACCCTCGTATGTCTTTCCACCAACAATTGTTTGGACCTTGCCAGGGTTGGCTTTAGCCAAGCTGTCTAAGTAAGCATAGATCTCATCAAGAGTGTGGTAGTTGTTCAAATCAAATGTAGCCAGAGGCTGTGCAGGTGGCACTTCACTGTCGATCAAGGTTTGAACATCCTCGATGTAGGTTTCATAGGGGATTTCGTGCTGGTTCATTAATTCTAAGAATTCTGGTTCCCTGTGGGGAGCAACCATTATGTCGGCATAGCTCTGAGCATCTTTGGGCTCTTTCCAGAAAGAGAACTGTAAAATTAAAAGTAATTTAAACAATTAACTCAAAGCTCAGGATATTTAATTTAAAGTTTTTGTTAATTTTAACTGTTTGTAAGCAAAATGTGTCTTCTAGTTAGAAACTCAAACATTACTATATTTAAAACAAGTATTCTGAAATGTTATTTATTTTTAATTTTGTGTTGCTTTTATATTTTAGAATATTTATATAATATTCAGTACATTGACTCATTGTGAATTACATTTATTACTACTGGCATTTTATTAAATATTATTAAGAAAGTACTGTCTATAATGAAATTATTATTATTCCAGAATTTTGCATGTAGTTCAACAGTGAGCAAAAGGTAAAATGAAGAAATTTTCTGAATGAAGAAGGCACAGTGATACAGAAATAACAGAGCAAAGAAGAATTTATTTTTATACACTGTATAACATTGCTATGAAAAAAACTTACAGAGTCAGAAACTTCGGCGAGGTTTCGCAAAAGTGCCAGGTGCTGTTCATCCTGAGGTAAAACACGGTATACCTTGTAGTTGTCGTATTTGACTTTTTCGGCTGTCGCCAAAGCGACCAAAGCGATGAGTACTAACTTCCACATGATGTCTGCCCTAAACAAAAAATAATAAAACTTGAAAACAGAACTTCTAAATAGTTTTTATTTCAGAAATCAGCACAATGAAACAATGTCTAATGAATGAAGAAATGAAGTCTAATAATAAAAGAAATGATTAATTAGAATGTTAAGTAAATTGAAAAATATTACAACACTGAGTCACGACAAATGGAACTAAATCACTGTAAAGTCTATGAATATTGATAAGATGAGCAGAGTACGCGAATGATCTTACCCTCTACGGTCACGAGAGAAGTTTGTAACCGGCCTCACTGTCTGGTTGTATTTAAACAGTTCACCTGCACACGACACCAACAATCAATCAATCAATTAGACTAATCGTTATTCAAAAATCATATCGTTGACCAATTAAGAATCGAACTTATTTGATTTATATCCATCTTATCAGATTTGTCTTAAGAATGTCTTTATCAAACCAATCTTACGCCAGACCACTCGATGTATCGTCGCAATTTCACAATCTTCTTGCACACGATTTGTACAAGAACGTAACTATGAAGCTAAAGTGTTTTTGTATAACTTAATTTTTGTTAATCTTGAAGAATTCGTCTTTGTGTTCTTTTCATCTATCTGCGTTCGATTTCATTACAGTGAAAGTTTTCCTATCTTGATCTATTCTTTAAATTATTTAGTCATGCATCACTGTGACATTGTATGCTAAATTAGAGTGACGCGGTATTTGTACAAAAGAAACTGTGGCTTCGTAGATCACGTAAATACCAATATTGTTATATACAATCGGGAAGATCGTCTTTAATTAATCATAATGGACACTTGATTTGGATAAATCAAACATGATTTATGAGTGATATTATCTATTTTTAGACAGAGTATCTAAAATCAGAAGTTTAAAACATACGTTTGTAATTAAATCTTTGTGGAATGAAGCAAAGTAAATTTTGCTGATTTTCCCATGCAATAACTGATTAAGGTTTTTTTAAATAAAACAAGTGCACTGATATCAAATAGTATGAGTGTTTAATCACTTTAATTAATTGCTTTAAAACACAGTGTAAAAAATACATATAACTTTATTTACTACTTTGTAGTTGATACATTATCTGTATATACAACTAATCAGTAATTACAACTGAATAATAGTTCAGTTGTTATTTAGTACAAATGCAACACACAATAGAGATACAAACAGACATTGATAGTGATTTATATTGTATATTATATAGAACTATGGAGTTTGTTAAAAAATCTGTTCAAAGAATTCTTTGTATGAAAAAATATAGAGCTCCAGTCGCAGGCATTTAGCGAACGGTTACTAGCAATGAAAGGTAAAATAGTCCAAATAGCTTCTATCGTTTTTGGCAAATTGTTTATGATATAAATTATTGTTGACTGCTTGTTGTAGATCCGTAACCACGTTTTGCAGCTTCCTGGAACATCGCGACCAAAGAACTCAGAGTTTCCTCTGCAGTGGGTATAATCTGATTGGCAGGCAAAATGAAACCGTATCTTCCTTTGTCGCGGAGCTCATAAGTGAATGTTACAGGAGTGTTGTAAGTTCCACGTACCCAATCCATGGAACCACCTGCTGCAATATCTACAAGAAGAAGAATTAATAAGAAGATAAATTCTTGAAGTGCTATAGTTGAAGATTATAAATAAGATGCTGTAGACTATCATTATATTGATATCACTGCCTTTTGTAGAAGCATCTTCTTGTAAGATATACAAGATGTACATTATTAGATAAGAACTTGCTCTTTCATCTCTGTTCTTCATGGCAATATATTAAAAGTCTATTATATTGTATTTATTTTTGACAAATAACTATGTAACTTGTATTTAAGTAGCATGTAAACTTATAATTTATTATGTTAATATTGAACATTAATTTTGATCAATATTTACATAATTTTGATAAAGCATCTTTCAATTCTGTAATTTCTGTCAGACACGTTTCAAATGAAAACTCATGTTTTCCAATATCAATGTTGAATAATGCAGCAGCTTTGTTCCTTGTCGCATATCGAATGACACACAGACCTTCGATTATGGTAATTCTTGTACAGACAGCGCGAGTAAACTACTCACATATAACATCCACGATATTTCCGACTTTGTATTTAGTGCCGTACTTCTTTGACAGAGCGTTTATGGAATAGTTGCCGATTTGCAGCAGATCATTATAGTTACTGATCCTCTTGTTTGAATGACCGTATGGAATCAGCAATAATTGACTGTAACTATGAAATGCTATGTAGGAGAATAATTTATCATGAATGCTGTCGATGTATTTTGACATGGTTCTTGTTTCTGTTTCAGAGAAGGGCTTCGGACCAGGGTATATCTCGCTGCAGGGATTCGGGCTGGTTCCACCCTCTGAAACATAACAACAGCGATATAAGAAGAGATAATGATTTAATCAGATTCTTCTTTCTTCAATAAATATTATAATTAACAAGAGTATGGTATTATGATAATTAAAAAAAATTAAATAATGAAATGCAAAGATTCACGGATAAAAGAAAGATATCATATCTTTAAATTATTTTATGTTTCAGGTGTAAGGCTTCATTAGCATCCATATGAATATTTTTAAATAAAGTTAGTAGAGTTATTAAAATTATATTCTGTAATGTACAGATTTGTATTACCGAAGCTGTGGAAAATATATTTTTATTAAATAAGCACCTGCCCAATGGAAGTTCCAGTTTCTATTCGGATCAGCACCATAGCATCCTCTTCCAGATGGTCTCCTAGTTTTTCGCCATAGACGGTTCTAGAAATAACCAAAGAAAAATGTACTTCGCACCTCAATCTTTTTTATCTATCAATTAGCACAGCTGTACAGTGATCAAGTTTGGGTGATATCAATCAAATCGACGTATAATCATTCATTATTTTGATAATAAAAAACTGAACCGCAATCAAAGCTAATTAATTATAGTTAGCAATAATAAGTGGAGTAAATAGAAAATATCTCAATGTAAATAAACTCAGTTAGCTTTGGTTAAAGTCTGGATTTATTACAGAACTATTAACGATAATGATAAGTATTGGTTTGGACAGATTGAATCAACTGAAATTTAAAGAAATATCTGCAATTGTGTTAAGTATTTATCTTTGGAATGTTTTCCTCTAGTATTTGTCTGAATCTTTGTTCTCTTTTCTTTGTTCTCTATTATTTGTCTCAGAAGTTAATTATGCGACTCTTTACACATTAAATTGTATTTCTTACCGTAGTATGTGTATATTCGTACCCATCCGGATTAAACACAGGAAAGATATACCAGTCGTAAGACTCAGCCATATATCTCACGCGGGTGTCATCGCTGACTATTAATTCATTCAGAATGTATGTCACTACTGCAGGTGATATCCATTCTCTGGCATGTATTCCTCCTTCGATAAATATACCAGGATTTCCCTCTTTGTAAGAGAGTTTAACACCTTTGATACTTCTACCTTCGTAGCTACTTCCACCTGTTATGGATGTCACGATTTTGGGGTGCTGGGTCGCTAGAGATTCCATCCACTGATAAATCTGAACGAAAGAGACATAATTGGTGCAATGCATATTTTCTTTAGAAGTAGTTTTGTTTTCTTGTGAATTGTTGTGGCAAAGAATAGAGTAATGTATGACATGTGTAATTGAATATGTATGTATGTATAGTTATGAATGTATAATATGTATTATGTATGTGTATGTATAGTTGTGATTGTTTAATATGTATTATGTATGTGTATGTATAGTTATGAATGTGTAATATGTATATGTATGTGTATGTATAATTATGAATGTATAGTTTTATTAGACTATTTAGATGAAATAGTAACACGTTCACATGTTGTACAATGACATAGTAATGTAATAGCACTGCATACTGTAATATGTACTGTCCTGTTACTATACTGTATTACATATACATTCATGTATGTGTGCTGTACAACATTATATTTTTTATCAAAAATTCTAAATATGTAAATGCAAAATAAACTTGCAACTGCAATTATAACTTATAATTCATAAATTTGAAAATTTGTATAAATCTCAATTAACGATTTACTCTCCACCAACATATAATTATGAAATATTAATTTTCTTACGACATCCAGTCGATGATATCCCAGCCAGTCAAAACCACCCCTCACATTACTGCGAGGATTCTCGTCGTCGATATACCTTTGCACGTCGTCCATCATCAACTCAGCTTCAAATTTAGTGGTATTCGCGATCTCCATGAACTCCTGAAGTTTCGCCGGCGATATCATAACGCTTACACTATCATTGATCTTCGGTGGAATCCAGAAGTTGAAACCATCGCTGCTTTGCATATTCTTCAGCAACTCAAGACCATCGTTATCCGGTGCGAAGACGTTGAACAACTTGTAGCCATCGTATCGTATTTTAGCAGAAGCATGAACGGTCAGAAAAATGCAAAGAAGATGCAGAAGAATCATCATCTTTCTTATGGAGTTTGCTATCGTTAGAACAAAAAAATGGGATCTTAGAAATTATCCATTTTCTTTTCTTAAGATCTTCACTGTTACTCAATGTTTCACTCACGTTTGTTAGAAAAAGTCTTAGAACTTAAGTCTTGTAAATTTGAATAAGTTGAGTGTTTTATTAAAAAGAATTTAGAAGGATTCAACGGTTGTGCCACGAAGACAATTTAGCACTGCGAAAGTCCAGCTTTCACGCGAGATCAAAGCGGGAAAATCGATCGACACCGGTTTTCTGGCTCGCTTAGATCGACTCAGTGTCTTCAAGGTGCAACGCAGGTGTGCACATCTATGGTGAATCTTCCTGCGTCTTTATATACCGTGGAAAGCGACCGCAGGAGGTAAAAATATCCTGGACGTGAGATAAGTGTAAACAAAAAAACATATGGGCAACGCATTTGCATGCAGAATGGGCAATGGGAATTCTCGCGAGGCTGCAGACGAGCTGAGGCCTCTTGATGGTCGAAGACCTCGCAAGTACCGTTTGAAATCATCGATAAACCGAGGTTGTCGACACCCACAAAAAAGAGATGCTTAATCTGGACGATAAACGATTCTGCAATCATTTCCGCCATTTTCTTTAAACGTAATCTCTGTTGACGCAATTTCCACTCGAACTTTTAAGTTTTTCGGGGAAATCTGATCGAACGAGAATATTAGATCGATACCAAACTGAGTATTATTATTATTGAGTATTATTTGGGTGGAATATTTGAAGTATTTATTATTTTATGTTGGTAAATTTTATTTTAGGTATTTGTTCATCAGGGACAAATTAAGGTTTTTGGAAGATCAAATATAATAGTAAATTTATAATATCAAATAATAGTACCTTTTTGTGTTGTACATGTAGTATAATTAGGATTGAATAAAGAATTATTTAGAAATGATGTACTATAATTTTAGTTACAGAAAATTATTTATTTTGAATTTTACAGTATTTGTTCTAGAGATTGAAACACTTACAAATTGATTATGACATTATTTAATAAACTGACACACAAAATTCATAACTCACTTAATACTTAAAATATGAATGACTTTAAAATAATACTACAAAATAATATTTAAAACAATAATATAAATAATAAAATAATCTTCATATCTGAATCTTCATATCTCAAAAGAATAAACTATAACAATTTTTCTGAATAACAAATTCCTCCACATACATACACCTTTTATTTAATATATTTTTCTATAAAAAAACCAAATTGATTGTTTGGATAATTATGGAATTGAACAGTTATTTCAGATGATAATTCTTATTGATTTTCTCCGTGTTTGAATCTGCAAGTCCAACGACCTATAATCGAAGACTTCCTGAACACAGGGTGATGAATCGATGGGATTAGATAAGGTAATTCTTAGCTATTAATTGCTGTAGTAATGAAAAAGCGCAGTGTGCTTGTTAGATCTCGCGTTATTTTGCATATTGCGAATGTATTAAATAGGACAATGAATACTATTGAGCATTGTCCTTCTGTTCCCTGGTGGCATTATCAAGTATGTGATTAAACCGACGTGGAATTAATACTAATTCAGTAGTGGAAAAGTAGTAGACCTTTTTACAAGACACTGTTGTTTTCACTTAGTTAAATCCTCTTATCAGTGTTCTGATACCAGTTTTACGTGCACGGATTTGTTAAAACTTGTTGAATAGACACAACTTGTTCAATTGTAATTTTACCTGAAACATAATTATAAATGTATAATATATTTTTTATTAATACCTCAATTTGTTATTTGTTATTAATTTGTTATTTTATCTCTCATACTTTACTGACATGTTTTTAAAATAATTGTGTTGTCTTTCTTTAAATACAATCTTTTAACCTTAAAATTTAATATTAAGAAGTTATAAGAAAGTTAAATAATTAAATAGAAAAATTTATACAAAATATTTGATAAAATAAAATAACATCACATGGTAATAAGTGTTTTACCATATCAGTTAGAAAAGCCTCTGCTGATAACACCGTTTCAGTAAACTGCCTTACCGTCAGTACATTACATAGATTTAATTGACAATTAGAATTGTTTAAACACAATATTTCAACAGTGACTAACTTTCATATTTCATGAATTCCTTTTCTAAAATGTTACTGAAAATGCATTGCTAACTAATAAATATTTACTTATAATCTTTATTATTCTTATAATAATAATCATATTTTCTATAAAAAAGAGTACCTAAAAAAATGTATCTAATTCTTCAACGCATTATTTTATTTACTCGGGGAAACCCACAACTTTATACTAATCGCTAATGACTGTCGAAATATTTTGCGTATTATGTTAGAATCAGAAAGAATTATCAGTTATTCACTTATTTATAGAAAAGATTTCATTCGTGGCTCGGGTTTTTATTTATCTTCTGCACGCACTCTCCGTAAATATCGTTCAAATATTATTTTGTATCAAATTTTTTATCATCGAAGTTTATCGCGAGGAATCCCAGACAGATTTTACCTAAATAGTTTTTTTTTACTGAGATATATTTTATTCGAAATTGTAGAAACCTTGGTAATAATTTAAAATATTCCATCGTTGTGGTCGCTTTGATTTCATACGCATGAAATTGTGGAACTTTTTTATGCTACGTTTGCGATTGATCCTTGGATCAAGTCCTTGGTGTACCATCGACTGCGAACCATTCACTAATGATCGAGTGCTTGCTAAATGCAAGATTTATATCGAGCATTGTTAAATGTTCACTTGAAAAGACATAAGGAAAATGGGGAAACTCTAGCTGCGTTTTTGTTTATGCAAATTTTAAATACTGTTAGATACAAGGGTCAGTTTCAATAAATATCTGTTTAAACATTACATTAAATATTTTTTTATATGCAGTAAAAATGCTATAAAAATACCATAAATATTTTGATATTTTTCTTTTGCAGTTCCACTAATATAGTAAGAATTACATAATAAATTAAATTAGTAAAATTTATTCTAATTATATATATAATATTTTGTATCATATTATATTATTAAATATAAAATATAGTTATTATACATATTGCTAAATTACAATAAGAATTATATAATAAATTAAATAAAGCAAATTGATTCTAATTACAATTTATAATAATATTTTGTATCATACTATATTACTAAATTTAAAATATAGTTATTATTTTATATTGCTAAATTAATATTACATTAAAAGTATTGTTAAATGCACTTTACAATTACCATATTGTTTCAAATGATTGTGTCCTTGGAATTTGAAATGAGCTTCTAGATCCGGTCTTTGCATTGTCAATAGTAGGAGGTCGTTAAAGGTAAAAGGTAATTGGTAACAAATTCAAAGAACCATTAAATATGTGTATTAGTCAACAGAAGATTTGTATCACAAGTGATTGTACGGGTGCAGCTGCAAAAGAAGGTTAATTGTTAATTATGGTATATAAATAATTACTTAATATTTAACATTTAAATGAATTAAGTTACCTTCGTAAACTCTCCTACGAATTTCAAATCCGTTTGGTTCTTCTTTGCCTAAAACATTTTGTCTTATTTATTTTTGAATATTTAAAATCAAACGATACCGAATAATCACGTGATACACGTGCGATTTCCGGAAGTGAAACCTTCTTAAATATCAAGGACTTCATCTATGTTAAATATAGCAACAGTTCTTTCAAACCCTGCGTGGAAAATTAATTACTGTATGAAAAACTTGTGTTTATATTCTAAATGTTGCAAAATGTTAATAAAAATTTTTTTATACCAATAATTTCGAATATGATCAGTAATTTTTTAAAATAGATTTTTCTATATGATAATATGTTTTGAACTCTTGCATTAAATATTTAATGCTTTTTGCTCTATTACGTTCTCTATTTACGTGTTTTTAAATTACAGTGACGTGATTAAACATGCCATTTACGCAGACACGCTAAAGGGGCAGCGGTCACTTATATTTGCAATACGGTATTCACAGCTTCGTAATAAACTTACCGAACTATAATACCAACAGTGAAATAAAGACCAGACATATTTATATTAATCGAAATTTAAATTTAAGATGGTTCGTAATTGTTTAGTCACTCCGATCACGTGACGAGTAACACAGGTGCATTTCAATCGAAATGCCGTCGATTGTTCGATACAATAGATGGAGTCTAACCTCGCTAGCATTTTATCGCACGAAGTCATTAATTTCGGTAATCTTGTTGCTCAACGACGCTCCTACAGTGATTTCATGAAATTTTACGGGTCTGATGATATTTTACAAAGATGATTGTGAAATTATTTCATGAGTCGACGAACTCGACCATACAACATCGAAATCACGTACATTGATAATTCGATACTGAAAATACTGAAATTTTGCATGATGTCATGTTCTAGTAATCAAAATTAGATTTTGTTTTTTTCATTTTGTTTACATTCTTCTGCTTTATTTATATAATTCACTCTAATAATTTCATTGACAAGGTTACGTTTATCGACGACGTCGATAAGTTGATAGTTTGACTTCTGCGCATCTGCGTCGCGCAGCATGCTGTCACTGCTCAAAACAATTGAGTAAACGCATTTCAAAACAGATTTGTTCTAAACAAATATCATTTACATACATTGCACAATTAATTCGATAATATTTCTAACTGTCAGGTAAAATATACGGCTCACATTTAACAAAAAAAAGAAATTAGTTTTAAAGTTATAGGGAGTTTTATCGGTCGAGCAATAATCAAGTGTAATTATTTTACGCAACGTAGTTAATCGTTGACATGGCACAAATCTATTCTATTTTTACGATGATTTCGTATGCATGAACTGAATTTTAATTTACAAACAAACAACAGGATATAATCTCGTTCGTAGTACGTCCCTGGTGGCGCCTTTCGACTCGACACTACCGACATCACCCATGTTGGTTAGCGCTTTCGCCAACTTGCTATTCAGTCGCGGTTTATCAGCCGTACCGTCACGAGAAAGATAGAACGGAGGTGTACAATTTTAAAAGAATTTTTTTTGACTCCTCCGTTCACGAATTTCCAAGTGTTCCGTCCTTATCCTTCGACAACGTAATCCTTTAAACGAGACACCAGGAAAAACACTACGTGTCAAAGTATCGTGATCGCATTTCGAGCCCGCTCTTTTATCGATTGACCGACCAACCACTCGACACTCTGTTTCAAGGGATTGCAGACTTGTAAAGGGTTAAAGCAAAACTTGTCAAACTGAAATTGCAAAGATGGCGGATAAAATATACTACCCCCATCCGGACATTGCAAAGAACGCGTACTGCAGCAGCATGGAGCAGTACAGAAAAATGCACGAAAAGTGAGTGGTTTTGTTTGAATGGAAAAAGTCTAGGTTTAATCGATTAACGAAAGGATGACAGTCGAGTTGCTGTTTCGCAAATGAAATCTTGTATCATTCTTCTGTCATCTTCTTTGTTTTTACTTTAATTTTACGATGTAAATTAGCCAATTTTTATCGAAGCGTAGAATGCAAAGTATCGTCTCGATATATGGCTCAATCAGTTCCCCTTCGCGTGGACTTCCACGCATACTTAATGCGCATCCTAATTCTGTACTGCGCGAGGGCTCACTTTTAAATTTACAAATGGAAAAAATATAAAATTTTTAAGTTGAGGAAGAATAACAATTATTCACAAATTTTTTAATTCATAAATTAAAGTTTTTTAATTTGGAAATTTTAAATTTGTGAAAGTGTAAATTTTCAAATTTTGGCGGCAAACTGACATATGAGATATATCGAGGCTTCATTGTACTGAAATATTCTAAACTAGACTTGACAAAAACAAAATTTACAATTCTAATCGAATATTGTGTTATTATTAACATTTTTCCGATTCAAGTAAAACTGTTTATGAAATCATTGAACCCACAGTTGATCTTTCGTCTATCTTGCAAATGACAAAATGGCTTCCTTTAAAAATATGAAATAGAACACCAGGGAAATTAATAGTGAATAATTGAAGGGTACGAACGCCGATTAATGGAAACATGACATTAATCATAGGTGAAGTGTCAAGCGTTTATTGAATGAATTCCTTTTGTAGGGGATAGAAATTTATCTAGATAATTTTCAAACGCGTTTCCCGCCAAATTTGCATGTACACTCAAAGTTCGAGTAAAATTTTTTTTCTATAATTTTTAACGAGTTGCTCAAATAATTTAGGCTCGAATGACAAAATAACAGACTAAAGATTTAGAGATAACGTTAAAGAGAAAGTTAAAGAGTTTCTACATAGTTTCAACGCGAAAAAGTTTTGAAAGCAACTCGCGCTAGAGAGTCATTATTTATTTCGGAAAGGAATCTCATAGATAATGTTATATTCGTTGCAGGAAGAAAAGCTACATCCTATCTGTCGTAGATATATGTACATGTACTATGGAAATAGAACGATGATATCGATTTCCCTAACTGTGTGCCATAAGAAACAATTACTATACATTTTGAGGACTTGTATCCAAAATAGCTTCGTAATAAAATTGTCTAATTAAATAAAATATTCTATTAGAGTATGTAGAGTCTGTAAGAAGTATTAAGTGTATTACAATTTTACGATTTTTTTGCAAGTATAATGAAAACCGTTTTACGTAATCGAGTTACGCATTCGAGTAACTTTTGAATTTAAAAATCAAATGAGAATGTTGGAATATTGGATAATTGTTTTTGACGAAAGTTTTAGAAATGGTTACAATTATTTTTTAGATAAAATATTTTGCAAAATTGATGAAATGAATTTTGTCTGAAAATGTCTAAGTAAATTTGGTTATCTAACAGTTTTATATTAACATGAACAAAATGTTGTGTAATCATTATAAGTACCAAACTTTTAATTAATGTTATGTAAGTATTTGGTATTTTTATATCATCAATTTATGTCATACTTTATTCTGAGAGCAATCACTGTTCTCGTAGGCTATCAGCCATTTTGTAGTCAAATATCAAAAATGTATTTATGAGGGAATTGAACTATGAAAATTACATAAGTTAATAACATAAATATTTTATGGTACTTTCATTTTAATAGTACGTGATTTTTTATTTGTCGAAATCCGACATTTTGTGTAGACTCAATATTGATCCACTAATTCTACCCTGCAGTTGCTAAAATGCAACTCAGTTATATCATTTTCCTGCACTATTACAGTTCCAGTACTTTGTTCTACTATTACACTTTAGAGCTTTACTTTATCTTACTATTCTACTATTCTCTTTTTCTACTATTTACAATCACTCATTTGCAATCATAGCAACATCAGTTACTGTCAAGCAATATCAATTAATCACCAAAATTCGTCAGGAATTATCATATCTAATCGTTGCTTTATCATTCTGGTCAAAAGGTGAATAAACTTCTAGGAAAAAAGAGTTTAGCAAAACCCGAATGTGTGTCATTTCTGATAAAAATTAATTATTTGTTAAATATTTAACATCATATTTATGTATATTGTGAAAGTTCAAACTTGTTTGATGTATATTATAAAACTTAAACATGTCTGATGTATATTATAAAAATTCAAACATCTTCGATGTATGTATATTATAAAACTTAAACATGTTTGATGTATATTATAAAATTTAAACATGTTTGATATACATTATAAAATTTCAAACATCCAGTACTCTAACACTCACACACTCTAACACTTACCCCAAACATTATTATATCACAAATATTATCTACAATTAAATATTAATTATATATAATGTTTTACAGGTCCATAAAGAACCCTGCACAGTTCTGGGGAGAAATCGCAAAGCAGTTCTACTGGGAAACACCAGCTTCGGAGAATAATTTCTTCTCTTACAACTTCGACATCACCAAAGGCGACGTTTTCATAAAATGGATGGAGGGTGCATCGACTAACATAAGTTTCAACCTGCTCGACAAAAATGTGAAGAGTGGAAACGGCGACAAGATTGCGTTTTACTGGTGAGAACGCTTGTATTATTTAAAAATTATTTAATTATGGACATTGAAAAATTATGAATATTGAAATTCTTATACAAGTACATTCAGCTGTTGATAACCCACACAGGAATATTGAGGCACTTAAATATTTGAAATGATAACGCTGCTTAGGTGAGAGGCACGTTGTAATTTATGCTTATTTTATGTTATCAATTTTGTGGATTTGAGCTGATGGAAATGCAAAGTTTTGCAGTTTTTAGTTATTTTAGGTAGAAATTTCAAGTCTTTACATTTGAAAATTCAGGAATTCAGAAATTAAAAATTGTTAAGGACAGAAATTTAGAAATTTTTATTTTTTGAGTTTGGGAATTTCTAAATTTTTATTTTTCAAGTTTGGGAATTTAGAAATTTTAATTTCTCAAGTTTGGAAATTTAGAAATTTCAATTCTCCAGTTTGGAAATTTTTAATTTTAATTTCCCAAGTTTGGGAATTTAGAAATTTCAATTTTCCAGTTTGGAAATTTTTAATTTTAATTTCTCAAGTTTGGGAATTTTTAAATTTTAATTTTTCAAGTTTGGAAGTTTTTAAATTTTAATTTTTCAAGTTTGGAAATTTAAAAACTTCAATCTTTCAAGTTTAGGATTTTTTAAATTTGTAAATTTAAGAATTTAGAAATTAAAAATTCTCAGGCACAGAAATTTTTAAATTTTAATTTGGCAAGCTTGGAAATTAAAAAACTTCAATTCTCCATATTTGGAAATTTGGATATTTAAATCTTTCAAGTTTAGAAATTTAAAATATCAAGTTTAGGATTTTCTAAATTTGCAAGTTTATGAATTTAGAAATTTCAAATTCTCAAGCACAAAAATAAAAATTCTCAAGTACAGAAATTTAAGAATTTCAATTTTAGAAATTTAAAAATTTTAATCTTTCAGTTTTACAAATTTAAAAATTCAAGTTTTCATATGTAAAATTTTAAATTGTAAATTTTGTAAGTTTTGTAAGTTTTGTAAATTTTGTTAATTTTGTACATTTTGTACATTTTGTACATTTTGTACATTTTGTTAATTTTGTTAATTTTGTAAACTTTGTAAATTTCGTAAATTTTGTGAAGGTTCAAAAGAAGCAGCGTTCCAAATGTACTAGTACCTCCACTAAAAACTTATATGTCGCCTAGATTTCCCGCAGAGTGCCTCAAAAAACACCCAAGAACAATTGCAAGAACCCCAAGTTTTGAACCATCACTAGAAGTGTAGCCTATCATTATAAAAGCAGCCAACACGTTTATTATTAAGTGATCGTAAAACGTGCAAGGAAGCCAGTTCATCGATTAGAGGTTTCTAAACAACGTGTACTCTCGTCAAACAACCTTTTGATCAAATAAAACGATTCATGGCACTGATTCGAGCGGCACTGTTTTCAGCGTCTCATTATTATGCAAAATACATCACACGTTTATACACGCAAGTCATTCGAGTGTCATATAAGTGATACAGTTTTGACTTTGCTTTCATTATAGTATAACCCATCGCATTTGGACGTGGTTTCGAAAGTTCGAAAGTGAAATTCGTGAATGAGAGAAACATCATTCTTTAAGGTGTATTTAATTCACTATCTCGTACATTATCTTTGCAAATTTTTGTTTTGATCGTGCGTTTTTATTTCTGTGCGTACGTAAGAGTTGTAATAGTGTCATTAAAAATGTATAGAAACGCAAGGACAATAATTTTAAATACATTGGAATATTTATGAAATTACATAATATTTGTATAACTTTGTAGGCGGAAGATAATACAAATTATATTTTTCAGATGAACTGCTCTCGAGTTACGCAAGGAAAAGTTTAAAATAAAAATGAAGAATGAAAAAGCTTTCGAAGAACGTTCTATAATTATCTCATTCCTAGAATTCTACTTTCGGAGTTATTTTTTTCATTAACGCCATATGTGTGCAAATTAAATTCTCTTCATACATCAAATTATATACATCACTACTTTTATTTGTAGTCACCGTGAGATTGTCATGAATTATTCACTGCATATGTAACCATGATGGATGTTCAAATTTTTGGAGCTTCAAATGTACTTTCAAATTTTTAAATTTAATAATTTAAACAAATTTTTACTTCACTTGAGGTTCTGTAAACTATTCTTAAATTTTATATATGTCAACTTATATTTGATAGTTTGATTTTAGTTTTAGAATCTTATAATAACATCGTTATTTTAATTTTAGAATAGTTAGGTTTTAATTTTATATGTCTTAAATGTTACACATATAACACGTGATCCTGCAGTTGTAGTTTTATAGTTTAAAGAGTTAGATACATTTTAATATAAATTTTTTAATATAAACATTTTAATATAACTCTGTATTATTGTATGTATTTGTTCTTTCTGTTAAAAGAATGTGAAACTTCGTAGAAAAATCTTAGCTTCCAACGATCAATGAGACGGACACGCGCTCTCAGACTCTATGCTTTGTTCGCATCGTACGATGTTCTCTGATTCGTCTAAAATTTGGTGTAGCGTCAGCTATCGCGTTTCGATTGGCTCTGTGCACGTGGTACGATCGCGTTGACTCACACAACATACCGTTTCTTTAAATCCCGTTTAGTCTGGCGAAAATCAAAGTTCGCGCGTGGACAATGTCAATGCTCGTGTACCAGATATGCTTATGTAACAAAATGATATTCGCTTCATACTTTATAGTAGTATATAATTTCGATTTTCATAAATCAATCAGAATCTCTTATAAAATTATTACTTAGAATAAAAATAATGAGGTACATTAATTGAAATTACAGAATGAAGACTGAAATGTAAAAAATTGAATAGAATAAGAAAGTCATTATATTATCAAATGAACTTTTGTATTGTAATTTTAATATAGAGATGCACACAGCTATGATAAATCACTAATCTCAAGATCATTGTTGATATGTAAAAAGTGTCATTAGTCAAAATTAAATGACGTTGATCATACGATGCACACGAATGGTTGGTAATGCATCTTTTTCTAAGAATTCAAGGTCCACCTTTTTTTATTCAGCAGCTTTTTATACTTCAACAATGCATCAACTTCAGAACATTCTATGAAGTTTCTAAAATATTAATTGTTTATCAAATTTTAGATCAATGTTAAAAAAAAAATTATTTTAAGAACATGCAGATGATCTTGAAATCTTTGAAATTTTTCTGCTTCGAAATCTTGAAGGTATATATATATATATCATGCGATCTCGAACGGCATTTAATTCAGGTTAATGAAATTTATCTTCCACGTCAGTAATTGTATTTTTGCGTATTCAGTTTATCAGGCAAGTTTGTAAACAGCGAGCATTATCAGCTTTATGTAATTTGCTGTTACGGCTTACTATCGTGACTAGATAATGCGAATGGATTTTCTGCACACGCAATTGTTGTGCATCAGTGCGTATGTTGACATGGTGATCTTGACTCTACAAATGTGTCATTGACCATGAAAATGATCTATGTCATACGTGATATTTCAATAACTTGAATTAAACTTGAATTAACGTGACGAAATTATATATGTATAATTTTGTTTTCAGGGAGGGTAACGATCCGGACGATTATTCGCGGTTGACTTACAGGAAGTTACTCGAGGAAGTATGCAGATTTGCAAACGTTCTGAAATCGAAAGGAGTGACGAAAGGAGACCGTGTTGCAATTTACATGCCGATGATTTTGGAACTTCCCATTGCTATGTTGGCGTGTACCAGAATCGGGGCCGTCCATAGTGTAGTGGTAAATTATTCTTTCAATTATAGAATTGTGTTGTAAAATCAGCTCCGTCAGAATTTAAAGAAAGATACTATTATAAATTATAATTGACGTTGTACATGTATGGGCAGTCCATTCATTCATGCAGTGCCGTTGCTACTCTGTGGCGCTTGGGACAAAGGTTGCTATAATGAGTGATTAATTCTCACATTGTCAAATTTTCTAATTATCAAATATCTAACTCTGTAACTTTCTAAATTTCCAAATTTGAAAATTACAAAATTTATTTTGGAATCCATAAGCCTTTAGTACAATCTCTAAACTTGAGATGTGGACCAAGTGCTCTGTCTAACTTGAACCTCAGTGTAACATATGCAAACATATATACATACATACATACATACATACCTACATACATACATACATACATACATACATACATACATACATACATACATACATACATGCATACATGCATCATACATACATGTATACATACATACATCAGTATACACACATGCATACATACATACATACATCAGTATACACACACATATATATCCAATTAAATTAAATTCTGAGCTACTATTCAGAGTAATCATTAACATTATAAATTCAGTTTGCAGGATACTCATCGGACTCTCTAGCAGAGCGAATTTTGGGATCCAAAGCGAAAGTGCTTATCACGACCGATGGCGTATGGAGAGGCGAGAAACTTCTTCTACTAAAAGCCATCTGCGACGAAGCTTTGAACAAAGTGAAAAAAAACGGTCACGAGGTAGAGCATTGCGTGGTAGTAGCGCATTTGAGGAGGCTTACTAGTCCGCAAGGTGTTAAGTCCGACACGACAGGTAGAAAACCGATAGATTTATATTTTATTAAACAGAATTAAACGCGTGTTAGTTATCATTATGTTAATAAGTTTCGCTACTATCTTATAATATATTTTGAATGATCTGTTAACTGATCAAGACATGGAAATGTTGTAAATAATTCTGCAAATTAAAGGAAAGACGAATGGAGTGAACGGTACCAGTGACGGAAATGGTGTGGACTTTCCCGAAATACCGTGGGATGACGATCGTGATGTGTGGTGGCACGATGAAATGGAAGAGGCCGAAGATAAGTGTTATCCAGTGTGGATGGCTGCTGAAGATCCAGTATTTATTTTGTACACCAGGTAGTTCCCAAAAATTGTACTTAATTATACATAAATTATATCAATTATTCAGTTTGTACAAGGTATATAAATTCATTTGTTATATGTAGTATTTCTTTTTAAAATAGTGGTTCCACGGGAAAACCGAAAGGTGTACTTCATACCACGGCTGGTTACTTAATCTATGCAGCAACGACATTTAAATATGTATTTGATTATCATCCTGGTGATGTGTATTGGTGCACAGCCGATGTTGGCTGGATCACTGGTCATACTTATGTTGTTTATGGCCCATTGGCTAATGGAGCTACATCGGTTCTTGTAAGTTTCGTGATGTGGGTGTAGTACAGTCTCGCTATATGACTCACTAAATAGGTTACACTTTATAGGGCAGAGAGAATTTCCAAATTTAGTCTTTCAAAATTTCTATTCAGAAATTGAGAAATTTAGATATTTTCAAGTTATAAAATTTCAGATATTTAAATTCTAGAAATATAATTTCGATATTTGGAAATTTGAAGCAGTTGTATTGCTGCACATTGTCTCACATGATAATTGACGCGCTGCATTACCACATGTTGTATTACCACACGCTGCATTAGCAAATGTGACATTGCCAAATGTAGCATTACCAAGCGCATTATTTTCAATGATTGTGTAGTAATACTGTGGCTACACATTGTATTAGTTTTACCACGCACTGATATACCAAGCTGATTGAATTGAATCACTGTGTTGCGTTGCCATTTTATTCTAATGCGGTGTATCGCCACACGTTATATCTCAACGCATTATACCTTCGCAATACCGTGACGTGTTCAATCACTCTTATTAATTTGAATACGCGATTCACAGTCACGCGTATACATACACATACATAATATAAGTGCATATTTATTCAATTAGTAGATGGTCACTAATAGCACTTTGACAACCAAGCTTCTCTTCATGAAATTCCATCTATATGAAATTATCTTCTACTTCTTTATATTGATATAAAGATATTTATATTATAATATTATAAAATATTTATATCTTCTACTTCTACAACTTCAGAAGCATTTAACAAGACTGTACTATACCTTTCATTCAAAATTCATTCCTACAAATATTTAATAAATTCAACCATAAATACTAATATGTAAAATATTTTTTTTTTGCTGTGCAGTTTGAAGGAACACCGTTTTACCCAGGTAACGACCGATACTGGTCCGTCATCGACAAGTACAAAGTCAATCAATTTTATACTGCACCCACCGCGATCAGATCGCTGATGAAGTTCGGAGATGAACTAGTAAAGAAACATGATCTCTCTACTTTAAAAGTAAGTCAAACCTCAATAAAGTTAATGTCCATTTATTGGCGAAGATTTTATAATAAAAGAGTATATTATTGTAGGTATTGGGTTCGGTTGGTGAGCCGATAAATTCTGAAGCTTGGCTTTGGTTCTACAATCTCGTCGGTCACGGAAAGTGCAGCATATCGGACACATTTTGGCAAACGGAAACTGGAGGTCACGTGATTACACCTCTTCCTGGTGCCACGCCAATGAAACCGGGCTCTGCAGTAAGTTACAATCTTGTATTTCTTCCTATAATGTTGAAGAATTAGTCGGTTAAATTGTACGTTTCTTGCCAGACGTTCCCATTCTTTGGCGTTTTACCAGAATTGTTGGATGAAGATGGTCGATTGATCGAGGGAGAGGGAGAAGGATATCTTGTTTTCCGTCAACCTTGGCCAGGAATGATGAGATCGCTGTACGGAAACCATCAACGCTTCCAGAATACGTATTTCGATAGATTTCATGGATTTTATTGCACCGGCGATGGTAAGCTCTTATCGTTTATTGAAGTTACGCTCTTGGGAATAGACTCATAGTTTGCTTGTATTAATCTTTCTTGGAATATCGGATTTTTTTAATTTTTCATGTGAGCCTCTATCTTATTGTTAAATATGTTTTGCGTTTGCCTTTCTGATAAATGATAAACTCTACAAGATTATCAATAAAAATGTTAAGGAATTAAGTAAGTTATCTAGCAAAGGGATGTCTAAAGTGGATTCCAGCATATTTCGCGTCTTTCCCAAGTTCCTCCTCGATTCTCAACAACTGATTATACTTCGCGGTCCTCTCGGTTCTGCAGGGTGCTCCAGCCTTAAACTGCCCAGCGGACAAACCAACGGCTAAATCAGCCACGAAATTATCCTCCGTTTCACCTTGACACGCCGCCACGACGTATCCCCAGTTACTGATTCTCGCCAGTCTCGCGCAATTGATCGTCTCCGTTACAGTTCCAATCTGCGACATTTTCAGAGTAATAGCGTTGGCCATCTGCCTCTCAATCGCTTCCTCGATCCTGTCGATGTTCATCGCCGTCAGATCATCCGCAACAATCTGAACTTCTTCTTGATGATCGGCCATCGTGAGCCAACCTTCCCAATCATCTTGATCGAACGGATCCTCGATGGACACGACGGACGGGTACTCTGATAGGTACTCTAAGTACTGATCACGCAGCGCTTCTGCTTCCATGTAGTCGTCGGGGTCAGACTCTTCGGTTTTAAATTGTAAATCGTATCCTCCTGATGGGAAAGTTTGGGTTAATAATTTTGTATGAGTTAGGCATAGTTTCTTTTATAGTTAACCTTCTTTGTAAAAGGCACTGGCGGCCATGTCCAAAGCTATCTTAATTCTTCCCTCATAACCTGCTTCTCTGATGGATTCGTCTAGTAACAATAAGGCTTCTCTATCTTCTTCCAATTCCAAAGGAGTGAATGCGCCTTCGTCGCTAACGGGAAGTGGTAACTGTATTTCCTGTGCGGTTGCAATTTTTCTCTCCAATACTTTGTATACTTCTGTGCCCATCTTCATCGCATCCGCGAAACTTTCCGCTCCTGATTAAAATCGGACACAGATGAAAATCTATATTCTAAGAAAGTATATATCTAAACATACCTATGGGTAAGATCATAAATTTCTCGCATGGTAAAGTGTTGTTGGCGTGTCTGCCTCCGCTGATCATGGTGAAAGACGGAACAGGGAGATAAAGCTCCGAATTCTCAGCTAATTCAGCAATGTATCTAACAGAAGAATAGCAAATGTAATTACTGATACGTGATGGTACTAATGTGATTTTTGTAGATATCACCTGTAAACCGGAAGTCCTTTCTTGGCCGCTCCAGCCTTGCAAGATGCAATGGAAACACCAAGGATCGCATTCGCGCCTAATTTCGATTTATTCTCAGTACCGTCCAATCGGTTCAGCAAACTATCTATCTCCATTTGTTGGCAAGCCTCTAATCTCGATTTCAAAAGTTGCGGTGCAATAATGTTGTTAATTACATCAACGGCCCTGAACACGGAGCGTCCATGATACATAGCTTCATTTCCATCCCTTAGTTCCTGCGCTTGGTTAGCACTCGGCGTTAGAATCGACGGCACACAAGCTCTCAGTAATCCAACATCCGTGATCATATCCACTTCCAATGTCGGTTCACCTCTGGAGTCGAAAATTTGGCGAGCTTTAAGTTTTTGAATTGGCATCTTGTCCTGTTTATGTTTTCTGAATGACTATTTCAATGTTAGATGTGGTCTATTTATGAATGAGGATATGGTTTGTCTATTGTATGAGATACATTTTGTTTGTTATTGAGAATTTTGAAGGGAAAATGGTTTTGTGAACTACGCCATGTTTGTAGACATTTTCAACTGGAAATAGTTGAAGTACACTATACAGGGTGTGTAGTTGTAACTCCATCAATTTTATATTATTTTATTTTCTTGTAAAGTTAACAATTAGGGGTGTATCAGCTTAATGGAACACTTGGTACATATATTTATTTTATGAGTCTGGGGAGATGAATTGAAACAGCCCTGTTTATTAAATATACACTTATTATGTATATACTCTTTTACAGAATACTTGTTCTTATCTGACAACAAATTATTTTATAACATACATATGATTTTAGGCGCCAGACGTGACGCAGATGGCTATCTATGGATAACCGGCCGTGTAGACGACATGTTGAATGTCTCTGGTCACTTGATGTCCACCGCTGAAGTAGAAAGTGTGTTGACTGAACATTCCGCTGTGGCTGAAGCTGCTGTAGTTAGTAAACCACATCCTGTGAAAGGACAATGCCTGTATTGCTTCGTGACACCCAATCAGGAAGCATCATTTGACAAGAAGCTTCAAGATGAACTTAAAAAGAAAGGTATATACAGAAGAACGTATACATCCGTTTTCAAATTAAGATTTTTGCTAAAGAACAGTATTTTAATTTAATGAATTGTTAACAGTGCGTGACAGAATCGGACCTTTTGCTCAACCCGACGTCATTCAATACGCCCCAGGATTACCAAAGACGCGATCCGGCAAAATCATGAGACGTATACTCAGGAAAATAGCAGCGGGCGATAGAAATGTCGGAGACGTGTCGACGTTAGCCGACGAGACTATCGTTGATCTTCTGTTCCAGCTGAGGCCGCAAGTTTAAAAGCGCGTCGTCGACATAGCCTCTATCAAATGAAACGTAGTTAGCTTAGAAACGAAAGCAAAAGAAAGACACACTTCCGATGATCGATAAATATGCAAGGCTACGGAACTATAGTTATTAACAAGAGTAACGCTAAAAATTACTGCTAAATCTCTGAGGAAAGAACTATCGAGGTTGAAATAATCAATAGAATGATCGAGCTCTGAAGTAGTGTCCCTAACTTAAATGAAACTTCCGTTTTATACGTTAGAATTGTTACCTTTTTTTGTTAATAGTTTTTATTTATAGTACTATTTATCAATTATTTGTATAGACAATTACAGCGCGGTAATAGTTACTGCTTTTAGTCGATATATTTTAATTTCATCAATCACCTGTTTGTCAGCTTCAAGATTTATTTAAACCACCATTATAATTTCATTCGATTTGGAAAATGATTTCATGAACGCGCTAAAATTGTTGTGAGAATAATTAAGGATGCGATATGAAACTATATAAAGCTGAAACTAAATCTATTTGTGATTTCTGAAAGATCGATTACTTAGATATACTTCTTGTTGCGCACTGATCATCATCGTAGCAATATTTTGTGAACATATAAAGTTAATATCAAAATCGAAGTATATATAGTCATTGTTCGACATTGTTGAAGAAAACTTTTATAAGATATACGCCCATGACGCACGCGTTCAAACGATTTATGATAAATATGAAAGTATTCCAAAAGCTTTTGAAAAGTTTACAAAACCGTTTAATACGACTATATTTTCGATGATGCGATGTTATGTTGCGATAGCATTTTAAGAACGTTATCATAGAATTTCAGTTGGTTTCGTTCGTATGCGTAGCCAAGTTATAATTTATTTCTAGATCTCTTTTTAATCTTGTTTAACGCGTTTACTCGTTTATAACGACTTCCGGTAACGAAAGCGCTCGTACAGGTTCTAATTCGTTTGTAAAATCTTCGTCCAATGAGAACTAGAATGACAGAAAATTATATATAGATTAAGAACACTTTTCGTTGATAAATTTCCCTTAAGTCATTAAGAATAGTTTTCGAAAGGTTACTTAACTTTAATAAAAATATTTTTATTACAATTATTTTCTTGTTCCTTGAGGGACAAGAGACCTAATTATACGCACGATCGTTAACGCACTGTACAAGGAAGTCGCATTTTCCCATAAGTTTTTTAGAAGGCTGGTTTTACAATGTAACTGTTATACGTACTATGTGTAAGGTGAGCCAAATGAAATGTTGCCTCGTGTCTCTCTGTTCGGGACGTAACATACATATCATTCCTCGCGGAACAAATCAACTATAGGTGTGATAATGATATATACATATATTAAAAGAATTATATATATGTATATTACATGGAATAATGCAAAAGCATCTATATGTAAATATATATATGTTGAAGGACAATTAAAATTGGTCTGTTAAGTCAAATTATGTGATTCATTCATTCTTCCCTTATACAATAACATCTCATCTAATTTGGCTATTTTTAATTATTTTGCTATTTCATAAATACAAATAAATTCAAGTGGTATAAATTTTTGTAACATTTCACATTAAACAAAAATTTTTTAAAATATATTATATACTTCCGCTTTAAAAATGAAAGGTTACTATAAAAAATTACTATTTTATTTAAAATTACTACTTTAATTTAATTAAAAAAAAATAATTAATAATAAATTATTCGTCGTTAATAATAGAAAAAGAAAATTCATTTGAGGTATCGAAGTATCGATTTCATGATCAAGTGGCATAAAAGTGAATTACGATTTCCGCAGAGTGGGTCGCCACTGTCGCTTTCATTCGCGAGAATCAGTGACGGAAGAACCGCATTTTAAAACCAGCTGACGAGATGTTACGTCAGTTAGTCGGTAGCCGTTGCCATTGGACGCATGATGTGATTACCTAGCGCCTGTTACTACAGAATTCTAAACTCGTGTTTTTTCATTCTAAATTTCAAGCGTTTTACTAAAATATGTCTAACGTCAACGAATACTACAGAGCGGTCCTTCAGTTAGTGAAGGAAGCAGGCTCGGTAAGTGATGTTTTCTCTTATAAAAACGACAAGCGGCAACTCTTGTTTTGAGTATAAAGTTATTCTTGGCCGATAGCGGGTTTATCGATTTTGTACGTAGCTTCAGATTTCAATCGAGTTCTCACTATCGTTTTCGTTATATTCGCGCTATGCTGTCCTGTCGAACACGTTATTGTTATTTGTTCGATAATGAATATTGACAATAGTTTTGCAATAGTGTCGGCATGTCTGTTATGATGCAAATTATAATTATGATGCATTGATCGATATTATGTATTAACATTACTGTGTTATTTAATATAATCTATTATACACTTTTTTTGTGACATTTTCGTAGGTAGAAAGATAATTACATTACTTCATAGAGGGGGTTTGTACTTGTTCGGCTTCTTAGAAGCGCGGTTATCGTGCTGAGTGAAATAACACCTCACTGTTATTTTGCGATGATTCAGTTTAGAATTATGATTTATAACCTATCATTACCACTATAGTCATTATGAACAACAGTATATTTTTTATCTCGCGATAGCGCGAGAATTTTAATAACGGAAGATTTGACTACTATTCAAATACGATGACATAAATGTGAAATATCTTTTATCGGGAATAGATCAAATTAAATATTAACTACGAAATTTATAGATCGTAAGGGAAAAGATTAACCAACCTCAGGATCCGATGACGAAATCCTGCGATGTCGATCTTGTCACTGAATGGGATCAAAAGGTCGAAAAATTGTTAATCGACGGAATATCTTCCAAATTTCCTGATCACAAGTATGTTATGTTATTATAATTTATAGTTAATAATTTTGTGTTCACAGGGGCGGATCTACAAGTTGTCTTACTGAAAATATATTTTAAATCTTTTGTTTATATTTTATTTAATATTTTCATAAAAAAAGTTACAGTATATATGATGAAATAATTTATATTAGTAAAGCAAATATAAAAACTAAGATAGCAAATGTAATTTCATTTTTTAATGTAACTGAATTTTTTATGTTTTCATACTTCTTGGAGGAGCCCCCATTGCCCCCTTTCTGGATCCGCCACTGGTTGACATTTTCATTCGAACTTCATCGCCACAACCGAAGATTGCAATATCATAAATGACAATAAACGTTGGGAACAATTTATAAAAAATATTGAAAAGATAAATTATATCTTAAATTATAACATCATGCCAGCAAACTTTCTTGAAAGAAGTTATATTAATACGAAAAGTACTCATTAGGAATTTTTTAAGAATTTAATATTGAAGCACAAAGATCCTATTATACGTCGACTATGAAACGTAGCTTGAACGTCTGCAGCCATTGAAGAAGCGACTATAATCGATCAGCTTTCAATTATATTTTTTCCATCAGTTGCTTTCCTATTATGAAATTGCTTTCTCATGAATCGTTCTACTAAGGGTAATGAATTCAATGGAATACCATTTGACCTTGTCAAGTCGTACATTCGACGCGTTGTATGCTCTTTAAGCTCATTATGTTTGGAACAAACCACGGCTCATAATCTGCTGCTAAGGGCCTCGAGATATGGAGGACGGAATTTTCCATTGGCGAAACTGATCCTAGCCGAAAGAATGTCTCTTGAAATAAATATTTACCACATATGAGATCATACTTGGCTACGCAATTAAAACAGAACAAACATAATGATTTGCTCTATTATTTCACTATCATATCACACATCTCACTGATAAATCAGAAAACAATGTCTTACGCCATACTATGCAATATGGATATGGAATAGGAAAGATGAAATGTTCAATGATAGTAAAACTATATTTTTGCAGATTCATTGGCGAAGAAGGAAGCTCGCTTGGGAATAAAGTCGAATTAACTGACGCACCGACATGGATCATCGATCCCATCGATGGCACGATGAACTTCGTGCACGGTCTGCCGCTCACATGCATATCGATCGCATTGTTAATTAACAAGGTCCCCGAAATTGGAATTGTTTATAATCCTATCTTGGAACAACTCTTCACCGCCTGCAGGGGCCAGGGAGCGTTTCTCAATGGAGCCCCTATTCGTGTTTCTGGAGAGAAGGGTGATTATTTATACTTTTATATTTTTGGGACAATTGATGTGAATAGAGCTGTATATATACGGTGTCCCATCTGAACTTTCACATGCAATTATTGATTGAAACACTGAAACAGTGAAATACATTGAAACACTGAATAATATCATTGATATTAAATATTAATATTATTACCTTTCTTTTCTGTTTATAAATTCAATTCAATTTCTTTCAGAATTGCGGAAGGCTTTAGTAATGATGGAAATGGGCACAAGCAGAGATCCAGAGAAAATGAAGATTGTATTAGAGAACGCTAGTATCCTTACTCCACAAGTTCATGGGTAAAAGATTGTTTCCTTAAGTCCTATGAAAGTTTTGAGTATAAATCAAGTCATTGTACTGTTATATTCTGGCAAAGATAGCCAAGGCTAATTTCATAAGTATTTTAATATAAGTATGTCATATTTGCTTGACCTCTTCAAGGTCATATAGACCTCATTATAATAATTTTGTCTTCAAAGTTCTTACTTTTATTTCTAAAGTAAATATCTCCTGATGTAATTTTTTTAAAGCATATTTGTACATTATATGTTTGTAGAATACGAAGTTTGGGATCTGCAGCTTTGAACATGTGCATGGTAGCTCGTGGTGGAGCAGATATTTCTTTTGAATATGGTATTCATGCTTGGGATATTGCAGCTGGTGATATTATTGTGAGAGAAGCTGGTGGCGTGTGCATAGATCCAGCTGGTAATTCATAAACAACAGAACTTCAATAGAAATTGTGTTTTTCATACGGCACTTGATTTTTATAATCTTAATTTTATACTGTATTTCAGGTGGTCCATTTGATGTGATGAGCAGAAGAGTATTATGTGCGTCAACAATGGAGTTGGCTCAAGAATTAGCTAAAATTCTAGTTCAGTATTATCCTGAGCGCGATTGAAACTCTTGAGATATCAAGAAAATTAATTTCAAATATCTGCGTCAATTGTGTACGTGTTTAATGTACATAAGATTTGTAATTCCTTTTTCTCTCGACTGTACAACGCAGATTCGACATTTTCGTTGATCTTGCAAGCATTTAAGGTTTACAGATTAAAACAAAGGTTCAAAAAAATGTGTCTGTTTATTAGCTTCGTACATTTATGTCATATTTATTTAAATGTAAATTGAATATTACATCCACATTGACGATGAGTTAAATGTTTAACATTACTGTATATTGAAAGAGAGGCATACGAATGCAAATGTAATATGTCCTTTATTGAAATATAATGTGAAATAAATTGAATTATTTCATTATTAGAACACGCCTTTTATCCCAGTAATTATTTCTGATTTACAATTTCCGAATTACAAATTAAAACCATTTTTAATTATCTGAAAACTGAAAGCCATGAATATTAGTATCATGTCATTTTTTAGTGTTACCTATACTTACGTTATGTACATATATAAAAAAATATATCAGAATTGTTCAATACGTTTAATCCTTAGACAACCAATTACAATGATAAAGCCAACATTTTATTTTCAATTCATTAATTTTATACTACTTTTCCAAAATTATCTCTCAGTGTATTTTGTTTAAAAAATGATAAGTTTAATTTTAGTTAAAATACCATTCAATAATTTCGTAAGTTCGTGTAACGATTGACCCAGATCGGCCATCCAAGGATTACAGCCGAATAAAAATATAGATTTTATATACCTCACCTGTGCACATACTTACGGTTCTGTTAATCTTAACGAAAGCTTAAGACAAACCTCCCTGTTGATACAAATTTATATTAAACACTCGGTGATCCACTTTTTGTGACAGGCATCATAATTATGCAGTTGTCAAGCTCCGCTGCCGTGAAGATTTTACTCCATTTTCTTCATCATCATTGTTTTCCATCAACAGCTTTTTTCATCTCTTCCATTGTCTCCCCTCCTCACAGGGAGGGCTACAAGTGAAACATTACCAAATTGCCAATTAGAAAACTATATGCATAATCTGAGATTTTGTGTATTCATTTTATTTCCGTATTGAAATGTGCTCGAAACATTTATTTCCCCCATTTTATTATTTTAAAATTTGATATTCAATGTTTCAGAAAATTGAGAGTTGATATAATTTAAATAGTAATATTTATTTTTTTCTAAATTAGTTTATACTTTTTAATATTCTTAACTTACAAGAGGAATGCATGAACTTTGGAACACAGATTTGGTTCAAACTGAGTACAATCACAGGGAATTTAAAAAGTAATAATTTTGCAAAATGATGACTTTCCTAGAAGCAATTCACATCGAGATTTTTAATTTCTATTTAATAGTAAGATAAGAAAAAATACTCGAAATAAGAATAAAAAGAACTTATTCTAGAAAAGTACACACTGAAAATTATTACACCTTAAAATTGTAATCAGTTTGAACCAAGTGTTACAAAGATCTCGTATTCTAATTGTCAGCAATATATAAAAGAATATAACTATTAAGTACATATAAAAAGAAAATATCTTGTTTTAAGGAAAGCAAGGATGATCATTATAACGACTTGATTCTGTTTTACGATGTAATTGTGCAGCTTTCGATTTTTGCAATATTACGTCGTTTAACGTGAAACGGATATACTAAATATCCCATAAGGCAGTCCCCCATGAATACCTTGCAACGGGATCGCCGTTAAATGCCCATGATAGGTCCAACCGCGCTTAACGATGCTTTGAATCGAAGACTCATCTGAAACATAAGCATCCTCGTACAATATTGCCACACAAGAAATGTATACCATGAACCATTCAAACAGCATTGACGTTCTGTCGCATCTTACAAAAATAAATAACGTAATATTAAAATAAACAGATGAAAAAAAACTTAATTAAGCTACGATACGAAATCGTGAGCTACAGTGATGCGTCTGTTGAAAGCGATTGAATAATCTTTGGTCAATTAATGTAATATTCGTTGGTAATTATTTGAAACTCCTATTTCTCAGTGCAAATATATACATTATTATTTTCTTATATACTCCTGTCTTTACATTAATTGTCTAGATAAATGCAAGTTGCCAGATATGAAAACGATTATTAATACTATAACGATCGACAGAGTGTTAACATAATTATAATAACTTATTTTGCACCACTTCCTAAGATACACTTCGGCTACCTATCTCCTTGTCATTAGATTAAAAACAGATTACAATTCTTTTCTTTAAATAATTATTTGCGGCACGCGATACAGCGCGATTAAGACTGAAAGTATGAAATTACAGGGCTCGTTTCTCATTCTGTTAAGCATGTGTCGTTTTATTTCAATAACCTACTTACTATACAATTTGTTTCTTCTTTGCCGGTACAAGTTCCCTTGTTACCGGGCTTCGTGTCAGCGCGACGACACACAGAAGAACAAGAGAGGAAAAAAAAGAAGAAGAGAATCGTACGATCAAAATTCGTTCAAGTTTTACAATTTCCACGAGATCTCCTTCGTCGCGAACGTAACACACCATTTAATGGATTTATGATATAATAATAATAATAATTAATAATAATAATAATAATAATAATAATTTACACGAGATTTATTAGTCGTGAAAGAAGTCGCGCGTTTGAATTGAAAGATTTAGAGAAAAAGAAAAAATACTATGTACCACCATTCTTTATGCTAAGTATCGATGGCCAGTTCACGCTGAAAGAGGCGGTCACATTTATCCCCAAGTTCATTTTTCATCCACAGAAGTATTTTGATTTACCATTGTAATTGCGGCGAGCCTCCTCCTTCTAGTATTCACCGTTGGTTTATTACTTTATCGCTGCTGTGCACAAAGAAAGAGAAGAAATAAACGAAATCTTTTAAGCGGGTTCAATTTTCGAAAAAGAGATTTTTTACGCCCTGATACACTACATTGTTCCGAGCTGTGTACAAACACCTGTCGTTTTATGATCGTCGATAAATGCATCAGTGAACTCCAACATTATTATTACTTTTTTTTTTTATTATTCATCGCTCGTACTTGGTTATTTTACTTAATATAAAAATATTGCACTCTATTGACCTGCAATAGTTATCGTTCATTAAATAATACGGTTCAGATTGATAGAGTACAATGTGTGATTCAAATCATTTGTTTCCCTTGTACGTATGTATTTATTTATCTGGAGAATGTGTGTTTTTTCTGTTACTTATAGACGGAGCTAGTGACAACGTGAAACTTTTGCACCGCCTCTTTCTGCTAAAACGGATACAAGACATTCAATATAAGGAGACACCGCTTATGTTAGTATGTTTTTATAGTATACAACAAATCGTTAGCGGTGTCGTTTCTTTTTTTTTGCAAATTACGTCAATGAATTCTCCGATGTGGGACCCCGGACAGGGTTACCTAGATCTTTTCTTGTATAAAGGGATGTGCCAGAGCGTGGTTCACTGTGATCCTCTTTCCTGCGTCCAACATTAACGTTCGTTCCAAGAGATCCTTCAATTGTCCAACTTTACGGCTTTGTTCCGGTGGCAATGAGTTTCCGCCTAACTCTGCACCAAGATCACGAGTTGCGGGTATTGTTGACATTACTACAACTTTCGCCTAAAAAATGAAATTTGTGGTTTTACAATTCACAGTCTGTTCGGTAATAAGCATCAGAATGGCTCTTATTTATTTTTGATGACAATTTTCAAATTTTTAAATTGTCATAACCTTAAAGTTCCAAACTCCAATTCTTTAATCTCTTTGTTCTTTTATTTAATTCAACATAAACACACGGAATTCTTATTAGAAGTATATTATACAAATAAGAGCCATCCTAATAAGCATAATCGTTAAGTGACTTACCACACGGCAAAGGGCAAGGTTGGAAAAAAACAGTAGAAAGACAACTTACCCGCTCTGTGACCTTATCAATTTCATGATACAGGAAATTGCAGTTAGAGTCAAAATGCTGATCCTTGAATGTGCCTTTCCTAATCAGCTTATTAGGAATTTTGCCTTTTAGGTCCATGAAGAATTTCAACATTTGGTTGTTGGTTTTGCCGGAGAACATTATTTTTCCCGTGTACAATTCATATATGGTGCATCCCACGGACCACATGTCAATGCCGAAATCATATGGCGTGCCAAGAACTAGAAAATGCCTGTGTTATTTCTACGGTACATGAGAATGTTGATTAAATCACTATGACAGTTGGGGTTCACCCCAAGTTGGGTTTTGATCAATGTATCAAAGCCAGAGTTTCCGTTTACGTATTGAAAAATAATACGACTAACGCAATCAGCCGCTGAAAATTATTTGTTTCTATCGAGTGTGTATACTGTTTCGAATCGTTTTGTACCATGCTTTTCAAGAGACGCGCTCTTGCATGGCTATCAGAAGCTGGTTCAAAGTAGAAGAGTGGTGAGTAAACACAGATTAATCTCTTGAGTTTGTCAGTGATATACATTTTAGATGATTAAAATGTAATTAGAGGAATTAAAAAATAACCCAAGAAATTAGTATTGTTGGTTAGGCTATTGAAGATATATTTGAGCGGCGAGTAAGAATGATTGATACTTACTAATCTCAGGAGCCCGGTAAAATCTTGATACAAGATATGGCGCTATTTCATTCTCATGAGCATGAGAGGCTGAACCGAAATCGCATAATTTCAATACTAGCTTGCTCTCACTGACTAGAATGTTATCCGGTTTGATGTCAGCATGCAGAATATTTGCACGTTTTAATAACTTCAGAGCAAGGAAAAGTTGCTGCGTATACGATCTTACCGCTTTTACGTGTAAACCAACGTCTTTCCCGTACTTTTTTAAAACCTGAACACAATTTTTATATAATGAACTGTAATAAATGACTGACATAAAATAACAAACTTACCTCTCTTAAATTCATAGCTAAAGGTTCAAACACCATACATAAATGATTCTTATGATAGAAATGCCTAAAAAGTCGTAAACAATGAAATCTATCCTCTGGATCAGCGTCATTAAGTTTTCTAAGGATTTCTAACTCTTTAAGGCCAGTCTTATGCCTAAAATAAAAAAAGGAAAGAGTGAATATATTGATTAACTTTGACATTATATAAAAATGTATTATAATTACATTATTTCATTGTTCCTTATTATTTTTACAGCGACATCCAGATTGCCTCTAGCACTGTCTCTAGCTCTCACAACGTTACTAAATACACCTTGGCCTGTATATCCATAAACAACGTATCTAGAATCTAAAGTTTCACCTACACGTACTCTAAAAACAGAGTCAAATACATTCTTCAAATAATAGGATCAAAATACAAAGAACAAAAAGAAGAAAAGTCATACCTATAATATCCTTCTGCATCATCCCAGTTGTCTGTTAAACTAGGATTATCAGGGCCACCTTGTCGCTTCCCTTCGACAGTTGGACTCTGTGTAAAACAATAATATTCGGAATTAGATTAATTTTTTTTTAATATATCAGAAATTTAAAAAATATGTGCAATCTGCAAATATAATAAAAATTGTAGACGTACATTAAAATCACCAATATTATCTGCCTCAGCAAACATGTCCCATTCGTTTGCCTTCTTTGCATTTTGTTTATCATCTTGTTTAACTTTTTCTGTTGGCTTTGTATCCTCAATTTTCTCAGTCTCTTCTGACGGTGCATCTTCAAACCTAGATTTTCTAGCTTTGATTAACGGTGACTTTGGTTTCTCAGGCAGTGGTGGGGTATGACTCTCTGAAGTGGATTCGTTATTGTTTGATGGAATTTCTATGGATTTCTGAGATACGTTTGATTGACTTTCTGAAGGCGGTGTAGCAGGAACAGTGTTTATGTCGGCAGACATATTTGAATCTTCATTTGGTCCACCTAACCTCTGAATTAAGAACACAAATATTTACTCTTAACTCTTCAACATTATTGCACGAAGATAATACTAGTATTGGAATATAAATTAATATTAAACAGTATAATAAAATAAGCATACCTTAAGAAGCGCTTCTCTTTGCTTTCTCCTACGTTCTATAATCGCTTCTTCATCCTCTTCTTCCTCGATATCAATATCCTTGATATCCTCTTCGCTCGAACTTTCTGAATGATCTATTTTCAGTCCTTCAGATAAAGAGTCTTTGTATTTATCACCCCGTTCCCTTTTACCATTTTTCTCTCTGTCTCTGTCATGATCTCTGATGTGTTTGTCTCTATCTCTCCGACTTCGAGACAACGATCTCGAGTGTTTGTACCGATCATTTCGATCTCTGTCTAATCTACTTCTAAGAGGGCTACGTGACCTTCTCACGCTTCTTGACCGGTCCCTGATCCTGTCATGATTTCGGCTGTCCCGTCGATCCCGAACATCATTGCGGTCGCGACTTCCTCTACTATCTCTGTGTCGGTCTCGACTAGCATGGCGTTCCCTACTGTCTCTTTTATCACGGCTATGTTTGTCTCTGCTAGGAGGTCTGTCTCGGCTACGACGGTCTCTACTCGACGGCCGATCTCTGCTGGCGTGACGATCTCTACTAGCATGACGATCTCGACTGACGTGTCTGTCCCGACTAATGTGACGGTCCCGACTGATATGTCGATCCCTACTAACATGTCTGTCTCTGCTAACATGTCGGTCCCGACTGACGTGGCGATCCCGACTACCTTGTCGTTCTCTGCTTTCCAACCTGTCACGACTATCCCGCCTTGACTTGTCAGATTTGTCTAATGATTTGTATTCATTACGGGATCTGGAATTACTGTGATGATCTGAATCTCGTCGGCGATCTTCTTCCCTGTAATTAATGATTATTGAAATGTATTAGATTAGTAATGGGTAAAACAAGCACCTATCCATCAACTGTTGTATAAGAATGTCATATATTCAACGTACCGTCTATCTTGTTCTCTTTTACGCGACTCGTCTCTTTTAATAGAATCTTTACGTTTATCATCTTCCGGCCTTCTCTTATTATCCTCCTTTCGGGAATCGTCTCTGTGCCTATCGCTCGGTTTTCGTACTTGCCTATCATCTTTCCTATTGTCATCTCTCCTTACTTCCTCCTTGGTACGGATTTTATCCTCTCTTCTCCTGTCAGAATCTCTTCGTTTCTCTTTATGTTCTTCTCGACTCCTACGATCTCTGCTCATATCCACTACCACGCGTCTTTCAGGTTTCGCTACTTTTTTGCGTTCTCTACTACCAGATTTACTTCTAGCTCTTTTCTTGGGAGGTATATTGTCATTCTCGCTATCATCTTCAACAAGTATAACATCAGGTGTTTCTGTGACTTTTACTTCATCTTGATCTGGTTCTTTATCTTCTTTTTCAGATTCATCTGAGAGGTACTGTACTAAACATGCTTGTAACCTTTCCTGTAGAAACATTAGGGTACAATTAAAACTTTGTATATTTATATATAAACATTGTTTTGGAAGAAACTTTACCTTCTGTTTCATTAACTCTTCGAGATCAATATCATCCTCAATGATTGTACAATCTACTTCGTCTGAATCTAAATCTACTAATTTTTCATCTTCGCTTTCTTCCGTAGAAACCACTTCTAATAAAGAATTTTTTACTTTGCCATTTACGCCTATGTCTTTCTGAATCACACGGGTTGATTTCTCATCTAGTGATCCATTTTCGACTTCTCTTTCTTTTTTAGGTCGTTTATGTTTCTTGTGTCTCTTTCTACAAAGTATTCAATAACATTCAAAATGATGAATTAAATAATAGTCATTAAAAGACAAATCTTACACACCTTTCTTGTCTGTCTATCCTACCATCTTCTCTTTCAATTAATTTATCTTTTTTATGCTTATGATGCTTATGTTTTCTTTTCTTTTTCTTTCTTTGGTCGATCAACATGTCGGATTCAGAGTCTATACCGACAATGTCTCTCTTAGAGTCTAAACATTCTAAATCCGATGTACTGAAATACAATTTGACGATAAATTACTGTACAAGAAATAATATGCATTGTTAATGCGCTGAATAATATTATAAAAAGTAAATGTAACGTGGTGATTTATATATTAATCTTTAGAATATTTGTACAAATGCAGTTGAGTAGCATTAAACAGAGCAAATTGCGAAATGCTGATGTTACAGAAAAATTAGGTTATTTTTTTAACGTATCTAAATTGAAGATCATTGCAGGAATAAAAGCATTCAGCTGTGAATTCATTAAGCTTCCTTACATTATTCCAAAAATACAAAGGACCTGTTAAAAGTAAACGACATTTATTCCGAAAATAAACAGATGATCACGTAAGTATAAACGATGTAAACAGACAAACAATATACACCTTTTTCCTGTATCAAAATTAAAACCAATCGAATTTCTGTAATGATAAACGTTGAAATTAAAAACTTACCCCATGATTACTATGTGTAAATTATTGTTAAGAAAAAAACTATAGAATTACTGCACAAAACAACTACACGCATATATGAACTCTTTAATGGGCTGCCATCTTATATGTTCGATCGTGTTATTTCGAGATATCTCGTTCCCGTATCGAACTATCGATAAAGAAGGGTTTCTTCCGGTTTCCGTATTCTCAAGTCACACGAAACTTGCTACACTTCTGCTTTTTGTTAATTTATATTATTTCACACTCTCCGTAAGTATTTATTACAATCACATAAGTAATTCTATAATACTGATTTACCAATCTTAATAATTATGCAGCGAAACAGCATAAAAAATACAAGAAACGTATATAATTATCGCGGGTTGGTAGTCACAATGAAAAATAAGTCTTTAATAAGATTTAATACTATAGTCAGAATAATTGCTCAATAACGTTGAAATTTATATTTGCAGTATATTTATTATGGACTCTTTATTGTACAAAATGGTGGATTACGAGTCGTAATAAAAATTGCGCGATTCGAAAGCTCTTAGATACATTTTATAAAAAGACAGATCCAGTGTCGTTGCTCCGTAAAATGATACCGATTGAATGCTATATATAAAAAGTAAAATGACAACATGGCAAGAGAATACAACACCGAAGTGGAACTGTATGCATTGCGTTTATGTGTGAAATTGTATGTTGTGTGTATGGTATTCTTCTACATGTTGTATTATTTATTTGTTATTCATTTGTGCTATACTATGTAACAAAGTTACGTAAGAATTATTTTTATAAACTGTACCATATAAAATGAGTATGTATACTGCATGAGAATGCGTGATACTTTCTAGCACATTTTTGTTTGTCATTTGTTTATGTGAATAGTATACAAGTAGTAAACTATGTAAAAACTACTGCTGTAAATGGCAAATGTTTGCTGTAAATAGCAAAGCGTAGTATAATATCGAAAAATAAGTGTATTTACTGTGTACTGTAATGAAACGGTATAAACTTGAATATTTTATATTTTGAATGTGTAATTTTAGATTCAATAAGTTTAAGTTCAGGTAGATTATATCGTAGTCATAATTGCGAAAATAATATGCGATGCGTTTATAAATTAAATAATTAGTAGCGAAGACTAAATAGTACACAAACAGTGCGCATGCGCGAAGGCGCGCAAAGTACGCGCATGCGCACTAGGTTTAAATTTGATATAGAAACATATTTGAGTATTGTATTATTAATTAGTATTGAAAGTTATTAACTTTTAAATATTCAAGAACCATTAATTTCAAATTGTGATCTATGTAGAATACAATTATTAATTGATTGTAATTATAAAACAAATTGTGGCTTGTTATAATTATATGTAATAATTATAAAACAAATTACAGTTTGTTATAATTATATGTAATAATTATAAAACAAATTGTAGCTTATTATAATTATATGTAATAATTATAAAACAAATTGTGGCTTATTATAATTATATATAATTACAAAACAAAACTTTTCTTCGACCAGAAGGGAAGGGTAAAATTAAAAATACCATCACATAATTTGCAATAATTTAATTCGCAAAATGTCTTACAATATAACGCGAAGTATGCGACGCGTCGTTGGTGAATGTTGCTGTTGTTCTTGCACCTATATTTGTTACGTCTCGCGACACCAACCACGCGTGGCATTTCTTCGTTTCCATTTTTTTCTAATCATTGCTTAACAGTCGCATAAACAGCCGGCCATTACGCCGACGTCTATCATTAATAATTATCATTAATAACGGCAATGGTAACGAGTAACAATTAAATTAAATACATTATACATTACGAATAAATACTAAAAACAGTACTCACTCAACTCGCGTGAGTGACGCTTTCGCGGTATATAAATACAAAGGGATTAAGGTGGGTGTGGGGTGGGGGTAAGGGCGAGGAGTCACGTGCCCTTTCTAAATCATTTCTTTACGCAAATTCGATCATCAACGACCGATTATCACATTCTTCGACGATCCGAGTCTCGGGGTTTCTCTCGTCGAAAATTCAATAATAATTTTTCTTTAAACGTCACGTAGCTGAAAATTGGCGCGAAATACGAAACCCTTCGACAATTTAATTGAGCTTTCATTCGAACACGAAACGAAGAAACGTTACAAGAAATCTTTACAGAAGAAACAATACAGAATTAACAATCGTGAATAGTATGATGTTTAAAATTAAACAAAACGTAAAGATTACATGTAAGGTTTCTTAGCTTCTTTCACAAAGTCGAAGAATTTCTTTTCGAACCAAATTTTCAGTAAAACTATCGAAACACGTTGATACAGAGCAAAGCTCTTTCTATCGATTTCAAGAGTGCACGAGGAAGTCTTGGTCCGTTGTTGAAGAGAAAAAAAAAATATATTAACCTATATGCTGACTAGATTCTACACTCATCCGATCGACTCTTACCATCTAGCCACTACGCGTTGCTTCTAAAGGAACGATAAAACGATTGTTCTCGTTGTTTAACAGTATTCAAGTCAGAGATCAAATATTTGAAAGTTTCACCGTTCGTGGAAGAAGAGATTTGAATTTAAAAAAAAGAAATTCCAGATTATGGTCCTCGATGAGAACGAACTTGAACCTGTTCGTTACTGTTTCGTTAAATCGTACAAATGCTTATTCGAAGAGTTTCTTAGCATAGTGCCAAATGCGGAAGAAGTATTCGTCTTGTCTGAGAAGCCTTGCTCTCGCGTATGAGTGGATGTCTGCGTCCATGTTGTGCTCTCGAAGCCAAGAGCTCGTGTTTTCGGTGCTGAAGCTTATCGAGGCGGTTTCACCCTTCTCGGTGGCTTCTGCGATTGGTTCCACTACTGTCAATTCTGAAAAATAAGTCAATAATTACTTTTCTGTTTAAAATTTCTGGACTTTTACTTGAATATTCAAGGAGGACTTTTCACTTGAATTTTCAAATTATTTTATTTCTACTAAAAATAAAATAAAATATTCTAAATAAAAAATGTACTAAAATTATGTCAAAATGTTTCAGCAAAATTATACCTGAAGCCGGTACGATCTTCAAGGGTTCAGACTCCAAAGGATCGCTGAGTCCAATTTCGTTCCTGGCGAAGATCCTGATGACGTACATGTGGTTCTCCTGTAAATCCCTGATGTTCAGTTTCTGTATATCTGGGGTCACTCGGGCTACTTCCATCCACATCGTCCTCTTTGTGTCTCTGATAGCGATCTTGTAGCCCTCCAATGGTGCACCGCCATCCGAGTCTGGACTTCCCCATGAAATTACTACCGTGTTCGCTGCGATTTGTCTGATCTCCAAAGGTGCCGTTGGTGGGGACGGTACACCTGCAGAAAAGCATCAAAACTTTACTGATCTATCTTTAACTTGTTAATAGCTTGTAACTTGTTGTTAACAGCATAGTAGTAATAGAATTATGCGTTTCTTACTGGCATGAGTCTTTAGGGTAACTGGCTCTGAATTTGCAGGTAAACTGAGGCCCTGACTGTTCTCTGCGAAGATTCTGAAGAGGAATTCGCTTTCTTTCAAGTTCTCGACGCAGTATTGGAGAGTTGTGGCGTCTAGAGTGACTACTTTTGTCCATCTTGCTCCTTTTCCGATTAGTGGCCTCTTCTCGATCACGTATCCTACACGGAAGAACAAAATATGTAATTCAATACTGAAAGCTTACGAGTTCGTTTTGTAAACGTGGGTAATTGTTATGAAGTTCAGGGGTTTGTGTTTTTTAACTTGTTGTAAAATTGATAGGAATGAAGATCTGAACCTTATTGTATGATACTAGAGATACTCCTCTTTACAATTTTATATTTCATTTCTCTGGAAATGAACTTCATGACATTCAGTGTAGAAAGTGATTCCTTTTTAACCCACCAAATGTGAATGTTTTTAAAAGGACAAAGTATGACTGATTTTTTAAAATACGAACTCTGACTGATTTGTTACAATGCAAAATGTGATTGATTTTTTAAAATACAAAATATGACTGATTTGTTATATTGCAAAATGTGATCGATTTTTTAAAATGCAAAATGTGTTTGATTTGTAAAAAGACAAAGTATGAGTGACTTTTTAAAATACAAAGTGTGACTGATTTTTTAAAATGCAAAATGTGATTGATTTTTTAAAATACAAAGTATGACTGAATTATTGAAATACAAATTTTGACTGATTTGTTACAATGCAAAATGTGATTGATTTTTTAAAATACAAAATTTGTTTGATTTTTTAAAATGCAAAGTATGAATGATTTTTTTTAAAGACACAATGTGAGTGATCTTTAAAATATGAACAATAATTCTGGAGATATAAAATGCGATTTATTTAAAAAATTACCTGTAAGTTCTGCGCCTCCAGTGCTAGCAGGTGGTGACCAAGTAAGAGTAGCGCTCTTGCTGGTAACGCTTATAACTTGCACGTGTTGTGGACACGAGGGTGGTGCTAAAAATCAAGCGTGTCATATCATTTATATGGGAAAACGAAAGAACAGACGAACGATAAAAAGCCGGCTTACTTTGGCTGATGACTGTCTTTGTCGACGGGAATATACCCAGCAGAGCGTACATGCTGCTTTCGGTGAGCTTTGTTATTTCTAAGCGACGGCGAGAGCATTAAACAAGCGTAAAGCGCGTTAGTGTGCGAATGAATTAAAGTGTGAAAGCAGTTTTGTGTTTTATATCATTTTACCATTCACATTTGAAGATTTTTCATTTGTACAATTTCCTTTTTTGCATTGCTTTCTTGCATACTATTTTTATTTTGAAATAAAACATTTTTATTTGTTTCGGCAAAGACTTCCAAATTACATAAAATGAAATATGAATTTGTATGGATGTTTGGGGAAATGTAATATAGTATATCATAAGTTGATAACATGTAAAAGTTTTGTGGTTGGTAATTTTTAACGTTGGTAAAATACTGCACTTCAAAATTTAGTTTTTATAATAACAAGAAAGAATTTGAAACATTATATTATTGAAAAATAATTAATATAAGATTCTTTTTTATTATGAAAAGCCCACTATAGAATTGTAGAGTATTGTCATCTAGGAGAAAAGTGGTGAACTGTGACGACAATCGTGTCGGTAATATGGCTACAGCTGGTTGTGCTGTCGGTACTTTATCGACACAACGAAATAATATTGAAGTAAAATTTCGGAAAATTGTTATGTTACGATATTGACCAAATTTGGTAAATAAGCTTTTTTTTTTGCAAAAGAAGGTATCTGGGAGGATGGTTTTTGGTGACTTGAAAGAAAATTTGTTGATATTCTTATGTCATTTCCTATAACATCGACTAACAGTATAGTGTGCGAATTTTTTTGAACACATAATTTGCATATTTAGACCCATAAAATATATTTCAAAGAGCATAAAGTCAATACTAATAAATATATAATAAGTATATAGGATATTAATCAATAAAATGGATATTAATCGAATTTTTTTGGTGGCGCCATCTATCGATTGAACATGGGAACTAACGGAACTACGTGTTTCAAATGCGTGTAGTTCACCCTGTTTGCCGGAGAGATGGCGCCACCAGTTTATATAATTTTTTAATTTAATTAATATTGATTTTATTGATTTATTTACTATAATATGCATTGAATTATATTGGAATGCAAGGTTAATTAATTTTGGAATGTTTTGACTTTACCAAATTAATGTCAATTTGACTTTTTTTTCGAAAATCTGAAGGAGTAAAGAGAAAGAAGAAAAGAAGAAAATCAAGCTCTAAGTCACATCAGATGTTGCAAACTTCTATGTAAACTTCTATGTAGACTTGTATATAAATTTCTATATAAACTTGTCTATAAATTTGTCCATAAACTTGTCTATAAACTTGTCTACAAACTTGTCTATAAACTAGTCTACAAACTTGTCTACAAACTTGTCTATAAACTTGTCTATAAACTTGTCTATAAACTTGTCTGTAAACTAGTCTACAAACGTGTCTACAAACTTGTTTATAAACTTGTCTATAAACTTGTCTATAAACTTGTCTATAAACTAGTCTACAAACGTGTCTACAAACTTGTTTATAAACTTTTCTATAAACTTCTCTATAAACTAGTCTACAAACTTGTCTATAAACTAGTCTACAAACTTGTCTACAAACTTATCTATAAACTAGTCTACAAACGTGTCTACAAACTTGTTTATAAACTTTTCTATAAACTTGTCTATAAACTTGTCTACAAACTTGTCTGTAAACTTCCAATTAAACTCGTATATAAACTTTTATGTCAACTTGTACCGAAACTCGAATATAAAATTTAATTCCAAAAATTCCTCCAGCAACTTCAAATAGAAATGGTAGATTGATATAGAGTAGTCCTCTATAGACTTGCATAAGAATAAACTTGTATAATATATTAGCTGTAATTATTTTGCCTGTAGCTACCAAAGCACTAAAAGATTAAATAGAGCGAATATTATCAGCCATTAATATCGCAATTATTGGCCGAAATCGTTTGATTGGCTTACTGATTCGTCTGCCTGGTGCAATTGCTTCCTCTGCTTCATATGGAGGTCCAGTTCCAACACTATTCTTAGCCGTTATCCTGAAGTTGTATGGTACATCTGTCTTCAAGTCTGACACGCTGAAGTGTGTCGTTTCTTGTTTGGTAATTCCAATCTGTAATTAACGCAATTTTCAAGGTATAATATTACATCATTTAATCAAAAAATTATGACTTCTTTGTATGTTATAAGATATGTTCTTCTTTTAAACAGGTAAGGTATAGACAGTTTTCTTCCTTTGAAAATTGTGAGTGATTATAATGTTTGATCATCTTTTGAAAGCTTATCAGTATAATACTATAATGCAATACAGCATACTAGACATTATACTAAAAGTTCTTTGTGAACATATAAGAAATTATTAGGGAAATTAAATTAAAAATCACTTGTACTTATGCTTGTGAATATATCAGAAGTTATTAATGAACTTATATGGAAGACTATCAGTTATAAAAGAAAAGAAGTATTTATTAACCTTCTGCCAAGTCTTCTTCGACTCTTCCTTCATTTCGATGATGTATTCCGTGATCGGAGTTCCACCATCGTTTTCCGGAGGCAGCCATTTTATTGTGAACGACGTCTTCGTCATTCCTGATACTTCCAGTGGTCCTCTTGGTGCTCCTGGTGGTTCTGTTAAACGAATTTATTCATTAAACGAATTATAACTATCTAACAAATTAAAACAGTGGCATAAAAAATAACATAACTCTTACATTTTTAAAAACCAAAATAAACTTGCAATTCAATTTGACGAAACCTAACATCTTTAAACTTGATGATCTTTCAATTTAATCTTTAGTAGTAACAAGTTAAGAATTGAGTTTTAACAAAATATTTATATAAAGATTAAGAAGAATAAAGAAGCATGAAGAATGAGGAAGAATGAGGAAGAATGAAGAAGAATAAAGAAGAATGAAGAAGAATGAAGAAGAATGAAGAAGAATGAAGAAGAATGAAGAAGAATGAAGAAGAATGAAGAAGAATGAAAAAGAATGAAGAAGAATGAAGAAGAATGAAGAAGAATAAAGAAGAATGAAGAGGAATGAAGAGGAATGAAGAAAAATGAAGAGGAAAGAAGAAGAATGAGGAAGAATGAGGAAGAATGAGGAAGAATGAGGAAGAATGAAGAAGAATGAAGAAGAATGAAAAAGAATGAAGAAGAATGAAGAAGAATGAAAAAGAATGAAGAAGAATGAAGAAGAATGAAGAAGAATGAAGAAGAATGAAGAAGAATGAAGAAGAATGAAGAAGAATGAAGAAGAATGAAAAAGAATGAAGAAGAATGAAGAAGAATGAAAAAGAATGAAGAAGAATGAAGAAGAATGAAAAAGAATGAAGAAGAATGAAGAAGAATGAAAAAGAATGAAGAAGAATGAAGAAGAATGAAAAAGAATGAAGAAGAATGAAGAAGAATGAAAAAGAATGAAGAAGAATGAAGAAGAATGAGGAAGAATGAGGAAGAATGAAGAAGAATGAAGAAGAATGAAGAATGAAGAATGAAGAATGAAGAATGAAGAATGAAGAATGAAGAATAAAGAAGAACGAAGAATGAAGAAGAATGAAGAATAATAAAAATATTCATACCGAAAGAGGTTCTCATTCTAACAGTATCAGATTCCAGTGGTTCCGAAGCTCCAACAATATTCCTAGCGATGATTCTGAACTGGTATTCAGCATTTTGCTGTAGTTTATGTACACAGAAGCTTTCCACTTCTTTGTCGATGTCAACAACTTTCACCCAAGCCTTTCCAGGTTCACATTTCTCAATGGTATACTTTTCAAGCTCGATTCCGCCGTCGTCTAATGGTGGTCGCCATTCGATGGTCACACGATCTTGTCTGATTTCTTTAAAAACGACTGGTCCTTGTGGTTTGCTTGGTTTATCTACGCAATTTATATAATTGGTTCAATAATTGTCTTAGATAGAAGCTGTACTTTATATTTTACTTTTTACATGTTAATTTTTCGCAGTAATTTTGAATGTTTATTTCTGTAAAAATAGGAATTTGTATAGTTGTATAGGAATTTGGTACTTTTAGTTATTTAAATTTGCAAATTCGCATGTTATAAGTTATTATATTTGTGTATAATAGAGGGAAAATTGTAAACATTGAAATTTGCAAATTTTTGAGATAGGAAATTAAAAAATTTCCCAAATATTAAATTTTCAAATTGGTTGATTTCTAAATTGTTTAATTTGTACATCACAAATTGAATTTATAAATTTCCAAATCAATAAATTCCCAAATTCTATATTTCCAAATTTTGAAATTCCCCAATTTCCAAATTTCCAAATTCTCAAATCCACAAGTTCTCAAAATTCACCAATTCTCAAATCCCCAAATTCTTAAATTCCCAAATTCTCAAATTCACCAATTCTCAAATCCACCAATTCTCAAATTCCTAAATTCTCAAATTCCCAAATTCTTAAATTCACCAATTCTCAAATTCCCAAATTCTCAAATCCACCAATTCCCGAATTCTCAAATCCACCAATTCTCAAATCCCCAAATTCTCAAATTCCCAAATTCTTAAATTCTTCAATTCTCAAATTCCCAAATTCTCAAATTCCCAAATTCCCAAATTTCCAAATTCCCAAACTCTCAAATTCCCAAATTCTCAAATTCACCAATTCTCAAATTCCCAAATTCTCAAATCCCTAAATTTTCAAATCCCCAAATTTTCAAATTCCCAAATTCTCAAGTCCCCAAATTCTGAAACCCCGAATTACCAAATTCCCAAATTTAACAATTTCCAAGTTCCCAAATCCCCAAATTCTAAAACCCTCAAATTCCCAAAATCCTAATACTCTCAAGTTCCCAAATTTAAAAATTTCCATATTCTCGAATTCCCAAATTCTTAAATCCCCAAATTCTGAAACCTCGAATTACTAAATCCTCGAAATAAAAAATTTCTGAATTCCCAAATTTCCAAATTCTGAAACCCTCAAATTTTCAAAATTTCCAAAAGTTTCCAAAAGTTTCCAAAATTCCCAAAATTCCCAAAATTCCCAAAATTCTCAAAATTCCCAAAATTCTCAAAATTCCCAAAATTCCCAAAATTCTCAAAACCCCAAAAATTCTCAACATTCCTGAAATTCCCAAAATTCCTAAAATTCTCCTAATTTCCAAAATTCCCAGAATTCCCAAAATTCCCCAAATTCTCCCAATTCCCTAAATTCCAAAAATTCCTAAAATTCCAAAAATTCTCAAATTACTCACCAATAACTTTAAGATGTAAATCAACCGAGGAACTGCCAGCCTGATTCTCCGCCTTGACCGCATAAGTAGCAGTGTCTTCCCTAACGAGCGAAGAAATCGATATCGTCGAAGTCTTCTCTTCCCTCTGAATAGACACCCGTTTCTCTTCTATCTTCTTGCCGTTCTTCGTCCAAGTCACTTCTGGTCTCGGGAATCCGCTCGTCTCAACCTCGATCTTCCATTGACTATTAACTGGCAGTTTCTGATTCGCCAGGTTCTCGTCGTAGACGATCTTAGGCGCTTCTTGAACCTTCAATTCGCAAGTTGTTTCTGCGGTTCCTACTTTGTTCTTCGCTTTCACTGTGAATTTAGCTGATGAGGTCTCCGTTGTTCTTGTGATGGTGTACTTTGTCATGTGGTTCTCGTAGGTGATGCTGTTGTCTGCGAAAACTTCGCCATTCTTCAACCTAAAATGAAGAATGATTATTAAATGTATGTTTCTATTGTAAATATTGTTTTTGTATTTCATTTTTGAAGTTGTAGTTTGGTACTTAAAAAACATTGACGATTATGTGGTTATATAGTCAATTGTATACATGAAAATTTATAAATGATCAAAGAAAATTAATTAAGGTGTGTATATAGAAATAAAGAACACTTTTTTAAGAAAAATTTCTTTTGTAAATATTGTTACTGTATTTCGTTGTATATACTGTATTGTAAATATTGTTTTTGTGTTTTTTGAGAAAATTTCTTTTGTAAATATTGTTACTGTATTTCATTGTATATACTGTATTGTAAATATTGTTCTTGTGTTTTTTGAGAAAATCTTTATTGTAAATATTGTTACTGTATTTCGTTGTATATACTGTATTGTAAATATTGTTCTTGTGTTTTTTGAGAAAATTCCTATTGTAAATGTTGTTACTGTATTTCATTTCTGAAGTTGTAGTTTGTTATTTAAAAGACGTTGATGATTATGTAGTCAATTGCACATATGAGAATTTATAAATGATTCAACAAATTTTAATAATTTATGTAAATAAATGGAGACTATACATATTTATGAGAATGTGTATAACTGACTGAAGAAATGTAAATCAAATTTTAAGTTATGCATGTGAATAAACAGAGTATGTGAATATTTATGTGACTATGTACAATTGACAAAAGAAGTGTAGTTTGAAGAAATTTAAATAATGCATATAAATAAACTGATTATGTTTATATGAATATATGTACATATATGATTCACTGAAGAAATGTAAATAATTTATGTAGTAATACATTCATTTACATATTTCTATCTAGGTTTATTATTTATATTTCTTCAATCACCTACTGATGAAGATAATTGAAGAAGCTAAAGCTTGAATATAATCTAAATGTGTATGTACTAAGAATTAATATATTGAATTATATGAAAAATATACAATATATTAAGAATGTATATTAAGAATTAGTATATATACTAATTGCCATGTTTTTGAAAAGTGTACTAGTCAGTAAAGTAAACTAAAGTGAATGTGAAGTATAATGTAAAGTAAAATATACCAAGTAATTTCAGGAGTTGGTGTTCCGCCAATCACGCATGATAGCGTGACAGTTTCTCCAAGTCCAATTACAACGCTCTTCAAAGGTTCCAGGATGACTGGTGGTTCCGCAGCCGATGGTTTCGATATCTTCACGTATGGTGATGTTGGTGATGTTTCACCAGGTCCTGCTTCGTTCACAGCAGTCACTCGGAAGGTGTATTCTTTGTTGGTTGTTAATTTTGTTACTTTGTGAGTTGTTTCTGTTATTGTCTCTGTAACCTTGGTCCACCTTTGAAAAGAAGAAAAGCGATTTTTAAATTCGTTGGTTATAACACTTACTTTAGTATCTCTTCTCTAAAAAAATTCAACATGTATATTTTAAGACACTTTTATGTTTATATCTTAAGAAAATTTTGTAATGTATACATTAAAGGAAATATTCTATTATTTATATTTTAAGAAAACATTTTAACATATATGTTCTTGAAGAAATATTTTAACCTTCAAAAATAATAAATTGAATTAAAATATACTTTGAAGGAATAGTGTGAATTATACTCACGTAGTCTCAGTCTTCTCTTGATACTCCAAAATGTATTCAGTGATAGGCGAATTTCCATCTGAGTCTGGTTTCTTCCAGTGAAGAGTCACGCTGTCGTTTGTGATTTCTAATGGCTCTGGAGCTCCAGGTGCACTTGGTACCTCTGCAAGAATAAACAAATTATTAAATTTGTAATTAAAAATTATTAAAACATTGAAAGATTTGTACAAATCTTCTATATTCTCCATTTTGAATTTTCCAAACTATCTTTGATTTTATTTATATATTTTGCTTTATTTTGTTTTATTTTATTTATTTTATAAATCAACTGTATTAACCTTCATTGTAAATAAGATACTCACGGACGATGACGACGTTGATTTCAATACTAGTTTCCCCAGCATTGTTCACCAGTTTCAAAGTGTAGTCACCGACATCTTCTTCTTGCACCTTTCTGATAGTCAAAGTTGCAGATTCCTCATCGATCGTTGGAGTCACGCGTTTCGATTTTGTCACCACGCGACCATTTACGGTCCATTCGTCCTCTGGTTTTGGTGTTCCAGTAAACTTCACTACAATTTCTACATCCTCGTCTTTTCTTACTTTGTACTTCTTCGGCGTGTCTGGGCTGATCTTTGGTGGCGTTTCGACGACTGTAATTGATTGAACATCATTGTTAAATGCAATTTTATACAATGTTTCTAAACTTGCAATATTAAAGATAATTCTAAACTTGCATAACTAAAGACAATTACAAACTTGCAATATTAAAGACTAATTTTAAACTTGCATAACTAAAGATAATTCTAAACTTGCAATATTAAAGACAATTTTAAACTTGCAATATTAAAGACAATTATAAACTTGCAATATTAAAGAATAACTTTAAACTTGCATAACTAAAGACAATTACAAACTTGCAGTATTAAAGACTAATTTTAAACTTGCATAACTAAAGACAATTACAAACTTGCAATATTAAAGACTAATTTTAAACTTGCATAACTAAAGATAATTCTAAACTTGCAATATTAAAGACAATTTTAAATTTGCAGTATTGAAGACAATTATAAACTTCCAATATTAAAGAATAATTTTAAACTTGCATAACTAAAGACAATTACAAACTTGCAGTATTTAAACTTGCATAACTAAAGACAATTACAAACTTGCAATATTAAAGACTAATTTTAAACTTGCATAACTAAAGATAATTCTAAACTTGCAATATTAAAGATAATTTTAAACTTGCAATATTAAAGACAATTATAAACTTGCATAACTAAAGACAATTACAAACTTGCAATATTAAAGACTAATTTTAAACTTGCAATATTAAAGACAATTTTAAACTTGCAATATTAACGATAATTATAGACTTGCAATATGTTATATTGTCTAAAACAATTTGTCATAAAAAAAACAAGAAGTGTTTTCAATAATTTCAACAGTTAGTAAAATGTGTTCATATAAGTCATCATACAATGAAGGATTAATATTAATGCGATTTAAAAATTTGTCATATTTATGTACAAAAAAATTGTTTCTTACTTTCTACTCTCAATCTTGAAGACGTCTTCACGTTGGTAACAGCTGCAGTGTATTCTGCAATGTCGTCAGTTGTACATTTCCTTATAATCATCTTCTTCACTTTGCCCTCGTCGATGATCGTATATTTCGACGACTCCTCGATAACATGAGTTTTTCTGCAACATCATTAAATAAAATTTTACTTCTCTCCAAACTGTTGTAACTTTTCAGGGAGATAATTGTATTTATGGACAGAAAAGTATAATGAAAAGAATGAAAAATTGAATATGTATTATTATAATGTTTTTCATAGACAAATGAAGTGAAGGTCATATAAAGATCAACAATTTTACATTAATAAATGTTTAAAAAAATAACTGTATTCATGGACACCATAGTATAATAAAAAGAATGATATATCTAATATGAATTATTAATCTACCTTTCGTAGACAGATAAGGTGAAAGTCATATGAAAACTAACAATTTTAGATTAATAAATATTTAAAAAGATAATTGTATTTATAGAAACCAAAGTATACTAAACGAATGAAATATCTAATACTTATTATTAGTCCACCTTTCATAGACACATAAAATGAATGTCATATGAAAATAAACAATTTTACATTAATAAATATTTAAAAAGATAATTGTATTTATAGACACCAAAGTATACTAAACGAATGAATAATCTAATATGTATTATTAGTCTACCTTCCATAGACCCATAAAATAAATGTCCCATAAAAATCAACAATATTAAAGTGCTTTAATATTTGCAGCTCACCAAAATAATTGCATTAATAAATACCAAAGTATAAAACAAAAATAATGTAATAACTTACCTATACCAAGTGACTGGAACATCCTGCGATAGTTCAATAACGAAAACAGCGTCAGAATTCATCGTCACCAGAGTAACATCCGGTAATTTGGTGATGAAGTCGACTCCAGGTTCTTCGACCGTAAGTCTAGCAGACGACTTCTGTTTGCCGACTTCGCAAGAGTAAACTCCTGCGTCTTCCGGTTCCGTGTCGTAGATCTTCAATTTCTGCCTCTTTCCGTCGATCGATAGTCGAATGTGCTCTGAGAATTGTAATTCTTGGCCGTCTTTGAACCAGCGCACCAAAGCGTCGCCTTTCGTTAATTCGATGTCGAACGTTGCTCTTTCGCCTCTTGCTATTGTCACGTCTTGCATCTTTGTGATGATCTCGGGTGGTAATTCTAAAAAAAGACATGTTTATTCATTTCTTATAACGTAGTTTCGTTTGTTAATAATTTACAAGGATATTTTAACAATCGTTTTGTAATTCCTAGTTGCAAAATATTTTATTTATTTTTGGACTTAACTTGAGAAACTTCACAAAAATTTTGCTTTTGATTTTAATATAATAATTATTAAACATATTGAACATTTTTGTGAATGTAAATTTCATATAATAATCGTGTTTCTATAAGATAATGTTGTAAGATTAAATATATTTTCTCTTCAAGCTCTGTGCACGTCTAATAAATCACCACGCGTTATATAGCATAGTAAATTATCAAACATAGTTTGGAAACAAGATTTGCATGCTATGCATTTATAAATTTCAACAAATCGAAAGAAATTATGGCAATATTAATTATATAAAACGAAAGGTACATCAATTTTAATCAAAGTTAAATTTAATACTAAACCAGTTAATATGAAGTATTTTGTAACAAGAGTTGTATTTAAAAAATGTCTTTTTTTGATTCAAGATTGGATACTCACCGACGACAGTGACTTCTGCTGTACATTCTTGATCCAACAGTGTACAAGTGTATTCTCCTTCATCATGAACAGACGTGCTCCTAATCAGCAATTTCCTTACTGTACCATCCTTCACAAACTCTAATTTTTCTTTTCCAGGTCCTAGTTGTTCGCCATCCTTGAACCATTTTACGTCCGCCGTCTGTGACGTGATTTCGACTTCCAAAATGGCGACGTCGCGCTCCTTCACCTCGCAATCTTGTAACTTCTTCACGAATTCTGGTTTGGTGGCTGTTGAAGTTGGAGAATTTGGTTAGAAAGATGAAGTTTGAATTTGAATTTGGAGAACATTTGTTTTTGAGTGGAAGTTTGAGAATTTGGGAATTTGAGGATTTAGGGATTGGGAGACTTGGGAGATTTGGGAGATTTGGGAGATTTGGGGATTGGGAGATTTGAGGATGGGGGGATTTGGGAATTAGGGGATTTGGGGATTTCGAGATTTGAGAATTTGGAGATTTGGGGATTTGGGTATTTGAGAAATCGGGGATTTGGGGATTTGGAGATTTGAGGATTTGGGGATTTGGGAATTTGGGAATTTGGGAATTTGGGAATTTGGAAATTTGGGAATATAGGAATATGGGAATTTGGGAATTTGGGAATTTGGGAACTTGGGAACTTGGGAACTTGGGAATTTGGGGAATTTGGTGAATTTGGGGAATTTGGGGAATTTGGGAATATGGGAATTTCGGAATATGGGAATTTGGGAATATGGGAATTTGGGAATATGAGAATTTGGGAATATGGAAATTTGGAAATTTGGAAATTTGGGAATATGGGAATTTGGAAATTTGGAAATTTGGAAATTTGGGAATTTGGGAATATGGGAATATGGAAATTTGGGAGCTTAGGGAATTTGTGAATTTGGGAACTTAGAGAATTTGGAAGTTTGGAAATTTGTAAATTTGAGAAATTTGGGGACTTAAGAATTACAGAATTAAAAAATTAATAAATTTGAAAATCCCAAAATCTAAAATTCCATTCTCTTCTCCCAAAATTCCAAAACCCTCTCCTTCCAAGCTTCCCTCAAACTTCTTACCTTTCACCGTGACTTTGCTGGATGTCATCTGGTTCTTAACAGTACACTTATACGTTCCTTCATCCGTAGGATTGGTCTTCTTGATCACCAACTTATGGACTCGTCCTTCTTCAATGATCTCACGATGATCCATACCACTGATCTCTTTATCATTATGCCACCATTTTGTGGACACCGTGTGCGATGTCTCGCACGTCAACTCGAGGGTCTTATACTCATCCACAACGACTTCCTTTTCAAGGGTCTTCGTGAAAGTCACTTTGTCAACGTCCACTGTGACTCTTGCACCGTGCGAGGCTTTTCCTACAGGATTACTGGCGACGCATTTATAATCTCCGGTGTCCACTTCAGAATTCGCGTTTCTGATCTCGAGTACGATGTTCTCGCCGTCATAGGTCTCTGTTATGTTCGGTGACTTCTCCAAAGGCTTGTTGTTCCTGTAAAAATAATAGTTTTATAGTAAAAATATCATGTAACAAAATATCTTCAAATGTCTTTTTAAAATAGTTCAAAAATTTAGGAAGATATAGGGAATAGGAAGATGAATTTTATAAAATGATTTTATCGAAAGATATAATTTGTTGTGGAGTATTAAGAATCATTGAGACGCCATTTTGTGTAGAGAAATATAAAATGGAGCAATTTTAATGAATCTTATAAACAAATTGTATGGAAACATATAATTTGTTGTGGAGTATTAAGAGTCATCGGGACACTATTTTATGGAACGAAATATAAAATGGACGAATTGTTATGAATCTTATAGAAAGATTTTATGGAAAGATATAATTTGTTGCGAAGTATTAAGAATTATAAAGACACCATTTTGTGAAGAGGAATACAAAATGGACGACTTTTAATGAATTTTATAAAAAGATTTTGTGGAAAGATATAGTTTGTTGTGGAGTATTAAGAATCATCGAGACGCCATTTTGTGTAGAAAAATATAAAATGGAGGAATTTTAATGAATCTTATAAACAAATTTTATGGAAAGATATAATTTGTTATGTAGTATTAAGAGTCATCGAGACACTATTTTGTGGAACGAAATATAAAATGGATGAATTGTTATGAATCTTATAGAAAGATTTTATGGAAAGATATAATTTGTTGCGTGAGACGCCATCTTGTGGAACGAAATGCAAAATGAACGAATTTGGTGATGTAGAAAGTCGAATAAGATTTGATGACATAAAATATTGTAATACGATACTTGTTATATGTAAATTTATAGTTTAAAGTTTATTGTAAAAATGGCAATGTAAATCATATTAATTTTTAATACAAAATGGCTTCCTTGAAAAACACCAACCAACAGTGAACCCATATATGGAGATTTTATTTGTTTTTAAGTATTTAAGTTTCATGTCAAAAGTAGAATTAATAATAATAAATATGCTTTTGAAACTGTTACACATTGTAATAATTAAAAGTAGAAAATCGTACCTTAACCACGTGACTTCCGGTACAGGATTTCCAGTGACTTTGGCGACCAATTTAAACGTGCCTTTCTCCGGAACAGTGAGTTCTTGGAACCGTTCGGTGAACAATGGCGGCTCCGGAGCTCCGCTTGGTATTTCTATAAAAAGTTCCACGTGAAATTAATATTTTGCAACGAAGATAAAAACAATTTAAATCGATCTTTAAAATATGAAATAAAAGAATGAAAGCAGAAGCAGACATATCGTACCCTTCGTTATGGTGAAGTGTTCGTACGTGTGATGTTGAATATTAATGGTCAATGAAGGCTTCAGGTTAACTGAAAAATATATTAGCAAAGCATTTTGAAGCATTAATAAGCAGCATTTTGTTGTAAAATCGCTTAGTATTTGTGCCTGAAATGAGCTTTTATTGAAGTGTAGAATGTAGTCAGAGAGGGTCAAATTTTAACTTAAATTTTATCGCAACTGTAATTGTGTTGTGTTGTAAGTTTCATCACAATACTTTAAGCGGTTTAGGTTTATTTAATAGAAATTCTGGCTTTCTTAATGGAAAATATCAGTAATTACTTAATAAAAATTGCAATGTTACTTGTTTTGAGGAAGCAAGCTTTGATTTCTTCTTTAGGAAGAAGCGATATTTTATTTTTTTATCGAATTGAAGAAAGATGGTATTTTCTTCTCGCAAGTGGTGCACCCTCTTTTCATCCCTCTTTAGCCACATTCATGTTGAAGCACATTAGAAAGAACTAATTTCTACTTATATCATATATTTATAATGTATAATGTTTCTTGTACTATTCGAAAAATATGAAAATAAAAATTAAATTTAAATATGCTTAAAATAGTTTGTACTACTATTAATATTAGTAATTGAAGACTGAGTTTAAATTATTTTAGAAAATCAGCTAAATATACAAAAAGCAAATATACATGAAATAATACAGCACTAATATATTATTATTATTACTTTCTCAGCCATTATAATTTCTCAACTATTATTATGCTCGAAGCTATTATACTCACCATCATAAACTAATTATGCATCATTATAAGCAGTCAAACGTTTAGAGCAATTAATAAAAAGTACTTCAAATCATCAAAATATTTAATGTTCTTACTTTCGACAGTCAACGTAGCCTTAGTTTCGGCTGTACCAAGATCATTGGTAGCCACCACAGAATATTCTCCTGTGTCTGACACTTGTGGCTGAATTAGTGTCAACGTATTCACGTGGCCATCTTGTTTCGGAGACACGCCTTTCAGTGGTTTTCCGTTCTTGTACCAAGTTACTTTTGGAGCTGGATTTCCGACGATCTGAGTAGACAGAACTACGGTTTCTCCTTCTCTTACCACGTAGGACTGCAATGGTTCTAGGATTTCTGGTGGCTCGGATTTGCCGGTCTTCACCTGAAAATGAATAATTATAAATTTATTATGTGGAGGGGAAGAGTAAAGTGGGTATTAGTTTTTGAGGATTTGAGGATGTCGGATTTGGTGATTTGAGGGTTTGGGAATTTGGAAAGTGAGGAATTAAGGGAATAAGGAATTGGAGGATGACTTGGAGGAATGGGAGAGTGGGAGAATGGGGAATTGAGGGAATGAGGAATTAGGGGAATGGGGAATTAAGGGATCGAGGAATTAGGGGAATGAGGAATTGGAGAAGTGAGAGAGTGGGGGAATGGGGAATTGAGGGAATGAGGAATTAGGGGAATGGGGAATTAAGGGATCGAGGAATTAGGGGAATGAGGAATTGGAGAAGTGGGAGAGTGGGGGAATGGGGAATTAGAGGAATGAGGAATTGGGGGAATGTAGAATTGTGGCATTGTGGAATTGGAAATGTGAAGAATCGGTAACATAGGAAATTGGGGCTCAGGTAATTGGAAAATAGGGACTTGGTGACGTACAGATTTAGAGACGTAGGTATCTGTGGACGTAGGACATTAGGAACCTTGGTATTTAAGGACGTAAGGACTTGTGAACATAAAAATTTGAGAACTCAACAATTTTGAAATATTACAACTTGAGAATTTTATATTCCCAAGTCTCCAAAGAGACTTAATTTTTAAATTTAGGAAATTGTCTACTTGAGAATTAGTAAATTAGCAAATTTGTAATGTCAGTAATAATGCTAAATACAACAAAGCAATATACAAACCTTCATAGGAATTTCGATAGTAGCTTCACCTTCCCTGTTTCTAGCAACGATAGTATATTTTCCTTCCTGTTTCTTCTGCACCTTCGTGATCTTAATTACACTGCAGTACATATGCATGTCGCTTTCGGTGGCAACCGTGATATTTTCTTTAGTCGTGATCTGTGTGTTCTTGTAGTACCACGTTATTTCCGGTTCGGGTACAGCCACCAGTCGGCATTCAATGATTACGTCTTCACCCTCGTCCACGTATTTTGCTTTGGGTTTCCTGGAGAATGTTGGTGGTATTCCTTCCAAGATGTCGGCGAGGGATGATTCTCTGCAAAATTTTTATTTTGTACATTAAATAAATAAATGTAATTAATATACATACAAAAATAAATTTGTTAAGTCATAATAATTTACTACTGTTTTATTTTTTTTTATTATTCTTTATGTTTCACAGATGAGTACAGTAAAAAAATAATTGCAAGTATTAATTATTATGTTATTAGTATTACTAATTATTTTTTATTCTATACTGATTTTATTGAACAAACTAATTAAATCAATTATTACCTTCATATGTATTCATTATTATTTCCTGATGAATTATTAATCAATTCATTACATACTAAATGTCAACAATTTTAATCAAGTCACTCAATCAAATTAATTCAGTAATAATTGTCTCAATCCAATCATATAACTAAATCAATTGAACAAAAGTTGGGTAACTGTTTTCACAATTAATTAATAATTTTTATAATCATCATATAAATTTTATATTAATGTTCATTAATAATAACGACTGTATGGTTACAATTATTAAAAGTATATCATATGAGTATCAACACCCACATAATTGTACGTCATTGTCTATAAAAATTTATTAAAATATGTTCAAGTACTAATTCACTTTGAAGATATTAATACTTGACTATAGTTATTTAGTATGTTTTACTTTTTTACTTTTTTTAGTATGTCATAAGCTAACATTTTCTTCAGTATTTTATAAAGTAACATTCTTTTTAGTTTGTCATAAGCTAACATTTTTTTCAGTATGTTACAAACTAACATTTTTTTCAGTATGTCATAAGCTAACATTTTTTTTAGTATGTCATAAGCTAACATTTTCCTCAGTATTTTATAAAGTAACATTCTTTTTAGTTTGTCATAAGCTAACATTTTTTTCAGTATGTTACAAACTAACATTTTTTTCAGTATGTCATAAGCTAACATTTTTTTAGTACACCATAAGCTAACATTAAGTACTAAATTAAAATGCAGTAACAACTATATAATAATCTACAACAAAACTATACCTGGACAGACTCTTTCTGGATGGACCAGTCAAATCTGACCCATGATCAGAAAGAGGAGCTTCCACAACCAACTCCGTGGTGCTGGACGCGAATCCTGCTGCATTTTTAGCGACACACGTGAAGGTGCCAGCGTCTTCAGGGAACACTTCTCTGATGATCAGTGTTGCAACGTTGTCGTCATCGTAATACATTTGGAAGTCTGGGGATGGCTTGATAATGGCGGTCTGTCGGAACCACGTGATTTGTGGCCTTGGTACACCTTCCACTTGACACTCGAATTGAACCGTGTAACCATCGGGTGTGTGTATGGGTTGTAACTTTTCGATGAACTTTGGTGCTGATGACTTCTCTCCAGGTGCTGGTTCTGGAAAATTAGAAAGGATTAATTGTTTAATTATGGAGAGGTATATAAATGGTTGTAATTATGAATTACATCAGTGTGAATTGTTTTCAATTATAGTTAATGAGGTACAGATGTGAATATTAAGACGATTTATGAGTTATTTATGATAAAATATTTACTGTTTGTACGTCTTTTTTCAGAATGATTGATGTATATGTTTATGAGATACCAAATAACAATTTGATGATAATTATGTATGTATCTATATACAAATGAAGAATAGTATAAGTGGAGTTTCAGTGAACATTCTAAAAATATGACCACAAATTAAAATGTTAAATTTTCGAATATCAAAAATAAATAATTCTGTAAACTTTCTAGATTTGTGAATGTAAAAAATGAAATCTTTTGTTAAAAACAAATAATAGTGTATTAAATGAGATTGTTAATAAAATTGACACTATTTGTAATATTTAGCAATAATATTAAGGTTCTACATTTTACTCGAATGCTATGTTGCATATGATGATATGTGACTACATTTTTTGTATGTGACGATATGTTCATATGATGATATGTGACTGCATTTTATGTATATTTATTAATAATAACAATAAATGAAGAACGAGTATAAACATATGAATATTTCCTCGTAAAAAATGAATTACAAATAAACTTACTTTCAAACACAGGTAATTTATCAATTTTCTCGTGCAATTTGCGTTGCAGATAAAGAGTGTAGTGAGCTTCGTTCAATAAGTACTGCGCTGGAACCCAACCCTTTTCCTCCGTCAAGTGTTTCTTCACGAACCACCAGTCCTGATTCGTGTGATCTGAAAGGAGACACAACATATCATTCCTTTCTCATCCTTATTTTCTATTAACTTTATTAAAAGAAGAAACTTTAAATTTACCGATAATGTAAACTCTTTCTCCTTCGACGAGGTTGATAGCTTCGTCGGTTTCCGCCACGTATGAGCAGATTGAGAACATTGTGTCGCCATCGCGTACAACGTATTCAATTTCCACTGTAAAATTTATATAATGCATCAATGTATAAAATAATAAAGTACAATATAGAAATAGAAAAATGAGTGATTTTTTATAACTCTTTTTCGGATCGATGAACTTTTGCAGCCATTACATTGTTTAGGTGTTTATTATTTTATGAAAAGAGGTGGCAAATGACAATGAATGGAATTTACAAGTCGTAGAAATTACAATGCGTGGAAATTATAACTCATAGAAATTACAGCGCGTAGAAATTACAACGCGTAGAAATTACAATGCGTGGAATTATATCGCGTGGAATTAGAACGCGTGGGATTATAACGCGTGGAATTACAAAGCGTGGAATCAGAACGTCTAGAAATTACAACACGTAGAATTTAAAGCGCGTGGAATTGCAACGCATGGAATTACAACGCGTGGAATTACAATGCGTAGAAATTATAACGCGTGGAATTACAATGCGTGGAATTACAATACGTAGAAATTATAACGCGTGGAATTACGGCGCGTAGAAATTACAACGCGCAGAAATTCCAATGCGTGGAATTACAGTTCGCAGAATTACAATGCGTAGAAATTACACTGCGTGGAATTAAAACTCGTGGAATTAGAACGCGTGGGATTATAACGCGTGGAATTACAAAGCGTGGAATCAGAACGTCTAGAAATTACAACACGTAGAATTTAAAGCGCGTGGAATTGCAACGCGTGGAATTACAATGCGTAGAAATTATAACGCGTGGAATTACAATGCGTGGAATTACAATACGTAGAAATTATAACGCGTGGAATTACGGCGCGTAGAAATTACAACGCGTAGAAATTCCAATGCGTGGAATTACAGTTCGTGGAATTAGAATGCGTAGAAATTACAATGCGTGGAATTACAGCTCGTGGAATTAGAACGCGTGGGATTATAACGCGTGGAATTGCAACACGTGGAATTACAGTGCGTGGAATCACCACTCGTGGAATTATAAATCGTGGAATTACAACGCATGGCAATAAATCCGAAAAAGAGTTAATAAAACCCCATCCTAAAAACGCACCTTCCTCTGAAATATCCTCTTCCCTGGTAATGCTAAGCGTCGCCTCTTCTGCAAATCGTCGAACAAAACATTAAAACATTAATAAATCCTACTTAAACCATCACATAAATTAGCCGTTCATTGTCAGCAGATGCATCTCGAAGCAATTTCCTATTGTTAAAACCTCATTTTACCATATTACCTAAAGTACCGATATGCTTTTCATTCGCAGTGATTTAAGAAGCAGGATGGTAAGAGGTGGGTGTCCTTACGGACTAGGATATTAAGGGCAAGCATACTCACTAAACATCGACAGGCTGGCGAGCGCGTTAATTTCTATATTAGCTGAAAGCACGTTAAATTCGATTAGGTATCATCTGATGCAGTTGAGAAATTCTGTCGAACCTTCGTCGTATGTTGAAACGCGTCTCTTGCTCTTCAGCTTCAATGCCAGCGATTCGTCCGCTTCCTCGATCGAGTACTTCCTGTCGCGTTTCAGTTTTAACATCACGTCGCCTTCTTCGACATCTTCCACCTTGTATGGTTTGGGTTCCTTCTTCCTTCTTCTTCTCAACGGCAGCCTCATCTCGTCCGTCTCTAATTCCTCCACGCTGTACTCGTCCCTGCCTTCCTCGTCGGATTCTATGATCTCCTCGATGATAGGTCCAGATTCATCCTCCACTTCCTGCAGGATTCTGATCGTCTCTTCTCCGGTCTCCTCCGAGAAGGTCATCGGACGTTTCTTCGGTTTCAGACGCACCTTACCGGACATTGAGATGTCTTCTTCCTCGTAGGTGTTCAACGAGATCTTGAACTCCTGCTCGACATCCTCCTTGGTCTTCGTGCTGCGTGGACGGAATGTGACGTTCTCGGCTTCGGTCACCTCTTTGATGTCAGGCCTGGGCTTCTTCTTTGGCCGCAGTTTGCGGAGAGTGACGTCCTCGTAGATTTCTTCAATCGGTTTTGGAGGTAGCTTCGGTGGTTTGCGTTTGATCGTAAACTCTTGTATTTCTTCTGCTTCTGGCTCTACTTCTTCAATCTTCTTAATCGTTAACTCATCCGCAGCCGCCTCCTCGACCTTCTTCGGAGCTTTCTTCTTCTTAATTTGGACATCGGTCGTCACTTCTTCTTCTTCTTCCGTCGGCTTCTCAGGAGCGCGAGCTTTCTTTATTGTGACGGCAGTCTCCTCTTCCTCGGTGACATCCGGTTTCTTTTCTGGCTTCTTCTTCTTCTTGATTGTGAATTCTTCGGGCGCTTCGGCTTCGACTGGAACGGGCTTTTTGATAGTCACCTCCGCAGCTTCTTCCTCGACGACCGGTTTCTTCTTGGGCTTCTTCTTTAGAGTGACTTCGGCCTCTTCTGGCTTCTTTTCTTCTTCGACGGGTTTTGGTTTTGAGATTGTTACTTCGGCGACTTCTTCCTCTGTGACGGACTTCTTCTTCTTGGGTTTTGGTTTGATGGTAACCTCTTCTGGAGCTTCTTCTTTTTCGACCACTACGGGTTTCTTGATGGTTACCTCGTCGGCAGCTTCTTCTTCCACTGGCTTCTTCTTTTTGGGTTTCTTTACTTCTACCTTTTCGGTTACTTCTTCTGGAGCCTTCTCTTCTTCTTTGGGTACTGGTTTCTTTAATGTAACTTCTTCAGTAACCTCCTCTGGAATGGGTTTCTCTTCAGGCTTCTTCTTCTTCTTCAAAGTAACCTCCTCAGTGATTTCTTCTTCCTCCTTCTCAACCACAACAGGTTTCTTGATGGTAACCTCATCGGCAGCCTCCTCTTCCACTGGCTTCTTCTTCTTAGGTTTCTTCACTTCTACCTTCTCGGTCACTTCTTCCGGAGCTTTCTCTTCTTCTTTGGGTACCGGTTTCTTCAAAGTAACCTCCTCAGATACCTCTTCCGGAACAGGTTTCTCTTCAGGCTTCTTCTTCTTCTTCAAAGTCACCTCCTCTGTGATTTCTTCTTCCTCTTTCTCAACAACCACAGGTTTCTTTATGGTAACCTCATCAGCAGCTTCCTCTTCAACCGGTTTCTTCTTCTTCGGTTTCTTTACTGCTACTTCTTGAGTGACTTCTTCAGGAGCCTTCTCTTCTTCTTTCGGCACAGGCTTCTTCAGAGTAACCTCCTCAGAAACCTCTTCCGGAACAGGTTTCTCTTCAGGCTTCTTCCTCTTCTTCAACACCTCTTCTGGAGCCTCCTCTTTCTTTTCTTCCACAACAGGTTTCTTTATTGTAATCTCTTCGGCAGCTTCTTCCTTCACTGGCTTCTTCTTCTTCGGTTTCTTAATTGCTACTTCTTCGGTCACCTCTTCAGGAGCCTTCTCTTCTTCTTTTGGTACGGGCTTCAATGTAACCTCTTCAGTAACCTCTTCCGGAACAGGTTTCTCTTTTGGTAGTCACCTCCTCTGTGATTTCTTCCTCCTCCTTCTCAACAACCACAGGCTTCTTAAGTGTGACTTCATCAGCAGCCTCCTCTTCAACCGGTTTCTTCTTCTTTGGTTTCTTTACTTCCACCTTTTCACTCACTTCTTCAGGAGCTTTTTCTTCTTCTTTGGGTACCGGCTTCTTCAAGGTGATCTCTTCAGCTACCTCTTCCGGAACAGGTTTCTTCTCCGGCTTCTTCTTCTTCAAAGTCACCTCCTCTGTGATCTCTTCTTCTTCTTTCTCAACCACCACAGGTTTCTTCAGAGTGACTTCATCAGCCGCCTCCTCTTGAACGGGTTTCTTCTTCTTAGGTTTCTTCACTTCTACCTTCTCGGTCACTTCTTCAGGAGTCTTCTCCTCTTCTTTGGGTACCGGTTTCAATGTAACCTCTTCAGTAACCTCTTCCGGAACAGGTTTCTCTTTTGGTTTCTTGGGTTTCAATGTCACCTCTTCTGGAGCCTCCTCTTTCTTTTCTTCCACAACAGGTTTCTTTATTGTAATCTCTTCGGCAGCTTCTTCCTTCACTGGCTTCTTCTTCTTCGGTTTCTTAATTGCTACTTCTTCGGTCACCTCTTCAGGAGCCTTCTCTTCTTCTTTTGGTACGGGCTTCAATGTAACCTCTTCAGTAACCTCTTCCGGAACAGGTTTCTCTTCAGGCTTCTTCTTTTTCTTCACAGTAACCTCCTTTGTGATTTCTTCCTCCTCCTCCTCAACCACAACAGGTTTCTTTATTGTAACTTCTTCGGCAGCTTCTTCCTTCACCGGCTTCTTCTTCTTCGGTTTCTTTATTTCTTCTGTCACCTCTTCCGGCGCTTTTTCCTCCGGTTTCTTCAGAGTAACCTCCTCTGTAACTTCTTCAGTTACCTCTGGAACGGGTTTCTTCTTCGGTTTCTTTATGACAACCTTCTCTTCTTCTTTCTCTTCTTCAGTGACAACCTTCTTGAGCGTTACTTCCTCTACTGTAACCTCTTCTTCTTTAACCGGTTTCTTCTTCGGTTTCTTTACGACCGCTTCTTCGACCTCTTCTTTCGGTTTCTCTGGTTTCTTTTTCAGCGTGACTGCAGTTACCGTCTCTTCCTCTTCCACTTTCTCTTCCTCCACAACGGGCTTCTTAATTGTAACTTCAGCCGGAGCTTCTTCAACCGGTTTTTCTGGTTCCTTCTTCAAGGGTACTTCTTCAGTCACTTCCTCCGGCTTTTCTTCCGGTTTCTTAAGCGTTACCTCTTCTTCCTTCTCTTCTTTAGGCTTCTCTTTAGGCTTCTTGACCTTTGTCTTACGTCTCACCGTCACATCTTCAGGTTCTTCTTTAGGTGCTTTTGGAACTTCCTCTTCCTCTTTCTTCGGTGCTTCTTTCACTTCTTCTTCCTCAGGTTTCTCCTTCTTCCACGGCTTCAGTGTTATCTGCTCAGGCTCCTCTTCCGGTTTCTCTTTCGTAGGTATCCTGAACTTGACTTCCGGTTCTTCTACGGGTTCCGGTGGTTTTGGTTTGCCCTTTATCAACGGAATTTGCTCTATCTCCTGATCTGGTTTCTTCTTTTCTTCCCTCTCGTATGGTTTTGGAACTGGCTCAGGAGCTGGTTCTTCTGGCTTCTCATACTCTTCAGGTTCGTATTTCTCAAGCTCTGGCCTGTCAAAGTCCAAAGGCTTGAGGTCATCATGTTCTAGTTTCACTTTCGGTTTCTTCTTCTTCTCTGGTTTCTCTTCTTCCTCTGGTTCTGGCTTAGGTGGTTTCTTCAGTGGTTCTTCGACTTCTTCCGGCTTCTTCTCTGGTATCTTCTTCAGTTTGACCTTCTCAGGCTCTACCTTCTCTTCTTCTGGCACCTTGCCTTTTCCCATAGGAACCTTCTGTGGTTCTTCTGGTTTCTCTGCCGGTTTCTTCGGTTGGCGTTCGTACACCGATTTGTCTTCCACTTTCTCCAGAGGCACCTTCTTCAGCTCCTCGAATTCGAGATCCAGTTTCTCCAACTGTGTTGTCTCTTTTTCGGATAGTTTCACCTTTTTAATCTTCCTCTTCAGAACTTTGAGAGCTTCTTCCGTGTTCCTGGACAGAATACCCGCTTGAACCGGGTTCTCTTCAAGTTCGGTGATCTTCGGAATCTGTAACTCGGGCGGATAGTCACCGACAAACGTTATCCTGCTACGCAACATGATCTTCGGGAACTTCTTCTCGTCGACCGATTTCTTCTTCGGTACCGTGACCTTCTTCAGCTTGATGGAAGCGAACTGAACGGTCTCCTGGGGCTCCGAAATCTTCAGTTTCGTGGGTTTGATCTCCTTCCTCTCGATCTTCTGTGGTACCAGTTTCTGAAGAGATTCCGGCAAGGGTTTCTTCTCCTTCTTCTTTTTCGGTTCCCATACTATCTTCTCTGGCATGGGTTCCAGTACAGGTCTCTCGTACTCTGGTTCCACCCATTCCTCAATTTCGTCTTTCTTAGCCGGCTTCTTCTTCTTCTTCTTCACAACCTTAGCCTCCTTCGGTTTTTCTGGAGCTTCGGTTGGCTTTTCTTCTGGTACCTCTTCTTTCTTCTCTGGAGCCTTCTCTGTGGGTACCTCAGTGATTTCAACCTTCTCTTCTTCTTCTTCAACTGGTACTGCTTTGCGTTCCTCCGGTTTCTTTGTCGGTATCTCTTCCGGCACAGCCTCTGGAATTACTTCGGTAGTTTCAACAGGTTCCTTTGGAACGACCTCTTTCTTAGCCTTGACTTTCTTCGGCTTCTCTTCAGGTATTTCTTCTGCTTTCTCCTCAGGTCGTTCTTCTTCAGAGATCTTTGGCTTCTTTTCTGCGGGTTTCTTCTTCTTAGGCTTCTCTTCCTTTGGTTTCTCCTCTTCTGGTTTTACTTCTTCCGGTTTCTCTTCAGGTTTCTCTTCCACTGGTTTTTCTTCCTCAGGTTTGGCTTCCTTCGGTTTCTCTTCCTTTGGCTTCTTCTCTTTGGGTTTCGCCTCTTTCGGTTTCTCTTCCTTTGGTTTTTCTTCCTTGGGCTTCACTTCTACCGGTTTCTCTTCTTCTGGTTTTTCCTCTTCAGGTTTCACTTCCTCTGGTTTTTCTTCCTTAGGTTTCTCCACTTTGGGTTTCACCTTCTTTGGCTTCTTCTCTTCTGGTTTTTCTTCTTTAGGTTTCTCTTCTTCCACTTTCTCTTCTTCAGGTTTCACTTCCTCTGGTTTTTCTTCCTTAGGTTTCTCCACTTTGGGTTTCACCTTCTTTGGCTTCTTCTCTTCTGGTTTTTCTTCTTTAGGTTTCTCTTCTTCCACTTTCTCTTCTTTCACTTCCTCAGGTTTCTCCTCTTTGGGCTTCACCTTCTTCGGTTTCTTTTCTTCCGGCTTCTCTTTAAGCACTTCTTCCTCCTTCGGCACCTCTGGAACCTCCTCTTTCGGTTTTTCTTCCGGAATTTCTTTCACCTTCGGTTTCTCTTCAATCACTTCACCATTCGTTACAACCTTTTCCTTCTTCTTCTTCTCCTTCTTCTTAATAGTTACCTCAGTTACCTTCGCCTCTTCTTCCACCTTTTCTTCCTCCTTAGGTTCAGCCTTCTCCTCTTTCGGTTTCTCTTCAGCTATTTCCTCTGTTCTAATTTCGGTAACTACCTCGGTTGTTTGGATTTCTTCCTTGGGAATAACAGCCTTCTTAGCTTTCCTCTTCTTTGGTTCTTCCGGTGTTATTTCTTCCACAACTTCCTCCACTTGTTCCTCTTCAGCTTCAGTTGGCTTTAATTTCTTCTTGGGTGCTTTCTTTACGGTAACCTTCTTCTCTTCCACAGTTGCCTTCTCCTCCTTCTCTTCGACAACTGTAACCTCTTCTTCTTCGGGTTTCTCAACCTCCAACTTCTCTTCCTTTGTTGTAGTAATGACTTCAGTTGTAATTATGCCTTCCTTTGTAGGAATTTCTTTCTTTGCCTTAGTTTTCTTCGGCTTCTCAGGAACAAGTTCCTCGACTTCTTCAACTGGCTGTTCTTCCTCCTCAGGTACCCCTTCTTTCGGTGCCTTCTTCACCTTCACCTTCTTTGTAATTACCTTCTCCTCCGTTTCTTTGACTTCGACCGCTTTCTTTTTCTTGGGTTTCTCCTCTTCAGGAAGTTCTTCCGCACCAACCTCAGAAATTACTTCAGTCACTTCTATACCTTCTTTCTCAGTGACTCCTGGTTTCGCCTTCACCTTCTTAGGTACTTCAGGCTTTATTTCTTCAACAACTTCTTCCTGTTCTTCCGCCTCGACAGCTTTAACTGGCTTCTTCTTCTTCGGCACTTTCTTCACTGATACTTCAGTTATTTCCACTTTTTCTTCTTCCACTTCCGAGGGCTTGGCTTCTTCGGGTTTGACTTTTTCTTCAGGTAACCATTCGACGGAGGTTTCCGTGGTAACTTCAGTGATTTCCACTCCTTCCTTTGGTGTGATTTTCTTTTTAGCCTTTTCTTTAACAGGCTTCTCGATCACAATCTCTTCAACTTCTTCTTCAGGTGCTTTGCCTTCTTTGATAGTTGCTTTCTTCTTCTTAATGACCTTCTTCGTCGGTGTTTCTATTATTTCTACGATTTCTTCTTCCTCCATCGCCTTAGCTTCTTCTATGGTCTTCTGAATGACTTCCTCGATTACTTTATCCTTCTTCTCTTTCGGTTTCTTGCGAATGATCTTCTTCGTCGGTGTTTCGATAGTTTCGATGATCTCTTCTTCTTCTTCTATTACCTCCTCCGGCTTCTCTGGTCCTTCCTTCAAATCTACCTTGGTCACCTTGACCTTCTTCTTCTCTTCTTCCACGATCGGTTTCGCCTTTTTCTTCTGTGGCTTCTCGATGATGATTTCCTCAACAAGCTCTTCAGGAACACCACCATCCTTCACTACCTCTTTCTTCTTCTTCACGATCTTCTTAGTGGGAGTCTCCACAACTTCCACTATCTGTTGTTCCTCCATTTCTATGGTTTCTTCCCTGGGTTTCTGGATGATCTCTTCAACCACGACTTCCTCTTCACCCTTCTTCATCGGGCGTATCTTCTTCCTGATGATCTTATGAGTGGGTGTTTCGATAGTTTCAAAAATCTCTTCCTCCTCCTTAATGACGACTTCCTTCTTCTTCTTCGGAGCTTTCCTGACATCGTGTTCGGTGATTATCACCGTCTCTTCTTCCTCCACGATCGGTTTAGCTTCCCGTTTCTCCGGTTCTTCTATTATTATTTCTTCCACAACTTCTTCGGTGACTTCGTCCTTAGCCTTCACAGGTTTCTCCTTCTTGATCACTTTCTTCTTCGGCTTTATTTCCGTGACTTCTTCGATGATCTCCTGCTGTACAAACAAAATCGATTAGATAACCCGCAATGATTTACTTTAAAATTTGCTTTTCATCCTAAAGCTTTCATCCTACCTGTTCGACCGTCTTCTCCGTGACATCTGCGAAAAGTAGAAAACTGCTTTAGTATCCATCACCGATATTTCTCATCATTAACACTAAGCTATCGTTCAGCAAATCACAAACCATTTACGGCTAAATCACGTACTGATATCAAGCGGATATGGGAGGTTGTTGTCAGCAAGTGCACTGACAACTGTATACGATACAACAAGTAAGTTATGTTTTTGTCGATTCATGTCTTTGTTTCCTGTTCTGTTAAATCGTTTACAGCGAATAAGATACATATATACAGGTAAACCGTGTATACGCGTCGATGATAGTAATAGGGAAGAAATGGGCTTACCTTCGGCCAATTTCTCGACTGCTTTTGGTTTTGTTGGTCTTTTGTGTTTAGCTTGTTCGTGTATTTCTGATATAGTGTCTTCGTGAAGTTCTATTGTTGCTGTTAATGGTTCTTTACCTTCCTCTTCGACAGTCACCTCTTCGGTGACACGTTCTTTACCTTCGCGTTTCCTGGTTACGCGTTTTTTGCGCACAGTTTTCTTTGTTCCTTCCTCGGTGATTATCTCGCTCGTTACGATCTCTTCTTTGATTTCTTCAACAGGCGCGGCTTTCTCGACGGACTCGACCGGTACGGCTTCAAGTTTCTCTAATTCGAATTCCTCGACCGTGACTACAGGTTCGACACCTTCTTCTTCGATTGTGGTTTCTTCAACCACTTTCGGTTTCTCGTCCTTCGGTTTAGTGATCGTTTTCTTCTTTCGAATCTTTCGCTGTTTCTTCTCCGGTGTCTCTTCCACGGTCGTGATTACTTCTACAGTCTCGACAATGTCGTCGTCTCTTGGAACGAACTTGATGATATCTTCAGGTATCTTTTCTTCTTCTTTTGGTTCTTCACCCTTTTTCCAGGGCTTCAGTTTAATTTTCTCCGGTTCTTCAGTTGGAGGTGGCCTCTCAGGAATTCTTCTCTTTATCTCTTCTTCTTCTTCAGGTTCCTTCGGTTTAGGAATACCGGGCACAATCGGAACCTCTTCAGACTCCTGAGCCGGTGTCTTACGTTCCTTCTTCGGTCTTTTGCCTGGAACCTTCTTCTCTTTCGGTTTCTCGGGTTCAGGATACTCCGGTTTCTCTCTCTCCTCCAATTCTACCTCCGGAGCTTCTATGTCGTAAGGTTCGAACGGTTTCAGCTCCGGATATTCTTTCTCTTCTTTCTCTTTCTTCGGTTTATCAACTTCATCTTTCTTCTTTGGCACCTTCTCCTTTTCTTCCGGAACACTTGGAACCTTCTCCGGTATTTTCTTCAGTTTGACAGTCTCCGGTTCTTCTTCCTCCGACGGTCGACGCTTTCCTTTGCCTATCACCAACTTCTTCGGCTCCTCCTCCTCGGGTTTCTTCGGTTTCGGTTTTCTTTCATATGGAGCGAGTTCTTCGGGTTTCTCCAGAGGAACCTTCTTCAGCTCCTCGAACTCCTGATCAAGCTTCTCGAGCTCTGTGATCTCCTTTTCGGGAAGCTTCATCTTTTTATGCTTTATCTTCTTCAGCTTCAGTGCCTCCTCCATCGTACGCGACAGTATTCCACTTTGCACATAATTTGGCTCCAGGGTGGTTATCACCGGGTACTTCATCGATGGTGGCCATTCGTGTGCGGTGATTCGACTGCGTAGCAAAATCTTCGGGAATTTGCCTTCCTCCTTCTCTGCCTTCTTCTTCGGCTTAGTCGGAGCTTTCTTCAACTTGATTTGTGCGAACAGTGGAGTGGCTGGTTCTTCAATCTTCGGTTTAATAGGCTTCTGCTCTTTAATACTAATCCTCATCAGTTGAGGCTTCAGTGCTTCTTTCACCTTGTCTTCGGGTTTCTTCTTCTTCTTCACTTTGCGTTCTGGTTTCTCCTCCGGTACTGGTTCCTCCAGCTTCTCAAGAGGCAATTCTTTCTTCAGTTCAGCGAATTCTTGATCTAATTTCTCCAGTTTCGCAATCTCCTTCTCCAAACGTTTGACCTTCTTCTTCTTCGGTTTCGGTAACGCGGCCGCTTCATCGACGTTGCGAGACAATATTCCATTTTGAATTTCATTTGGTTCGAGTTCCTCGAACTTCAAGTATTTCGGTGACGGTGGCCATTCGATGGAAATGATGCGGCTTCTCAGAAGAATACGAGGGAATTTCTCTTCCTTCTTGCTCGGACGTTTAGCGACTGGAGCTTTGCGTAATTTAATTTGTGCGAATTGAGGTTTGTCCAGAGACATCTCCTGTACGTCCAGTGTTTGGACTTTGATTTTGGACATCTTGAAACGCTGAAGTTTGATAGGCTTCTTGCCTTCCACAGGAGCCTCTTCAGGAGCTTCTTCAGGAGCTTCAGGAGCTTTTTCATCTTCGGTTTTTGGTTTAGGCTTCTTCTTAACGACCTTCTTCTTTTTACCTTCTTTAGTGACAACCTCGACCACTGTAACCTCTTCGGGTACTTCCTCGACTTCAGAAGGCTGGACACGTTCGGGAGCAGGTAGTGCTTTCAGAGTTTCTTGAACGACTTCTTCAACAGGTCCTTCAGTGACGGTGGTAACAGGAGCTTTACCTTGCTCTTCAACGGTAACAACTTCCGTCACCTGTTGTTCAGTGCCTTTGCGTTTCGTAACCTTCTTCTTGGTGATTTTCTTCGGTTTACCTTCCTTAGTGACTTCTTCAGTAACAGTGACTTGTTCACGAACCTCTTCAACCTCAGATGGTTTGGCACCCTTGGGTGCAGGCAGCTTCTTCACTGTCTCTTCAACAACTTCTTCAGTGGGACCTTCCGTGACAGTTGTAACTGGCGCTTTACCTTGTTCTTCGACAGTAACAATCTCTTGAACCTTCTGTTCTTTTCCCTTTCGTTTGATAACTTTCTTCTTGATCACCTTCTTAGGTTTACCTTCTTTGGTCACTTCTTCAGTAACGGTAACCTGTTCTCGGACTTCTTCGACTTCGGATGGTTTGACGAATTCTGGAGCAGGTAGAGGTTTCAGAGTTTCTTCAACAACTTCTTCAATGGGACCTTCAGTAACAGTTGTCACTGGAGCTTTACCTTGCTCCTCCACCGTGACCTCTTCAGTGACCTGCTGTTCTTTACCTTTGCGTTTGATAACCTTCTTCTTGGTGACCTTCTTAGGTCTGCCTTCCTTAGTGATTTCTTCAGTAACAGTGACTTGTTCGCGGACTTCTTCAACTTCTGATGGCTTAGCACCTTTGGGCGCAGGCAATGCCTTTACGGTTTCTTCAACGATTTCTTCAGTTGGACCTTCTGTGACCGTTGTAACCGGAGCTTTACCTTGCTCTTCAACAGTAACAACTTCTTGCACCTGTTGTTCTCTTCCTTTCCGTTTGACTACCTTCTTCTTAGTCACCTTTCTAGGTTTACCTTCCTTAGTTATTTCTTCCGTAACAGTGACTTGTTCTCTCACTTCCTCGACTTCGGATGGTTTGACGAACTCTGGAGCAGGCAATGGTTTCAGAGTTTCCTCAACAACTTCTTCAACGGGGCCCTCAGTGACAGTTGTCACTGGAGCTTTACCTTGCTCTTCAACGGTAACAACCTCTGTCACCTGCTGCTCTGCTCCTTTCCGTTTAGTAACCTTCTTCTTGGTAACCTTCTTCGGTTTTCCTTCTTTAGTTATTTCTTCAGTAACAGTGACCTGTTCACGGACTTCGACAACTTCTGATGGTTTGGCACCTTTGGGTGCAGGCAGTGCCTTCACGGTCTCTTCAACGATTTCTTCAGTAGGACCTTCTGTGACAGTTGTCACTGGAGCCTTTCCTTCCTCTTCAACAGTGACAACTTCCTGTACTTGCTGTTCTCTTCCTTTACGTTTAATAACCTTCTTCTTAATGACTTTCTTAGGCTTACCCTCCTTTGTCACTTCTTCAGTAATAGTTACCTGCTCTCTTACTTCTTCGACTTCAGATGGTTTGACGAATTCTGGAGCAGGCAATGGTTTCAGGGTTTCTTCCACAACTTCTTCAACAGGTCCTTCAGTCACAGTCGTGACAGGTGCTTTACCCTGTTCTTCCACTGTGACCTCTTCGGTGACCTGCTGTTCTTTACCCTTGCGCTTAATAACTTTCTTCTTGGTGATCTTCTTCGGTTTGCCTTCTTTAGTAACAACTTCAGTAACAGTGACTTGTTCTCGCACTTCTTCAACTTCAGACGGTTTGGCACCTTTGGGTGCAGGAAGTGCTTTGATTGTTTCTTCAACAATTTCTTCAGTTGGACCTTCAGTGACAGTTGTAACAGGAGCTTTACCTTCTTCTTCAACAGTAACAACCTCTTGAACCTGCTGTTCTCTTCCTTTACGTTTAATCACCTTCTTTTTGATGACATTCTTAGGTTTACCCTCTCTTGTCACTTCTTCAGTGACAGTTACCTGTTCTCGTACTTCTTCCACTTCAGAGGGTTTGACAACTTCAGGAGCAGGTAATGGTTTTAGTGCTTCTTCAACAACTTCTTCAACAGGTCCTTCAGTCACTGTTGTAACAGGTGCTTTACCTTGTTCTTCTACAGTGACTTCTTCAGTGACCTGCTGTTCTCTACCCTTGCGTTTGATAACCTTCTTTTTGGTGACCTTCTTTGGTTTGCCTTCCTTAGTGATTTCTTCAGTAACAGTGACTTGTTCGCGAACCTCCACCACTTCTGATGGTTTAGCACCTTTGGGTGCAGGCAGAGCTTTCACTGTCTCTTCAACTATTTCTTCAGTTGGACCTTCCGTGACAGTTGTGACAGGCGCTTTACCTTGCTCTTCAACAGTAACAACCTCTTTGACCTTTTGCTCTTTACCTTTTCGTGTTACAACCTTCTTCTTAATGACCTTTCTAGGTTTACCCTCTTTTGTTACTTCTTCAGTAACAGTCACCTGTTCCCGTACCTCTTCGACATCAGATGGTTTCACAAATTCAGGGGCAGGTAAGGGTTTCAGTACTTCTTCAATAACTTCTTCAACAGGTCCTTCAGTGACAGTGGTAACAGGCGCTTTACCTTGTTCTTCCACTGTGACCACTTCAGTGACCTGCTGATCTTTACCTTTGCGTTTAATAACTTTCTTCTTAGTAATCTTCTTCGGTTTACCTTCTTTGGTAACAACTTCAGTGACAGTGACTTGTTCGCGTACCTCCTCAACTTCGGATGGCTTGGCGCCTTTAGGTGCCGGCAGAGCTTTGACTATCTCTTCCACGATTTCTTCAGATGGACCTTCAGTAACTGTTGTAACTGGAGCTTTACCTTGTTCTTCGACAGTGACAACTTCTTGGACCTGCTGTTCTCTTCCTTTCCGTTTGACTACCTTCTTCTTAGTCACCTTTCTAGGTTTGCCTTCTTTGGTTATTTCTTCAGTAACGGTAACCTGTTCTCTCACTTCTTCGACTTCAGATGGTTTTATCGCTTCTGGGGCAGGAAGCGGTTTGATGACTTCTTCGAGGATCTCTTCAGTTGGACCCTCAGTGACGGTGGTAACAGGCGCTTTTCCTTGTTCTTCAACAGTAACGATTTCCGTCACCTGTTGATCTTTGCCCTTCTTCTTAATAATCTTCTTCTTAGTTGTCTTCTTAGGTTTGCCTTCCTTAGTCACTTCTTCGGTTACCGTTACCTGTTCACGTACCTCCTCCACTTCTGATGGTGTAACAAATTCTGATACAGGAAGAGTCTTTATTTCTTCTTCGACAACTTCCTCCACAGGTCCTTCCGTCACAGTTGTCTTGGGAGCCTTTCCTTCTTCCTCAACTGTGACAATCTCTTTAACTTGTTGTTCCTTTCCTTTACGTGTAATGATCTTCTTTTTGGTGGTCTTCTTAGGCTTTCCTAATTTGGTCACTTCTTCAGTCACCGTTACTTGTTCACGTACTTCCTCTACTTCCACCGGTTTGACTTTCTTCGGAGCTGCCAAGGGTTTAATCGTTTCATCAACTATTTCTTCAACAGGTCCTTCAGTCACAGTTGTCTTAGGCGCCTTTCCTTCCTCCTCAACTGTAACGACCTCAGTAACTTGCTGTTCTTTACCTTTACGTTTAATGATCTTCTTTCGGGTAGTCTTCTTTGGTTTGCCAAGTTTAGTTATTTCTTCAGTGACCGTCACTTGTTCTCGCACTTCCTCCACTTCGGATGGTGTGACAAACTCTGATACAGGAAGTGTCTTTATCTCTTCCTCGACAACTTCTTCCACTGGGCCCTCAGTTACAGTTGTTTTTGGCGTTTTACCTTCTTCTTCAACAGTGACAATCTCTTTAACCTGCTGTTCTTTTCCTTTGCGTGTAATAATTTTCCTCTTGGTTGTTTTCTTTGGTTTTCCTTGTTTAGTCACTTCTTGCGTCACTGTTACTTGTTCACGCACTTCTTCCACCTCTGATGGTTTGACAAATTCTGGCGCTGGAAGTGTTGTTACTTCTTCCTCGACAACTTCTTCAACTGGGCCCTCAGTTACGGTTGTCTTCGGAGCTTTACCTTCTTCCTCCACAGTGACAATCTCTTTAACTCGCTGTTCTTTTCCTTTGCGAGTAACAATTTTTCGCTTAGTTGTTTTCTTTGGCTTTCCTTGTTTAGTAACTTCTTGAGTCACTGTCACTTGTTCGCGTACTTCTTCAACTTCAGATGGCTTAGCATATTCTGGGGCAGGTAGTGCTTTCACTGTCTCATCAACAACCTCCTCAACTGGTCCTTCCGTCACAGTAGTGACTGGAGCCTTTCCTTGCTCCTCAACAGTCACAACTTCAGTCACCTGCTGCTCCTTGCCCTTCTTCTTTATAATCTTCTTCTTAATAGTCTTCTTCGGTTTACCTTCTTTGGTTACCTCTTGCGTGACAGTTACCTGTTCACGCACTTCTTCAACTTCAGGTTTGACAAACTCAGGAGCAGGAAGTGCTTTTATTTCTTCCTCAACAACTTCTTCTACAGGTCCTTCTGTCACAGTTGTCTCCGGAGCTTTTCCTTCTTCCTCAACTGTAACAATTTCTTTGACTTGCTGTTGTTTTCCTTTGCGTATTACAATCTTCTTCTTCGTTGTCTTCTTTGGTTTTCCTAATTTAGTTACTTCTTGAGTCACCGTTACTTGTTCACGTACTTCTTCAACTTCTGATGGTTTAGCATATTTGGGTGCAGGTAGTGTCTTCACCGTCTCATCAATAACTTCTTCAAGTGGTCCTTCAGTCACAGTTGTAACCGGAACCTTTCCTTGTTCCTCGACAGTCACAACTTCAGTTACCTGCTGATCTTTTCCTTTCTTCTTTATGATCTTCTTCCTGATTGTCTTCTTTGGTTTACCTTCTTTGGTTACCTCCTCTGTAACCGTCACTTGCTCACGTACTTCCTCAACCTCAGCTGGTCTCAAGAACTCCTCTACTGGAAGCGTTGTTGTTTCTTCCTCGACAACTTCTTCTACTGGTCCTTCAGTCACAGTAGTCTTCGGAGCTTTTCCTTCTTCCTCAACAGTGACAATCTCTTTAACCTGTTGCTGTTTTCCTTTGCGTGTTATTATCTTCTTCTTCGTTGTCTTCTTTGGTTTTCCTGTCTTAGTCACTTCTTGAGTCACTGTTACTTGTTCTCGGACTTCCTCTACTTCTGAAGGTTTGGCGTACTTAGGAGCAGGAAGCGCTTTCACAGTTTCATCAATAACCTCCTCAACTGGTCCTTCAGTCACGGTGACTACTGGTGCCTTTCCTTGTTCTTCAACTGTAACCACCTCAGTCTCTCTCTGTTCTTTACCTTTCTTCTTTATGATCTTCTTTCTGGTTACCTTCTTCGGTTTGCCTTCTTTCGTCACCTCCTCCGTGACAGTTACTTGTTCGCGCACTTCTTCAACTTCAGTTGGTTTAAGGAACTCCAGGACAGGAAGTGTTTTAATTTCTTCTTCTACAACCTCCTCCACAGGTCGTTCGGTTACAGTCGTTTCTGGTGCTTTACCTTCCTCTTCAACAGTGACGATCTCCTTAACTCTCTGTTCTTTGCCTTTGCGTGTTATAATCTTCCTCTTGGTTGTTTTCTTTGGCTTTCCTAATTTGGTCACTTCCTGAGTCACCGTTACTTGTTCTCGCACCTCCTCCACTTCTGATGGCTTTGCATATTTAGGTGCAGGCAATGCTTTTACAGTTTCATCAACAATTTCTTCAACTGGACCTTCTGTTACGGTGACAACAGGTGCCTTACCTTGCTCTTCGACTGTCACCACCTCTGTCTCCTGTTGCTCTTTACCTTTCTTCTTTATGATCTTCTTCCTGACTACCCTCTTTGGTTTTCCTTCCTTGGTCACCTCCTCTGTAACCGTCACTTGTTCACGTACCTCCTCAACTTCAGTGGGTTTCACAAACTCCGGTACTGGAAGTGTCTTTATTTCTTCTTCTACCACTTCTTCCACAGGTCGTTCAGTTACAGTTGTTACCGGAGCCTTTCCTTCCTCCTCAACAGTAACAATCTCTTTGACCCTCTGTTCTTTTCCTTTACGAGTGATAATCTTTCTCTTAGTTGTTTTCTTCGGCTTTCCTAACTTGGTCACTTCTTGTGTCACTGTTACTTGTTCGCGAACTTCTTCTACTTCTGACGGCTTAGCATATTTTGGTGCCGGCAGTTCCTTTATGGTCTCATCAACGATTTCTTCAACTGGTCCTTCGGTGACAGTGGTGACTGGTGCTTTTCCTTGTTCTTCAACTGTAACCACCTCTGTTTCCCTCTGTTCTTTACCTTTCTTCTTAATAATCTTCTTCCTGATTATCTTCTTCGGTTTGCCTTCTTTGGTTACCTCCTCTGTCACTGTCACCTGTTCGCGGACTTCTTCAACTTCAGTTGGTTTAACAAACTCCGGTGCAGGAAGTGATTTTATTTCTTCCTCAACAACTTCTTCAACTGGACCTTCAGTCACAGTTGTTTTCGGAGCCTTTCCTTCTTCTTCCACCGTGACAATCTCCTTAACCTTCTGTTCCTTTCCTTTGCGCGTGATGATCTTTCTCTTAGTTGTTTTCTTTGGTTTGCCCAATTTGGTCACTTCTTGAGTCACTGTTACTTGTTCATGCACTTCCTCTACTTCTGAAGGTTTAGCGTGTTTAGGTGCAGGTAATGTCTTTGTGATCTCATCAACAACTTCCTCAACAGGTCCTTCAGTCACTGTAGTGACAGGTACCTTACCTTGTTCTTCAACTGTCACAACTTCAGTCACCTGTTGTTCTTTACCTCTCTTCTTTACGATCTTCTTCTTAATTGTCTTCTTAGGTTTACCTTCTCTGGTTACTTCTTCTGTAACCGTCACCTGTTCACGCACTTCTTCGACTTCGGTAGGCTTAACAAGTTCTGGTACAGGAAGTGTTTTTACTTCTTCTTCCACAACTTCCTCTACAGGTCCTTCAGTCACTGTCGTCTCTGGAGCTTTTCCTTCCTCCTCGACCGTGACAATTTCTTTAACCGTCTGTTCTTTTCCTTTGCGAGTGATTATCTTCTTCTTGGTTGTCTTCTTTGGTTTTCCTAGTCTGGTCACTTCTTGCGTTACTGTTACCTGTTCGCGTACTTCTTCTATTTCTGAAGGTTTAGCATGTTTAGGTGCAGGTAGTGTCTTTACGATCTCATCGACAACTTCCTCAACAGGTCCTTCGGTCACAGTTGTAACTGGCACTTTACCTTTCTCTTCGACTGTCACAACTTCAGTTACCTGTTGTTCTTTGCCTCTCTTCTTTATGATCTTCTTCTTAGTTGTCTTCTTTGGTTTACCTTCTTTGGTGACTTCTTCTGTGACCGTCACCTGTTCACGCACCTCTTCAATTTCAGTTGGTTTAACAAACTCTGGTAGAGGAAGTTCTTTTATTTCTTCTTCCACAACTTCTTCTACCGGTCCCTCAGTGACAGTTGTTTCTGGAGCTTTTCCTTCTTCTTCAACCGTGACAATTTCTTTAACCTTCTGCTCTTTTCCTTTACGCGTGATAATTTTCCTCTTAATAGTCTTCTTTGGTTTTCCTAGTTTGGTCACTTCTTGCGTCACTGTTACCTGTTCGCGTACTTCTTCAACCTCTGAAGGTTTAGCATGTTTAGGTGCAGGTAGTGTCTTTATGATCTCATCGACAACTTCTTCAACAGGTCCTTCAGTCACAGTAGTAACAGGTACCTTTCCTTGTTCTTCAACCGTGACAACCTCAGTTTCCTGCTGTTCTTTGCCTCTCTTCTTTATGATCTTCTTCTTGATCACCTTCTTCGGTTTACCCTCTTTAGTTACCTCTTCCGTGACAGTCACCTGTTCACGCACCTCTTCAACTTCAGTTGGTTTAACAAACTCTGGTATCGGTAGTTCTTTTATTTCTTCTTCCACAACTTCTTCTACCGGTCCCTCAGTGACAGTTGTTTCCGGAGCTTTACCTTCCTCTTCAACCGTGACAATCTCCTTAACTTTTTGTTCTTTACCTTTACGTGTGATAATCTTTCTCTTAATGGTTTTCTTCGGTTTGCCTAATCTCGTCACTTCTTGTGTCACCGTTACCTGTTCACGTACTTCCTCTACTTCTGAAGGTTTAGCGTGTTTCGGTGCAGGCAATGTCTTTATGATTTCATCAACAACTTCTTCAACAGGTCCTTCAGTCACAGTAGTAACAGGTACCTTTCCTTGTTCTTCAACCGTCACAACTTCAGTTTCCTGTTGTTCTTTGCCTCTCTTCTTTATGATCTTCTTTTTAGTCACCTTCTTTGGCTTACCCTCTTTAGTTACCTCCTCTGTAACCGTCACCTGTTCACGCACCTCTTCAACTTCACTAGGTTTCACAAACTCCGGTACAGGAAGTGTCTTGATTTCTTCCTCTACCACCTCTTCCACAGGTCCCTCAGTCACAGTTGTTTTCGGCGCTTTTCCTTCTTCCTCAACAGTGACGATTTCTTTAACCTTCTGCTCTTTTCCTTTCCGTGTAATAATCTTCTTCCTAGTCGTTTTCTTTGGTTTTCCCAATTTAGTCACTTCTTGAGTCACCGTTACTTGTTCACGAACCTCCTCTTGCTCAGAAGGTTTAGCATACTCCGGTGCAGGCAAAGGTGTGATTGTTTCTTCAACCACTTCCTCTACCGGTCCCTCAGTGACCGTTGTAACTGGCGCCTTTCCTTGTTCTTCAACAGTGACTATTTCCGTCACACGCTGTTCTTTTCCTCTGCGCTTAATAATCTTCTTCTTGGTAGTCGTCTTTGGCTTACCTAGTTTCGTGACTTCTTCAGTGACTGTCACCTGTTCGCGCACTTCTTCAACTTCGGTTGGTTTCACTCGTTCTGGAGCTGGCAGTGGTTTGATTGTCTCTTCCACCACTTCTTCTATCGGTCCTTCGGTCACTGTGGTAACAGGTGCCTTACCCTGCTCTTCAACGGTGACAACCTCTGTTACCTGTTGCTCTTGACCTTTGCGTTTAATGATCTTCCTTCTAGTGGTCTTCTTCGGTTTACCCAGTTGTGTAACCTCTTGCGTTATGGTCACCTGTTCCCTAACTTCCTCAACTTCTGAAGGCTTGGCGTACTGTGGTGCAGGTAGTTTCTTCACTATCTCTTCAACCACTTCTTCAACTGGTCCTTCAGTGACACTGGTGACCGGAGCCTTTCCTTGCTCCTCAACAGTGACCACCTCCGTAACTTGTTGTTCTTTTCCTTTGCGCGTAATTTTCTTCTTTCTGGTTGTCTTCTTTGGTTTACCTTCTTCAGTTACTTCTTCTGTTACGGTCACTTGTTCCTCTACCTGTTGCACAGTAGGTGTCACATATTTCAGTGGTGTCATCGGTTCTGTTTCTTCTTCTGGCACTTCTTCTTCTTCCACCTGTTCGATGTGTTCGACAGGTTTCGTGACAACCGTGGTTACCGGTGCCTTTCCTTCTTCCTCTACCGTGATCTCTTCCGTCACTTGACGGGTCTTTCCTTTCTTTCTCACGATTCGTTTCTTCGTTACTTTCCTCTTGTCTTCCTGAACCTCTGTCACTTTCACTTCTACCTTTTCTTCTTCTTTCTGAGTGGTCTCTTCAACTTCGTCGATTCTCGTCGGAACTATCTCTTCGACGTCCGTCACCGTGGTGACTTCTTCAATCGGCATAAACTGTTTCTTCGGTATCGACGGTATTTTCGGTTTAACATCCTCAAGTTCTTCTTCGATGACGACGACAATGTCTTCTTCAGCCGTTGTTTTCGGCTTTTTCTTTCTTACAATCGTTTTCTTTGTTTTAACAGCCGCGGTCTCGTCCTCGGTGCTACCGCGCCTGAATTTCGTTGTGTACTCCTCAATTGTCTCTGTATCAGACTCAATCGATTGTTGCTGTGGCAAATCGTGTTTTGTTGTGTGTTGTGTGATTGTGATGTGATGTTGTTGCGCTGGTGCTTCTGTGGTTTCTGAAATGTATACAGAACAAAGTGTGATACGATTAACTTGTGTCCACTGGTGGCAAATTCTTGCTCGATTGCTTTCTTTACTTTTGGTTTGACTTCTCACACATTATCGCGACAAACCCCATTTTTCTCACCGGGCCATTGTATGTTGTTTCGTGTACTGGGTACCGTATCGTTATCATAATCATGTATAATGTGAATGTGTCCTGTGTGTCGTATCGTGTGGTGTCCACGATATATACCTACCTTCCATCATTCCTACCATACCTACGCGACCCTACGTTCCGTAAAACCTGCCAGCACGTATTCAACGTTCAGCTTCGACGTCCCCTATATCTCTCAAGAAACGTTAATCTATCGTCCATGCATCTTTGGGTGCCTAACCGTCGTCGTCGCAGTCCGTCCCGTCGAAAGTACTTTTATACCTTGATAGCAATAATACTCACCCACAACGTGTTCCAGGTGGTCAGCCTCGATAGAAACGCTCGCTAACTTAGCGAAAGGAATTACAGACTCGGGCAGTTCTGACTCAAGCTCACCCGCACTCAGGTGTTCGGTTACGATCACACCTTGTTGGATCTCGTCCACACCCTTGGCAGTCTTGCCTTCTGGCTTCTTCACTTTGAACTCCGAAGCCACGTCCTCGGGTTGGACCTCCGTTTTCAACGCGACCTTACGTTCGATCACGTCCGGTTGGGCGGAAGCTTCTTTAGCGACTCCCTTTATCACCTCTTTCGACTCTTTCTCGGTGGCCGTGACTTGAGTCACCTCGAGACTCTCGGAAACGCGGAATGAAACTTCGGCCGTCGCGGACGTTGTCTTCTTCTCGACAACGAACGTACTCTCTTTCTCTTGGGTCATCGTCTGCGACAGTTCTATGCTCTCGAACGGAATCTGTTCGGGTATTATCTGTTTGGTGTCCGGTTTGACGGTTTCTTGTAGCTCTCCGGTGATCGAGGAGAGTATCACTTGAGACTTCTCGGCGACCTGGATACCCAGGAGGCTAGGTTTGGCGGTCTCTTCAGTAGGTTTGTCAGGAGTTGGTAGTCCCTTCTCGGCCTCGCCTAGAGCTACCTCTGACACCGACAGCGACAACAGCTCCTCCAATTGAGGCTTTCCTTTCTGCTCTTCGGGTGCTTTCGGCTTCGCAAGCTCCTCCGTGCTGGTCATCGTCAGCACCATCGATGTCTCAGACACCTCTAAGCCAGTGAACTGTGCAAGAGCTTTGCGTTCCTTGGGAGCCTCAGGCGCAGGCAGCTCCTTCTCCGCTTCCGTGGAGACTACTTCAGAAACAGTAATGAAACTCATCTCCTCCACATCTGGTACACCTTTCTGACCTTCCGGTTTTTCCAGCTTTTGCATTTCTTCGACGTTCGTGACTGTCAGAACTTCTGTCTTCTCAGCGACTTCCCTGCCGATCATCTGCGGCTGAGCGACCTTCTCGCTAGGCTTCTCAGGTGATGGCAAAGTGTCCTCCAGTTCGTTGGACACGACCTGTGAGACTGTTAACGACGTCAGTTCATCCAAACGCGGTTTGCCTTTCTGTTCTTCGGGTAATACTGATTTTTCTAACTCTTCTACGTTCGATACGGTGAGCACCTGACTGGTTTCTGCTACTTCTCTTCCTGTTAGGGCAGCTTTGGCAGTCACCGTGCTGGGTGCTACAGGTTTCTCGAAGGTCTCTTCAGTTTCGTGGTACACTGCTTGCGAGACGGTGAGGGAAGTCAATTCTTCGACATTGGGTATTCCTTTCTGTTTCTCGGGTGCTTGGTCCGTTGTCAGCTCCTTGGCGCTTATCATGGTGAGCACTTGCATGGTTTCTGCCACATCGCGACCGGTTAAACTAGGCTGAGCCAGTTTCTCTGTAGGCACTTCAGGAGATGGCAACACGTCTTCTTTCTCAGTAGATACCGTTTGTGAGATGGAGAGAGATACGAATTCCTCCAGACCCGGCACTCCCTTCTGCTCTTCGGGTTTCTTGGCTTCCGCCATTTCGTCCACGTGCGCCATACTCAGTACGACCGTCGTCTGAGCCACGTCCCTGCCTATCATACTCGGCTGAGCCTCTCTCTCGACAGGTATCTCAGCCGACGGCAGTGTCTCTTCCGTTTCCTGGGAGACCACCTGTGACACCGTCAACGGCGCCAGCTCTTCAATTTGTGGTCTGCCCTTCTGTTCTTCTGGAGCCTTAGGTGACACCAGGTCTTCGGCTCTGGCTATGGTCAGCACCTGCAGGGTCTCAGCGACGTCTCTTCCGATCAGACTGGGTTGCGCTGTCTTCTCTTTCGGAATTTCTGCGGTGGGCATCGCTTCTTCGACCTCTCCGGATACCACGTGAGAAACCGTGAGTGGAGTCAGTTCGTCCAACTTCGGCTGCACCTTCTGTTCCTCAGGCGCTTTGGATTTTAGAAGCTCTTGAGCGCTGATCATCGTCAACACTTCCGTTGTCTCTGCTACTTCGATGCTAGACAATTGAGAAACTGCCGTGCGTTCTTTGGGAACCTCCGCACTTGGTAATTCCGTTTCTTTTTCCGTGGAAATGACTTCGGAGACTGTGATGAAGGTCATCTCCTCCACGTCCGGTTTTCCTGTTTGACCCTCCGGTTTCTCAAGCTTCTTCAGTTCTTCGACATTCGCGACTGTCAGGACCTCCGTCTTCTCGGCTACTTCTCTGCCGATCATTTGTGGCTGGGCGATCTTCTCGCTGGGCTTCTCAGGAGATGGCAGCGTCTCTTCGAGTTCACTGGACACAACCTGGGAGACTGTTATGGATGTCAGCTCGTCCAGACGAGGTTTTCCTTTCTGTTCTTCTGGCAGTACTGATTTCTCGAACTCCTGCACTGTGGATACCGTCAGAACTTGACTGGTTTCGGCTACTTCCCTTCCTGACAGCGCAGGCTTGGCAGTCACCGTGCTTGGTGCTGCAGGTTTCTCCAGTATCTCCTCAGTTTCGTGTGACACGGTTTGGGAAACGGTCAGAGAAGTCAGTTCTTCGACGTTAGGTACACCTTTCTGTCGGTCCGGTGCATGTTCCGCTGTCAGTTCCACGGCGCTGATCATGGTCAAAATCTGCGTGGTCTCCGCCACGTCGCGGCCAGTCAGGCTCGGTTGAGCCATCTTCTCGGTTGGCACTTCAGGACTAGGTAGAACGTCCTCTTTCTCCGTGGACACCATCTGGGAAACGGACAGCGGTATGAACTCCTCCAATCCTGGAGCACCCGTTTGTTCAGCAGGTTTCTTCTCCTCGACTAGAGTATCCAAACTGGCCATCGTCAACACCTCCATCGTTTGAGCCACGTCTCTACCTGTCAGATCGGGTTGAGCCTTTCGTTCTGTCGGCGCTTCTGGCATTGGCAGTGTTCCTTCCGCTTCTTGGGACACCACTTGTGAAACTGTTAGCGGTGCCAGTTCCTCTACCTGCGGTTTGCCCTTCTGTTCTTCAGGGGCTTTAGGTGCCACAAGTTCCTCAGCGCTGGCCATGGTTAGCACCTGGGTGGTCTCGGCAATGTCTCTTCCGAGCATGCTCGACTCGGCTGTCTTCTCCTTCGGGACTTCTGCCTCTGGCAGACGCTCTTCAACCTCTCCCGACACTATCTGAGAGACAGTTAACGGTGTCAGTTCGTCCAGATGTGGCTTGCCTTTCTGTTCTTCGGGTAACATGTCTTTCTGAAGCTCTCCAACGCTTGTGACAGTAAGAACTTGACTGGTCTCGGCCACTTCTCTTCCCAAGAAGGCGGGCTTAGCTGTTGCTTCGGTTGGAGCCACAGGCTTCTCCAGAACGTCTTCAGCTTCGTGCGACACCATTTGGGAAACCGTGAGGGACATTAGTTCTTCTACGTTTGGTTTTCCCTTCTGTTGTTCTGGAGCTAGGGTTGTTAGTTGTTCTTCACTGACCATGGCTAAAACTTGAGTGGTCTCCGCCACATCACGACCTGTGAGGCTCGGTTGCGCTACCTTGGTTGTAGGCACCTCAGGGCTGGGTAGAACGTCTTCCTTTTCTGTGGAGACCGTTTGTGACACGGATAGAGGTACAAATTCCTCCAGTCCAGGAACACCCTTCTGTTGATCCGGTTTCTTGTCTTCGGCCAAGGTGTCTACGCTGGCCATGGTCAAAACCTCCATCATTTCAGCCACGTCTCTTCCCGTCAGATCGGGTTGGGCCTTCCTTTCAGTAGGAGCTTCGGGTGTTGGTAATACTCCTTCTGCTTCTTGCGAGACAACCTGCGACACAGTTAATGGTGCCAGTTCTTCGACTTGTGGCTTTCCTTTCTGTTCTTCAGGGGCTTTGGGTGCTGCAAGCTCTTCGGCACTGGTCATAGTTAACACCTGTGTGGTCTCGGCTATGTCTCTTCCCAGCATGCTCGGTTGTGCAGTCTTTTCCTTCGGAACTTCAGCTGTTGGTAGACCTTCTTCAGCTTCTCCCGACACTATTTGTGAGACCGTAAGTGGAGTCAGTTCTTCCAACTGCGGCTTTCCTTTCTGTTGTTCAGGCAAAACGTGTTTCTCCAGTTCCCCAACATTTGACACAGCCAGAATTTCACTGGTTTGCGCTATTTCTCTTCCCGAAAGCGCTGGTTTAGCGGTTGCTTCGCTGGGAGCTGCAGGTTTTTCTAGAATCTCCTCCATTTCCTGTGTCACAGTTTGGGAAACTGTAAGGGATGTCAGTTCTTCTACATTGGGCCTTCCTTTGTGTGCTTCGGGTACGGGAGCCTTTGTGAACTCCTCCTCACTCGTCATCGTCACAACCTGCATGGTTTCTGCAATGTCGCGACCAGTCAAACTAGGTTGTGCCATCTTCGTGCTGGGTACTTCAGGGCTAGGTAACACGTCCTCCATTTCGGAGGACACAGTTTGCGTCACGGATAGAGGAACAAATTCCTCCAAACCAGGAACACCCTTCTGTGCTTCAGGTTTCTTGTCTTCGATTCTCATATCTGCGTCCGCCATGCTTATCACCACTGTGGTCTGAGCCACATCCATGCCTGTCAGCTCAGGTTGAGCCGTCCTCTCGGTCGGTGCTTCTGGTTTCGGTAATGTTCCTTCTGCCTCTTGTGAAATAACTTGGGAAACTGTGAGTGGTGCCAGTTCTTCGAACTGTGGTTTTCCTTTCTGTCCTTCTGGAGCCTTAGGCGCTGCCAGCTCTTCGGTGCTAGTCATCGTCAACACTTGACTTGTCTCTGCGATGTCTCTTCCCAGCATGCTCGGCTGAGCTGTCTTTTCCTTCGGCACTTCAGCCTCCGGTAAGCGTTCTTCAGCTTCTCCTGACACTATCTGTGATACCGTGAGAGGAGTCAGTTCATCCACTCGTGGCTTGCCTTTCTGTTCCTCAGGCAGTACATGCTTCTCTAACTCTCCAACGTTGGTCACAATCAGCGTCTCACTGGTTTGGGCGACTTCTCTTCCAGTGAACGCAGGCTTGGCAGTTGCTTCACTGGGTGCTGCAGGCTTTTCTAGGACTTCTTCAGTTTCTTGCGATATTGTCTGAGAAACTGTGAGCGATGTCAGCTCTTCAACGTTGGGTTTACCCTTGTGTGTTTCTGGCGCGGGAGCTTTCGTGAACTCCTCTTCAGTCGTCAACGTCACAACCTGCAAGGTCTCAGCTATGTCGCGACCAGTGAGACTCGGCTGTGCCGTCTTCGTGGTGGGTGCTTCAGGGCTGGGTAACACTTCTTCCTTCTCGGTCGACACTGTCTGTGACACGGACAGCGGTACAAACTCCTCTAGGCCTGGAACCCCTTTCTGTTCTGCAGGTTTCTTGTCCTCGGCCAAGGTGTCTAAGCTGGCCATCGCCACAACCTCCATCATTTCAGCTATGTCTCTTCCTGTTAGATCAGGTTGAGCCTTCCTTTCTGTAGGAGCTTCAGGTGCTGGTAATACTCCTTCCGCTTCTTGAGAAACAACCTGCGACACAGTCAACGGTGCCAGTTCTTCAACTTGTGGCTTTCCTTTCTGTTCTTCAGGTGCTCTGGGTGCTGCAAGCTCTTCGGCACTGGTCATGGTTAGCACCTGTGTGGTCTCTGCGATGTCTCTTCCCAGCATGCTCGGTTGAGCCGTCTTCTCTTTAGGAACCTCAGCCTCTGGTAGTCCTTCCTCAACTTCACCTGATACTGTCTGCGATATTATGAGCGGTGTTAGCTCATCCAATTGTGGCTGTCCTTTCTGTTCATCAGGTAGGACCTGTTTCTCTAACTCGCCCACGTTCGTTACGAGCAGTAACTCACTGGTTTGAGCAACCTCTCTTCCTGAGAATGCTGGATGTGCAGACACCTCGCTCGGCGCTGCAGGTTTCTCGAGAATGTCTTCTGCTTCGTGGGACACGGTTTGTGAAACCGTGAGTGGTGTCAGTTCTTCGACGTTCGGTATTCCTTTGTGTTGTTCGGGCGCAACAGCTGTCACCAGCTCTTGCTCGCTGGTCATCATCACCACCTGCATGGTTTCCGCTATGTCGCGACCGGTCAGACTTGGCTGAGCCATCTTGGTCGACGGTGCTTCAGGGCTAGGTAACACGTCCTCCATTTCGGTGGATATGGTTTGTGTCACAGACAGAGGAACGAACTCCTCCAATCCTGGAAGTCCCTTTTGTTCATCAGGTTTTATGTCTTCGGTGAGTTTATCAACGCTCGTCATTGTCAATATCTCCATCGTTTGAGCAATGTCTCTTCCTGTCATGTCAGGTTGGGCCTTCCTTTCAGTGGGTGCTTCAGGTGCAGGTAACACCCCTTCCGCTTCTTGAGAAACAACTTGGGAGACAGTCAACGGTGCTAGCTCTTCCACCTGTGGCTTGCCTTTCTGACCTTCTGGCGCTTTTGGCGCAGCAAGTTCTTCAGCACTGGTCACTGTCAGAACTTGCGAGGTCTCTGCTATCTCTCTTCCTAACATACTCGGCTGAGCCGTCTTCTCCTTAGGCACTTCAGCCTCTGGTAAGCCTTCCTCAACTTCTCCTGACACTGTCTGTGATACTATAAGCGGCGTCAATTCGTCCAATTGTGGCTGTCCTTTCTGTTCATCAGGTAGAACTTGTTTCTCCAACTCGCCCACGTTCGTCACGAGCAGCAGCTCACTGGTTTGAGCGACTTCTCTTCCCGAAAATGCCGGATGGGCTGATGCCTCGGTCGGCGCTGCAGGTTTCTCAAGAATGTCTTCTGCTTCGTGAGACACGGTTTGAGAAACTGTGAGTGGTGTCAATTCCTCAACGTTCGGTCTTCCTTTGTGTGTCTCAGGTGCTGGAGCTTTCGTGAACTCCTCTTCAGTCGACAGCGTCACAACCTGCATGGTCTCTGCTATGTCGCGACCAGTAAGACTCGGCTGTGCTGTCTTCGTGGTAGGTGCTTCAGGGCTGGGTAACACTTCTTCCTTCTCGGTGGACACTGTCTGCGACACAGATAACGGTACAAACTCTTCCAGACCTGGTACACCTTTCTGTTCAGCGGGTTTCTTGTCCTCGGCCAAGGTGTCTAAGCTGGCCATTGCCACCACCTCCATCATCTCAGCTATGTCTCTTCCCGTCATATCTGGCTGAGCTTTCCTCTCGGTTGGAGCTTCAGGTGCTGGTAATACTCCTTCAGCTTCTTGAGAAACAACCTGCGACACAGTTAATGGTGCCAGTTCTTCAACTTGTGGCTTTCCTTTCTGTTCTTCAGGGGCTTTCGGTGCTGCAAGCTCGGCCGCACTGGTCACAGTCAGTACCTGCATCGTCTCAGCCACGTCTCTTCCCAGCATGCTCGGTTGAGCCGTCTTCTCTTTCGGAACTTCAGCTTCCGGTAACTCCTTCTCAGCTTCTCCAGAAACCACAGTTGAAACCATGAGTGGCGTCAACTCGTCCACCTGTGGTTTGCCCTTGTGTTCTTCAGGGCGTTTCACAGTGAGGTCTTCTGTTTCTGTCATAGTTGTAACTTGAGAAGTTTCCGCAGCTTCTCTGCCAGAGACGTTGAAGTCCGCTTTCTGATCTTTAGGTGCAGCCTTGGTGATGAAGACATCTTCCGTTTCGTTGGAAATCACTTCTGAAATGATAGTCGATGACAGTTCCTCTACCTCCACTCTGCCCTTCTCTTCCTTCAAGGTTTCCTTCTTCAGGGTCTCCGTGCTGGTCGCAGTGACCACTTGCATCACTTCAGGAATACTAATTGATGTTAATTCAGTCAGCGCCATGCTGGCTGTCTTTTGATCTGGTCGCACGTCAGTTTTATACAAGTCTTCCTTTTCAGCTAGCTCCTGCATGGCCACAGTGATGCTTTCCAAAGGAACGTGTGATGGTTGCGCCACTCCGGAGGCTGGCTTCTGATCAGGTACGTACTCTTCGGTGGGTGAGTGTGATCTGACTTCCTCTAGCATCGGGGCTACCTGTGTGGTGAACTCCGTGCTAGCGTACGCTCCTTTCACGTCGGTGACCTGAGTGTACTCCGCCTCCTTCTCGCTGGCGATCACCATAGTTGTGTGCAAGCTTTCAATTTCATTCATGGTGACATCAGCAACTCTGGTATCAGGAGCTTTGTCTTTTTCAACAGGTGCCAAATTCTCGGCGACTACCGTCTCTCCAACGACGGTCTCCTGCAAGCTAATGGGTTCTATCTTCGCCACACCGGACGAAGGCACCTCCTTCTTCACTTCGCCCAAATTGTCCTCTGGCTGGGTCATCTCCACCTCCAGCGACACAACAGGGTGTGTGGGTACAGTTTTACCACGATGGGACTCCGGCATCTCGAAGATGCGTAGATCTGCTTCCTTCTCTACGGAGGTTGTCTGGAACACCTCGACGCTTCTGTTCACATCGTAAGTAGTGTCCACCAGACGTTCTTCGGGTTTCACCATTTCCTCCATCTTCGCCTCCCGGTCGTGCGTCAAGGTCTCCTGGATCATTTTAGCTTCCGTCAACTGTACGGACACCGTTCCGCTTTCTTGGACATACTTCAACTCCTCTCTGAAGTCCGACGGATAATCCGCTGTCTGTATTTCTGAGACCATCACGTGTTCCTCAGGTCTGATAGATGTCTCCGCCAGAGCCTTCGTTGGTTTCTGATCAGGTTGATAAACCCCTTCCGATTCTTGGACCACGGTGCTCTGTATGGATCCAATTTCCAACGAAGATATCGTCGTCTCCGCCGTTTTGGTCGCTGGCTTGTCACCCGGCTGATACTCCTTCTCCTTTTCAGATGTTATGGTCTCGACAGTCACGGCAGGGGTCATTTCGATGATGTTTAAATCGGCCACGGCTTTTTTGGTCTCCTCGATGGTCAAGCTGGATTCGGTGTCCTGAGTTTGAACCGTGGACACGGACACTCCTTCGAGCAGGGTGACGTTGGTGACAGCTTCGAAGGTCTCCGTCTTCTTCTCAGAAACGAACACTCCTTCGCTTTCCTGCACAACGTTCTGCTGAACCACAGCCGTCTCATTTCCGTATGATATTCCAACCTGCGCCGTCTGACTGGGAGGCAGTCTTCCAGGCACGTACTCGCCTTCTTTCTCAGGTGCGTGCATCTCTTCGGTAACTCTCTGTCGTTGAGAGATGACGGTCTGCGTGGCAGTCTCTGTTGGAACAATCAACTCGGGATAATACTTCCCTGGTTTATCCTCTGCACGCACCTCTTCGACAACCAGCGGTTCAACGGCTGTCACGTTGACTCTAGGCTTAGTCGGTACAGTCTTCATGGGTTCTAACTTGTCTTCCATCAAACCTTCATGCACTTCATACACAGACAACCCTACCTGAGGTAGTATGCTGTCTTCAGCCTTGACAGTCTGTGGCGACACGAAGTCCTCGGTCGGAACTTCCGTCTGGCTCACCATAGTCTCATACACGGTGGTAGCCTCCTGAACAGTCATGCTAACTTCCGCCGTCCTGCTAATCTCCTGCTTGCTCACGGACAGCGACACGTGGGTGTCGCTGACCAAGGTCTCGCTGACTTGAACACCTTCGGATGGTATAATTCCTGGCGTTGCCTCGTAGGATGTGGGTTTGAAGGTGTCCGCAAACTCGCCGGTGGATGCTTGGACCGTTGTCTCCGTGGTGGAATAAGGCTCCACTGGCGATATGGACAGGGATGCTTTGCGTTCGATGGGTTTGATTTGGCTGATGTCGCTGATCTCTTTTTCTTGAACGGGTACCAGGTGCTCCGTCAACGGGGTTATCGTGTCGACGGTTAATTTCGCTTTTTCTAAGTCGGGTTTACCAGGTGCCTGTTCGGTGGTGCGGTGTAGGGGCACCACTTGGTGACGTTGGCTGGGGACGTTCACCATGATGGACGGCATAGATTTATCTTCTGTCACATCGAACTCCTCGATCTCCTCGAGTTCGACCTCATCTCTGCCGATCTTCGGCCGTTTGGGTCTCAAGCCTTTTCTGATCTCCTCTATGATTATTTCTTCCTCTTCTTCCTCAATGTCTTTGCGTTTCTCTAAATCGTCGCGTTTCTTTTGCTTTTGAGTCAGTCTGCCCTTCGAGTCTGTTTCAACGATCACGGTTTCGATCTCTTCCTCGATTTCTTCGACGTCCTTTCGCTTCTTCTTCTTCCTCTCTTGTTCCGTTTCCTCGATCTCTTCGATCTTTACAACCTGAACCCCCTCGTCCCTATCTTCCTTTGTCTCTTCGATCTGTTCCCTCGGTTTTGTATCTTTTCGTGCGCGCAGTGTTGTGTGTGTCTGCCGTGTGTCCTCGTATTCTGTGGAAATTATGTGAGAATTTTCGTGTCAATCAAACGCGAGTGTCTCACGATGTACAATAAAACCTTTATCGCTCGCTCGCTCGCTCTAGCATTCGTTTCCTTTCTTTGTTAGACGTAAACCATTCTCTTGCAGATATCATGCGACGTACCATTGAGCGGATGCTTTGTTTGCTCAGACAACAGAACGTTCGTGCGTCAACGAAACAAGAGCGGCAAAGAAAAAAATAAAGAAGAAAGAAAATCTACGGTGCACGGCGGACCAGCTGCTGTGGAGTTGGTAAAGAAAGAAAAAGAAACAACGTGCTGGAAAAAAGAACAGTTTAACAACAGCGGACAGATCAGCGGTGTTTTTTTTATTTCGTTCTCAATTCTACGCGGCTTCCAAAGGTATCGTACACTTTTTCGTTTTATTGTGTCATTTAACCCTTTCAGGAGGAAATATTTTTGGCCTTTGCTGGGGAATTTATTTTAGATAGCATTTTGTGTCTGTAAAATACTATAAATTACAGTTTGATTACTATTTTGGAATTTTAAGTGGAGTTTTATTCGACGCGCGATGAGTCGTGCGTCTTCGGGCGTCCTCGTGAAACTCCGGGCGCTAAGATGGCGGCGCCGCCATTTCGTGACTCTAAGTTCGTGCAAACAGAAGATGACTCAAAATGCTGATAATATAATGAAAGTAGATTCCATAATAGTAATACAACGCTGTAGAATTTTGTATAACCTCACTCTTTAAAATTTTAACAATATAAACTATTAAAAAATGTCTCAAATATATTTTTTCGAATATTTTCAAACATAAATTAATGTTTAAAGTATAAATTTTTTAATGAATGCACTGCAAAGTTATGTAGAATTTTCTTAATAATTCTGGAAGTTTTATTGTATTGTATCTAATAATATTATTAATGCAATAGCAAAATTTACCAAAATTTCGTCCTGAAGGAGTGAACCACCGTTTCCAAAGTATGTATTCACTATAAAAAATAATCGTGTTCCTGTGTTCTCATCGTTGAATTACGATGTCTCTGGAATTATCTGTTTATTTTGTAGTAGTGGTGAATCGCAAGATGTGTTGCATGCGTCGTTTAAAGTGTTGAGTGTGTGTGAATATAGTGTAGTGGCAGTAGTAAAAGATAGAACAGGCCGGCTAGAAGTCAAACCAACATGAACACAAAAATAAAAAACAAAAAAAAAGAGAAGAAGAGGAAAAGGAGACGTTCATCTGTTACACATCGTGCTTTGCTACTACAATAAACAACAAAGAGGAACGTAACAATCTTCAATCTCTATATCATCTTGTATGTAGGACAACACTGTTATAATATAAAAGAGAATCATGTGAGTGTGTGGCTTGAATGTGTAACAGTAACAAGTCGCATTCAATAAATACATTTTATCCGAATCAATGTGCAAACTGATCAAATGGTAAACCATACTGTAAACAGAAATCGTGAAATGATGATATGAACGCACATTTTTATTTGAAAATTTCAATTATTGGAAACTTGTAAAATCAGTTTGTTTATACAAAATGAATGTTAGTTTTATTTATTGAAAGATGGCACATTTTTTTTAATCATTTAATATTAATATTTAATACTAGAACAATAAACAAAGTTAAGATGTACAATTTAATAAATTAGTATATAGAATTCTATCCCATTTATGAAATATTCACTATATACATTTTTGCAAATGCATACTCCCTAGATCCCTAAGTCTTAGAATGCCTTAGATCCCAAACTTCTCTAGATCCCAAAATTCCCTAAATCCCAATATTTCTAGATCTCAAAATTCCCAAATCCCAATATTTCTAGATCCCAAACTTCTCTAGATCCCAAAATTCCCTAGATCCTAATATCTCTAGATCTCACAATTCTCAAATCCCAATATCCCTAGATCCCAAAATTCTCTAGATCCCAAAATTCCCTAGATCCCAATATCTCTAGATCCCAAAATTCCCAAATCTCAATATCCCTAGGTCTCAAACTTCTCTAGATCCCAAAATTCCCAAATCCTAATATCCCTAAGTCTCAAACTTCTCTAGATCCCAAAATTCCCAAATCCCAATATCTCTAGATCCCAAAATTCCCTAGATCCCAATATCTCTAGATCTCACAATTCCCAAATCCCAATATCCCTAGATCCCAAACTTCTCTAGATCCAAAAATTCTCTAGATCCCAATATCTCTAGATCCCAAAATTCCCAAATCCCAATATCCCTAGGTCTCAAACTTCTCTAGATCCCAAAATTCCCAATATCCCAATATCCCTAAATCCCAAAATTCCCTAGATCCCAAACTTCTCTAGGTCCTAAAATTCCCTAGATCCCAAAATTCCCTGCATCCAAAAATTCCAAAGATTCCAACATTCCTTAAATCCCAAAATTTTCTAAATCCTAGATAGCTATGTCCCTAAATATCTCTCTAGATCACACAATTCTTCTTTTTTTCAATATCCCTAGATTCCCACATCCATAGATTCACAAATCCGAATATATTTAATTAAAGAAAACTTGTGCAAATTCAGTTACAGAAAACTAGTAATTATTTAGTTATACAAAACTAAAAATATAAATTTAGTTATAGAAAACTGGTGAACAGTGTCTTTCAATCAGCGTGTCCAGTGAAATAAAGAGGAAACTCGAAGTAGTTCTAGCGTTAAATATTATGAAGAACGCCATAAGTCATTTCACGATTCCGTGATAAATAAATCGCAACGCCAAGAACAATGAAACCAAATGGAAAAAGTGTGTCATTAGTGATCGGTGCTGAAATGTACGAATCGTTGCGTGCGAAAGCAAAAGTGATTATCGTACTTACATTTAATCCGCATTAGCAGCACGAAGCTCGGAACGCGAAGCGTTTAATGCCGGATTCGATTGACGTTGGAACAGTGATTAAAATTTGGTGGGTGTTGAATTAAACAATGAGATAGAGAGGATATTATCGTAATTTGAAAGGGCACGGCGCGTGGAAAGCATAGCGGCTTAAGCTGAACAATTTTTACTGCTATTTTTATTCGAGCTAGTTAAGCTTCATGCATCTGAAAGAATAATAAAATACAATCATTACGTAGACAACGTTATCGAGTGATCACGCACGTTACTTTCGATTTTCTCTTTCAATGACCGATTAGTCAGCTCTAGATGATTCTTCATTAGATTATTGATGATCTTCAAGCTTTAATGAAGTTGGTATCCGTTCAGAGTTTACCACATTCTGAAGTAGGGATGTTTAGAATTCTTCTGTCGATTAAAATTTGGGTGATTTTTATGATCATTTTAGTGGAGGTAGACTACCCTTGAGAAAAATATTTTTATTTTAATTTGTTTAGAGAGAATTATTTCGAAGAATCTTACATTGATGTTAAAAACAAATTGAATTTTGATATTTTTCAAAATGATCCTTGCTAATTATACTTCATCCATTACAAAAATATTTATTTGCGTTCCTCCCTTAACAAATAGTAGATTCAACCTTATCTTAGATATTAATACTAAATATTCTAAATTTTATTACAGAAAAATAAAAATATACAGGATGTTTCACAATCAGTGTAGGTCCCTGAAATGGGGGGTAGTTAACGCAATTCTGAATAAGATTTCCCTTTGCAAAAATGGGGTGTGAAGCTTCGTTTTTGAATTATTAAGGAAAAACACGGACCAATCAGAGCGCGAGGATTATTACGCGTTGTACTACTACGCGTCGAATATCCACGCGTTGGATATCTACATGCTGGATTA